TTCCACTGCTCCACTTGATTCAAAACGTTCTCGCAGTGTGGAAAATCTTTTCGGGCTTGGATGTCGCATATTAGGGTACCGTTCCTTATAAATGCGAGATGTTAGGAAACTATTTCTTTGGGATTCGCCCCAAACGAACACCATATTCGCCATTTCTTCTTTAGAAAAATTCATTTTCAAACACGTTTTTATTATAATGCTCATAAAGCTAATTTTGACAGATTCTAACAAATCAATAATTTATTTGTTTCCAAGGATGATGCGATATTTTAGGGAATTAAGCCGTTCCATAAAAGGCGTGCCAATAACCGAAAAAATAGCAGTAAAAACCCTTATGTGTCTAGTATCAAAAAAAAAACTTATAAAAAATCAAATCCAAACGTGCACAAATATAGAGGGTGATGTATTTGAAATTTTTCAGAAAAACTTCAATTTGCGTTTTTGACCACCGTGTATGAGCAAAAGTTAAAAATTTCGGAAAAGTAACAAATAAGATAAAAGCAGAGGTGTGTAAGTTTTTTTCTGATACAAAATTCAGCAGTTCAAATTTCAGAATTGCGGACTGAGGGGTTACCGAAGTGGACGGTTTTTCTGGACAAAACATCTTATATCTCAGTTGCTAATTACCAAAACCCCATAGTATAAATACATCAATTTTCTTCTTTTGAATTGGTTTATCCAAATATGCAATAAAATTTGAGGTATTTCGTTTGAAAAATCACAATTTTGATATGTAGGTCGAAATTGGGACACCCTGTATAATGGTCAATATTTTAGAAATATGCTCTCAAATTTCATGTATGACATCCTATAAATATATTTTCCCAGAATGTATTTGTTTATGATTAATATTCCGTCCACACATGGATGGGCCACCCTGTATATTTTTAAGGAGAATGTTAGTCCCTTTTGTTCTGATTCAAAATATGTTTATCATACTGATTTTCATTTGTTTGGCCAAAGTTTAGTATAGGGCCGGAATACGTATGATTAAGGGCCGTATCGTCAGTCGTTCCTACAATTCTAGGACGCCCTTCAGAAAAGCTGGGGTATTTCTAGATTTCTTCTGTTCCGTGTCAACGTCAGAGCTCTCCTTTTGTGAGGATATGTTTTCTTCTTGAATTCAGGCAGAAATAACAGATGATATAAATCAAAGGCATGAACAATTTGACGCAAATAGATATTTGTATTATAAACTTAAAATAGAGCGCTAAAACAGTAGAAAACTAAACCAGGAGGCCATAAAGATATCCTACAATATTGTAGGAACGACTGACGGTACGACCCTGAATGACACACAACTCCAAGTTTTTGTCTTAAGTAATAAAAACAAGATTAACAAACCATATACATATATTTGGAATCATATAAAAATGGACTATCTTTTTTAGCAGAGCACTTTTCTGAGACGACCAATATATTAAAAAATAATGAGCGCAAAGCTTCATATTAGACTCTATAACCTATAGAAAAGTCAGAATGGGGTCAATTTAACTACCATTTGTTTGTTAAAACCTCCGCGGTCGATGCATAGTTCATCCCTTTCATAGAAACCACTGCAGTACGAGCGATGGCAATGTCTTTTGTCCGAGAAAAAATGAAAACAGGGTCATCTCTTTTGATGCTTTCAGCATCATAAATCACACCTATCATGAGAAATTTGAAGTATGGTTTTTAACTTATACGGAAGAAGAACCACATCAGCTTCTAGACTTAAACTAGCTAGCGACACGTCTCATATTTCCGAACAGAAAAAGAAACCCTCATCCAAGTACAATGTAATTGCGTTCTCGTTTTCCGAGTTCGTAAGGCTTCCATTTGTATCCCAACAATGTCACAGGTCACGAGTCTTCCGTCAGACACCGATCGATCCCACAGGAATGGCCTGCTCCAAGCACGTGAACGCCCCCAGTGGAGTGGATGTATGTATTATATACAGGGTGTATCGACATAATAGACATGCAACAATAGTGGCACCAGAGAGTGAGCATTTTGTGCGAATTTCTCATACAACCTCAGCTATCTGGCTCTTTAAATTGTCGTAACGAATCTGTTTTAAGGTTTAATCTTGGAATTTGTTTCTATAGCGTGTAGACATCAGTGCTTTATGACATACAAAGTTTCTTGTAACATGGTTATGAGCAATTATGTTTTATTGAAAATTATGACAAGTTTCGATAAAACAGATTCAGATGCATTGAAACGTTCTGATATCACACACTGAAAGCTCAAAATCAGGTTATTAAAAATATCCTCTAATGAAAATATTGAATCAATTTTGGAAAAATTTAGCATTGGAGGCAGCGGTGCGGAACAAAGATGTGATTAATTTCTTGTACCATGTTCTTAAGTTCTCCAACCATGATGGCATTAAGTACGGGTACATTTGGAGCATTACGTCCACAAGATTCTTCAAGGATCACTTTTTGGTGTAGTCATGTACCCCTATTATCAAATAAATCCGATACCTGGTACATATATAACAGGCGTCTGCTTGAACAGAAAAATACGGCACACCAACCATTATTGCATTGTTTTTACGAAAATGATGAATGTGCATACTTTCACTTCCTATGCCGAACTAGCGAAAGATTTCGAAATTGAGATATATTTTTTAGATTTTATATGACATGTATAGTGTATTTTTACGCTCCCAGCCCCGGTAATTCTATGTACCTATTTACCATATTTCACACATCATAGATTTACTCGTTCATTTGCCTTTAAAACAGAATGATAGAAAAATGTTTTCGATTCGCGTACTCGTGCCTATCAAAGCGAACCAGACCGGCTTATATAGCTATTTGTACTGAAGCCCATAAAGCATACAGAGCTTGCACGAACCGATAGATAACTCGCTGCAGACATGGCACGCAAATGTGAAAAGGGACAACGTTGCCACATGGTCGGTAACTACCAGTAGGGCAGGAAAAGAATGTTGATGGACTAATTGTATTAATTCCTCTGTTCTACATGTCCGTAGCTTAGTTGCGCTGAACGTACTCCTTTATAAATTGATGACGGCGTTGCGTAACACGGTCTCTAACGAGGGAATGACCCGAATGCATGGAACATACACACGGCCTTGTCCTAGAGATCCAACTGGTGGTTCCTCTACGTTAGACAGTTCGAGACCATGTACCAACTACGGACTATCACAGCATCCATACTCAAGAGAAAGATTCTCTTAGAGTGGGATTCGAACCCGTAGCGTCTACCAGTACGCAACCATTCCATACGTCGAGTTTTGGGTGTGTTTAAAAAAATCATATATCATTATTAAAAGAATAAATCAAGATCTTACGGATACAGGTCTCGAGACAGTATGTTCAATCGAAAAGAAAACTATGGGGCGGATATAGGCGTTGACCCTAAACTTTGTACTCAGAGCAAGCTCAATATTTATTTATTTATTACAATTTGGGTGTGCACAGCCAGAGCCATCACACACCCACTATGTTACAATAAAATATGAGTAATGTTTACAAAAGTATGTGAGTTATTAAGATATATACGAAAAATGACTAATATCATGTGCTAATTGATCTAAAAAATTGGATTTTATTTTACGCTTGAAGATAGTGATGTTATCATAAAATAAGTCCTCTTCACAAAATTGGTTGCCGGATCTTTGTGCTCTTAGTAATCGAGAATTTATACCTAAGTTAGTATGACAGTACGGTAACTTAAACATGTTATAATGACGATAACTCCTATCTGGTACAATAAAGTGAACTAGGGAAAGCAGATTATTAGCGTCATATTTGTCAACCAAAAAATTCGCCGTCTACCTCGCCTTCTACTTCCTTTTAATTTGCACTGGATTATAACCTCAAAAATGAGATATTTATCATTTCTCAGTATACATATATACCAAAATATGCCAATTTTCTGCGCTTTATATCAGTTTTAGATCTTGATGTATCATTTGGAAAACGTCTGCACTGGTAAGTCGTTGCACCATCCTGCCGTAACACCACAGTGGTGATATTCTTTTACTACTTGTTTCCGTCGGTGTCCACGCCTCCACCCTGTTGAAAAAACGTAACAGCCGGTGATTTTTTTTTAAACATCCATACGTAAACATCTATCAATCCTTTTGCTTGAAAAATATAAGTATTTAACCTCGCACCCACGCATTCCTCTCTTCTGCCGACAGGCCATACATCTTGTTAGCACTATTCGAATGTTTTCCAGATAAGACTGCAGCTTAATCTCAACCATTTATGCGCGGGTACCATCATATGAAAGCTTAAGTAAAACTGTAATTTAAAATGTTGTATTATGAGAGTGTCTACAAGATGAATTTCTTAGATAACAAAAAAACGTTCAAAGGCTAATACAAAAATGCTTAGGCCGCATCATACATTAAAAATTAATTCTGATATACGACGTACAGAGCTCCTTTAGAGGAATCTGTTTGAAATTTATGTAAAATACCAAATTTGTGAAATATTTTTCATGTTTACATAATGATTTACATTATAATTTCATGGCGACAGCTACCTATAGAGACCAAATATAATATAACTTTTTTGTCACCAACACAATGGGAACATAAAAAATATTCATATTTTTATTTATATGCAGGCAGGTTTTTTTAGAAGTCGAGCGCCACTAACAATTTTAAGCTTGGATTTTTATTCCATAATTTATTGTCATTAAAGTAGCAGAATTTTAAGCGCCGCGCAGGAACCATAGCTAAGCATTGAGGAAGGCATATTCGCCAATTTCACCACATAACGATTCGAAAGCTTTAATGGCTACTTCGAGCAAAAAACCAGGAAAATATATGGGAAATATCATTCGGATGTTATTAACAAAATCTTGTTTCAATCAGTAGACCAAAATTTTTCTAACTCTAAGGTCGAAGCTTTCCACACGGACAGTTTCCAACATACTGAACTTCAACATTATGATAATGGCATCTCCGACGCCCATGTCCAAACAAAAAAGGTAGATGTAAGGTCGACGGGTTTACGTATTCTGAATATTTCCAGGTATGGTTCAAAAACAGGAGAGCGAAGTGTAGACAGCAACAAAAGCAGCACACACAGCAGCAAAACACGAAAACCACAAAGTTGAAAAGCAAAACCTCCGACATCGGCGGTAGCAGCACTCCTGCCGTTACGAAAGCATCCTCTTCCACCCCAGTTTCTGTGTCGAGCAATAATAATACCAGCACCAGGTACGTACTAAATCAGATTTGTTTAATGATCCATGACTTAAGGTTCCCCAGTACCTGGCACGACCTTGAGCATTGTAAAAAAATGTCCTTTCTGAGTCAGTCATACTTTTGCTTTCTTCTGCTTCCTTCAGTAAACAAAACGGAAAGTGTAAAGATCAAAATCTCGGAATAGGCGATGCGGTCACTGGCGGATAAAGGTGGTAATTACCTCCCCCCTCCCAGACGACTCGAGCAGTCCTTGAAAAGGTGGTATAAAGTAAACGTCTTATAACCAAATCTGTAACTTTAAGAAAGGATAGCGGCAACACTGCCAACCCGCTCAGTGCGCATGCGACTAGCGACGACTCTCCCACCAACAGCAACGGTGTGCGCTTCTTCCTAGTAGGTATAGTCTAGTCTTTTATGGTCTAGTCTAGTGTCTAAATTCTGTGCCAGCCCGAAGTCCGCAACAAAATTTGGCTGAAAAGTGAACAAGCGGAGTTTTGTTGTTCTGGTTTGTATTAACGCTATTTTCTACGAAAATTAATTTTTGTTTGTTTTTAATTTTTATACTATAAAAGAATCGTGTCTAAACAAATGACAGACGGAAAAAAGGAAATTTAATATAATTTGAATTACGAAGTGTTTGGTCCATACTCCAGCTATCATTATCATCTATGTTTATTTTGTCTCGGAAGTCCCTGTATATAAGCATTCCAGTGCATTTCGTTCGTCCAAGATGGCATATTATATATTTAGTAAACAGAAAAGGTTCTTTGTTATGAGATACGTGAATGCGTGGAAACCAATAATGCCGTTTATTTGACAATATTTGTGTAGCTTTTAGTGCTGGTTGACGGCTGCTGTTGTCAGGATGAGTAAAAGGAAACAGAATACATCGATTGGTTCCTTTCTAAACAAAACAAACGGTCTGATCCACCGGCACGAGAATTACCGGAAAAACTAATGATAATCCTACAATTCAACCTGAGCCTTCCACTTCAAAATTTATTGATATTGCATGCTGAACCAAGTGATGAACAATCGGGTGCGAAACGTAAAGGATCCAATTTTGTTGAGGTGTGTAATGATCCCTAATGACTCTTTTAAATATCCCTATTTCACACACTTGAAAAATAATAAGTGAAATGTTACTTATAAAAAAAAAACTTTGAGAAATTTCCCTGGCTATCATATTCAGAGGAACTACAAGGGCTTTTCTGTAAATATTGCGTGTTTTTTGCAAAATTAGGAGGAGTACATAAATCAACTAAATTGGGAAAACTTGTTACCGCACCACTAAGGAAATTTTCGAAATTGTATGGCAAAACCGTTGATTGTGAGACATATGAGAACTCAATATATCATACAAAAGCAGTTCCAGATGCTATAAACTTTTTAAAGATTTACGAAAATCCAGAGAATGATATAAGAAATATAATAGGTTCAGAGCCAATTAAGCAAGTATCAGAAAATTGGCAAAGATTGACTCCTATAATAGAATCTTTAATTTTTTAGGGACGCCAAAATATACCACTTAGACGGCAAAGAGATAGGGGACAACTTTTTTCTAAAGACAGCACGAATGACGAGGATGTCCTTAATAATGAAGGGAATTTTAGAGAACTAATACGGTTTAGAGTCGAGAACGGCGACAATTTATTGAAAAAAAAAACTTGAAGAACTTAAAAGCGCATGCAGCCGGATCCAAAATGAAATTACAGAATGTTGTGGCGAAGAAATCTTGGATATAGTTTTAAGTCGCGTCAGGCAAAGTCAGTATTACAGTATTATATTTGACGAAACTACAGATATTAGCCATAAATCACAAATCTCAATCGTATTGAAGTATTGTTATCAAAAACATATTTACGAGGACTTCATGGGATTAGTAGATTGCTACTCAAATTTTGATGAAGATACAATGGAGCCCGTACTTACAGGTCAAATTCTTACTCAAACAGTCAAGCATTTTATTGAAACCAATAACTTAGACTCAAAACTATGTGTGGGCATTGCTACTGAAACGTGTAAGCTAATGTTAGGTAAACAAAGGGGCGCTGTAATGAAATTGCAAAAATGTTTGCCAAATGCTCTGAAAAGCCCATGCGCAAATCATGCCTTGAATCTTCCGATTTCAAAAAGCAGCAGTGCCCAAGCAGTAAGAAATACTGTAGGTATAATGAAGGAAGTAACTGCGTTCTTCAAAGCATCCGCTAAAAGAAATAAAGTACTAAAAAGAAAACTAAACGGATATCAAATTCATAGTATATGCGAAACGCGATGGACCGAGAGACATGATTCTGTGATCCAATTTGAAAGCAAATTCTGGAAAATTGTAGAGGTACTAAATATTATATCAAATTGGAAAGAACGCGAAGTTTCTTCAAAAGCGGAGTCTTTAAAGACTGACATTACTTCCATCCAATTTATCGTATCACTAAAGTGTTTGTGTGATATACTAACTTTAACAGTCAACCTGAATAAGATCAAAAACAAATGACAAACAATACCTATCAATCAGTCTAAAATCTGTTGTGACGTCGTCTGATAGATGGCAGCACATGATGATAACATTAACTTCTCTCAGGAACGCCCTCGGTCGTCAAACACGGGTACTTCTTGAACCGCCCTCGTAGTTATGCATGCATGAAATAACGAGTCTTCTGCGAATATAAATATATTTTGAGGAAAAAAGAACCTAACTTATTTTTAGTAACTTTCTTCAAGCATATAATACCAGAACGTACGAAAGCAGTCCTCAATTACTTAAAAAATAAATTAAACTGGCAATACTTTTTCTTCAATCATATTCATTATATTACATGACCAGCTGTGATGGTTTCCTTAGCCGTTCAATAGTAAACACACCAGAACGTAAGGTAGTTGATTCAGACACAATTCATTTTACAAATTCCAAGTCCATAATTTTAGTTTTTGTCAAATCAACAATACTTCTTTCGCTGATATTCATTCACACTACGGCCTTCTGTCACCCTACAAAAGTTGAGTACACTAACCTCATCAGGCGCGGATCCAAGGGGGGGTCATGGGGGTCATAACCATCCCTAGGCGAATTTAGTTCGACCACCAATTTTTAAAGTTCTAAATCTCTTAAATAAATCTGTAATGTACACATATTAAATGGATGCCGTACTGTTATTTTCTACTAAACACTTGCAGCACTGCATCCGTCAACTTTGATTTAACTGTAAGCTCATAGATGATAGCGCAAGACTGGTTGCCTATGCGGTCAGCTTGATGTAGGAAAAACTTCATCGCGCGCGCTTAAGCTGTGAGCAAATTTGATAAAAAACACTTTTTGAAGGACCGGTGGCAGATTTAAGGAAAGGGGCCCGGTCGGCAATATGCACGGGGAGGGGCAGTGGTATGATCGGGGACAGACGGCAAATAGTGCGCACTATAACTGTTTTGCGAATAACATAAATTATTGACAAATAAAATACGGCAATGGAAACTTGCATGATAACTCAGAAATTAATATCAAAATTTAACGCGTAATGTCATGTTAATGCAATCGTACATCAGCCTGGTTTTTGCATTTAATAGTGCGCAGGGGCACGGGACAGGTTGTAATGCGCATCGTAATTTTGTGAAGTAAGTTAAACTTGATGATTCACCAGCAAACTTCTTGTGCATAATAGAGTTTAAAAGTTTTCACGGATGCTACCGATAAGTAAAGGGCGTCGAGTCACATTTGGAGTGTACGCTATTTATAGAATTTGAATAAAATTATAATTAGGAAAAAAACAAATATGATCGATAGTTGTTGTCAAGTTTGCCGTGATTAATATTTCATTGAATACAAACTTGGTGAACAACAGTAAAATACGTTAAATAACGTGCATTACTACAGGATATATACTGGGCACTGTTTGTGAAAGTGATATTCTCCACATTTATTGCTATTTGCAAATTAATGACGGCAACTGAGAATAAAAAAATTAGAAAGACCTGCACAAGTAACCGAAACAAGCTCATGGATAGTGCAAGAGGTTTTTTAATAGTAATTTGATGCAAAAAGTTAATCTGATGCTGCTTCAACAAGCCAATAAAACAGCTATTTTAACTGCTTCAATAATCACACTATAATTTGTCGATAACGTAAAATCCATCTAAATTGTTCAGATAAAGTTCGAACTACAGATTTTGCTGGCAATAAGGATGTCACATATCAACAGGGGCTTACAAGTATATGCACAATAGTAGCTGCTGCACACTGTTTCCTCTGTTGTTTAACTATATGTTTATATAACCTGAATCAAGTAAAGACTGTGAGATCAAACATTTGTTATTCAATACAACATAACAGAATTATTCTAATTTGAATCCGCGTCTTGCTTTTCGTCCAGCAAAACCTTCCATCGCAAAATCCAAATTGAGTGTATTAGCTACTGATCTTTCGATAAAGAGGATAGAGAAGTTGCTGAATGTGTATTTAGCTCGACGGTATTCTTTAATAATTTTCAAAGAGCTCATGACACGTTCAACACTAGCTGTACCGATTGGCAAAGTCAAAAACAATCTAAATAATCTGCAGCTCGCTGGAAAACTGTCTACAAAATTGTTTGCAATCATGAACTTCAAATAACCTAGCGGGCTGTCATTAGAAAAATTACGATTTTCCGAAAAATACATGCTCGTAAAACTGGCTAATCCATATTCTAGATCTGTAGCGAAAGATTCCGAATATTTTTCCATCAAATTGTTGACGCTGGTTTCTAATTTGTTTTCTTTTAGATTGACTGATTTCTCTGGCATCAAAAAACCAAACACATCATTCACTTCACAAAATCCTTCAGTACGTTCTTGCAATTCGTTACTTATTGAATCCAAAACTTCGTAGTAATTTATTCGATGTTTTTCGTGTTTCCAGTGGCGAGTCAGCAGCTTTTCCGATGAATTTTTTTTTTATTTTCCTCTATATGACAATGGGAAAACCAGGATTTTCCCATTCCATCTCTTCCCATTTATTCTTAGCCTTCAGAACAAAATTATTGTATGTGCTTTCGCTCCTCAAATCTTTTAATTTTTTTAATGCTTCTGAAATGCATCTTTGAGCCATGAAACAAGTCTATTTCTTTCTTTTGCATTTGACCTTGCACAGTATTCATTACGCTCAATACTGAATGCCACCATAACAAATTGAGGGAAAAGGTCTAGTTCATGGAGGAAAGGAGAGATCTTGCATTTATATCTTCGCCAGAAGCTCCCACTCTTGAAATTTCATCTTCTATGCAATTGATAATACATTCAAAAAATTTCTCCCACGATCTTATCACGAAGAAAATAGATATGTCATCAAATAAAAAATTCACAGCATTGTGCAATTTTATGGTTAAAAGCATTAAAGACGTGAAAACACTGTAATAGACGCATTAGTCTTTATTAGACTGAAAGGTGCAGATTCATACCACGAAGATATTTATTTACTGAACATTATATGCCAGGTCATAGTATATATCACTGTAAGCACAAAATGAAAAAATAACCCCTCTACTCCTTAAGAAATAAAAGGGTCATTCGGGCATTTTTCAAACAATTTCTTAAGAAATGAAAGGGAAATTTTCTTATTCAAACAGAATGCTAACGCACTGTTTCATAATTTTACATTTAGACGCGCTGAACAATATAGACACTAGAGCTGATTTTTGGTGGGGGGCCCTGTGACCACCCTTCCTTGGGGGGCCCAGGCGGCAATTACTTAAATCAGCCACTGTGACGGAAAAAGACACAAAAAAGTTGTTGCACTGGATTCAAAGCAGATGGTAAGTATTAATATTAATCGATTCGCAGGAAGACAAAAAAGAAGAATTATTTTTGTTATTTAACAATAAATTGTTCATTTTTAAATTAGATTTAATATTTTAATTACTTTTAGGCTGTACCCTAAGGGTACAAGGGTAGGGTTGTCATCGGTCATCCGTCCGCCAGTCAAGTTTTTAATTTTTATGTATCCCCCCCTTAAGACGAAAAGAACATCTTCCTTAACATGAAGTTTTTTGACCAGTGTGACCCACCTCCCCCCCGAGACAAATCCTGGATCCGCCGTTGATCCTCATAGCAGCCGCGGTGTCCCGGCATTTAGGCTTCTGCCTGCGCGGCTGCTTCGGTTTAAAAAAAGATTTTATACACGATGCATAAAGATCATTTTTCCAGAATCATGTGTGAAGTACAGAGTCAACCTACTTGACGCCATTTTTACCTTTCAGTTCAACAACGAGCTCGCCTACGCTTCACCCAACATCACAGCTTCGAGACAGTCCTAATCCCAACTACGTGAAGTCGCAACTACTTTCGACTTGTGGAAGTTCAGGTTCACCAACAGTGAGTATAACCTTTTTAAAATAGCACTGGCTACGAGGGATGTCTTTTGAGTTTTGCATATGGAAATAAGACAACACGGTAGGTAGTTTTAAAAGACTCTATTGTTTTTCGAAGTATTCTCCAGGAAGATTAATACACATCTGATGCGCTCGAACCAATTTTCGAAGCACTTATTCCACTCGTTTGCTGGCAGATCCAAAACGGCATTTTTGAATGCGTCAACTGCTTCTTCTGGTGACTGGAACCTTTGGCCACGCAGTCTGTTTTTAATTTTCTGGAAAGCAAAGAAATCGTTAGGACTTAGATCGGGACTACTCATATATGGAGGATGGTCCAATAATTCCACGTTTTCTTCCGTTAAATACTGCCTTGTTTTTTGGGCCGTGTGCGAGCTTGCATTGTCTTGGTGGAGGATGATTCTTCTTTCGGGGTTGATTTTTCGAAGCTCGGTGATGACTTTTGGCAAACAAATGGTGGTATACCAATCCGCAGTAACAGTTCTTTGCTCATTAAGAGGAATTGTTACAATATGACCCGCTTTTGACACAAATGTCGCGACCATCTTTTTCGAAACACTTCGAGAACGGATGACTTTTGTTGGCTTTTCTTCACCTTGGAACACCCAAACAGCCGACTGTCGTTTATTTTCTGGTTCATAACAGTAAATCTACGATTCATCATCACTAACAATGCTGTACACATTTTTTGAGTTTCCGGAATTGAAACGGTCAATATTTTGACACCAATTAACCCTGGCTGCTTTCTGCTCTTCAGTCAACAGGTGGGGTATGCAAAGAGAAACTAATTTTCTTACTCCTAACTCTTCATGTACATTTTTTCGAATTGAGGTCTTTGAGATCTTCAAGGACACCTGAATTTCGCGATATGTCACATGTCTATCTTCAATGATGAGTTTGCGCACAGCATCGACGTTTTCCTGGGTGACTGACGTTTTTGGTGCACCCACCCTGGAATCATCGCTAAGACTCACCCGTCCACGTTTGAATTCTCCATACCAACGGGAAATTGTCGTCTGATGTGTAGCTTCGTTGCCGAAAACAGACAGTAACTCACCAAGGCATTCTTGTTGCGATAATTGTCTCTGAAAGTTGTAATAAATTATGGCGCGAAAATGAAAATGAAATTTTTCTAATGACTTGGTGACACTTAAAAAAAATTCACTGTAGTGAGAACACTGCACGTATTGTTGTGAAACTTTGAATTTAAGTTTACCAAAGAGTGAAGTTAACATTCAGTACTGACGATCGATCCGCGCGGCCTACTATGCTTCTATATGCAAAACTTAAAAGACATCCCTCGTATTTCTCAGATATACCAATTTTCATATACTGTAATGCAGACAGGCGACGTAATAAAATGATAAATGCTCCCCAAATATTTTTTACGATAAGACAGTATTTGGCCACAAACACTTCGATAGAATAATTTTACACAATTCACTCCTTCGGAAGACATGTTCACTCGACTAACTAGCTAAAAGTGGAAGTCTATTGGTTAGTCATGGGACTTGTACTTGTCGAATAATTTTACTGTCGTTCTCTCGCTCCTTCACAAGTTTTATTTCAAATTCAAATACATTTAATTTGCCAAAAAAAAACATTGCACCGTATTATACAAAATACACTCAAATAATATTTTTGACAAAAAGGACAGTTTCTCGATCACAAATGACCGTTAACACACAGCCTCACATAAGTAGGGTAGGTGTGAAAATGCCCTGTTATACACTAATTTACACAAACTATAATATACAGGGAGGCGCATCGAAAACGAAACACGCATTTACTGGCAGCTCAGTTTTTTTTTGAAAAACGCTCAGACCCGTCGATTTGGTTTTCGAGGTGGACACAAGTTTGTCAAAAATCACGTTAGCACGTGCAGCCCCCTAAGCGGGATAGACACCACCCCCGAAATCTTAAATGGAAAGAGGGGTCGAGTGATACCTTATTTTAAAGGTCTTTCAATTCCCTTTACAATTATTATTATTATTATTATTATTATGGTAATTGAGATGAGCAGAGTACACAGTACTATAAGCTCATATTATTATTATTATGATATAAAACTAATGTACTTTAGTTCAGTAGTTTTGAAAATTTATTGATATAAAGCTTAAATAAAACTAATACATCATCATTAGTGGAGATCAATACATTTGGCAGCAATGTAATTTGAAAATGAAGAATGAACTGACCCGTTAGGTAAGTAAATGTTGAAAATGGCCACCATGACTCTCCATGCAATAATAAAGATTTTGCTCAAAACGTTGCCGCACATTTTACAATATTTGACGAGTAACTTGAAGGCACTCATTCACAATTCTTTGTCGCAGGTCTTCTAATAATGTTGGCTGAGTAGCATAGATTTTGCTTTTTAAATAACCCCACATAAAGAAATCCAAAGGTGATAAATCTGGCGATCTTAGGGGCCATTCAATAGCACCTCTTCTACCAATCCATCGATCTGGAAACGTCCGATCTAAATACTGTCGAACACGTAATGCGTAATGTGGTGGGGCACCATCCTGTTGGAACATCAACCTATTCGCAATCTACCGCCGATCATTCCGATTTTCAATTATGGCTGTTAATGCAGGATCTATGGCATCTTCCAGAAATTCCAAATACATTTCACCGGTCAAATTCGTTCACTCATATCTTCACAAAATTCTAATCGCCGATCAAAATCGTCTTCGTTAAGTTCTTGTACCAGGTGAATTTTATACGGATGAAAACTATGGGCCTTTAGAATCCGTTGGACAGTACGTCGACTAACTCCACACACAGTCTCCAATTTGCGGGCACTTAACGTAGGATCTACATAAACTTGCCGTAAAACCCCCACTTCTATTGCTTCGTTCCTTATGGGATTTTCAATGTTGCGTTTTTTATTGGCGACTGACCCAGTTTCCCGAAATTTAGCTACAAGTTCTAGAGCATATTTTCGATGCACGTTACTGTTCTCATGACGCTCATAAAATATTTCTGCTGTTCTATTAGCGCACTGATTATTTCCGAAAAATATTTCGATAATTTCAACTCTTTCTGATCTTTATGTAATAAAGCATTACAAGTTATTTTAGCAACAAAGTTTGGTCAAATCAATCGCAAACTATGTACTAAATTCCTATTTAAAATAAGTATCTTTATATTATCTTTCTTCAAGAAATAACTTTTTGCCACAAAAAAACGCTCCAATAGCTATTTTCAACAACAAAATGATAAACAAACCATGGGCGTAGTGAAGTAACGCATTTACTTATTAAGTAAACTCTTTTAGTCAAATTTCTTCTGAAAGTAGTACAAGCTAATCTGATGTACCTATTAAAGCCTACTTTAAGCTTTAAATCAATAAATGTTCAAAACTACTCAACTGAAGCTCATGTATTTTACATCATTATAAAGGAAATTGAAAGACCTAAAATAAGGTATCGACCCCCCTTTCCATTTAAGATTTTAGGGTTGGTGTCACCCCCGCCCAGGTGGCTGCACGTGTTAACGTGATATATTGCCAAACTTGTATCCCCCTCGAAAACAAAATCGACAGGTATGAACGTTTTTGCAAAAAAAACTGAGCTGCCAGTAAATGCGTGTTTCGTTTTCGATGCGCCACCCTGTATAAACAATATTTAATGATTTAATTTATTATAAGCATGAACCATTGATATCGTAGAAAAAAATATGCATTTACACACTTAAAATGTCAACGTTCCGACGTGAGGGGAGCACCGGAGAGGGGGCGAAGAGCGGCAGAAAGCAACAGACGCGAAGCCACACCGACGAGCCCTCATACAGTTAACCACACCCAAACACATCCACACACACATACACATCTATCATCATATGCTTCTCCATCTAAATAAAAAAAAAAAATTTTAAATAGATAAATTTGAAAAATTAAACTTTACAATAAGTATACGTGCACAATCACACTCATTATTGTATTATTGTTCCTGAAGAAGCATGGCATTATATACTTTGAAAACACTCTTTGTGAAATTACTTTTACATTATTATTTAAACTGTTCCACATTTGAACTGCAAGAAATGAAAGAGAACGTTGAAATGCTGCAGTCCTATGTCGAGGAATAATAAAAATATTCTGGTTATGTCTTGTTCCGTAATTATGATTAAAAGTTGAAAGTTCATTTTTCAAATACGGAGGTTTTCCTGATTTTGTTATTCTATAGATGAAATTAAATAAATGATGTTTCCTGCGATTTAGCATATTCAGTATAGACAAATTGTTTAGGTAAGGCGTTATGTGGTTACGATAAGGTATATTAAATGAAAATCGCATGCAGGCGTTCTGCACTTTTTGGATCGCATTTTTGGTAGTATAGGCCAACGAGCTCCCATAAACTATATCTCCATAGTCAACAAGCGACAGTATGAGATTCTGACAAAGGAAATACTTTGGCTTAGGCAATAAAAAATGTTTCAGTTTGGAGATATTTTTTAATCGTATGTAAGCTGCCGTCAATTTTATGTGTGGTTAAAATGATAATAAGGGTGGCCCATAAGTCCTTTGAGCTGGAAAAAAAGGAATAAAACCAAACTAGTTACATTATGAAGAATTATTATATTTTGTTATCATCTTTATTGAATGGGAATTATTTTTTAAAAATCACATCGTCTAAATGCAATCCATTACGATCACGGCACTCATATAAACGACGTCTAAAATTGTCGATGACTGCGCGGCAAGTAAACACTGTAATGCTTGCCATTTCTCTTCGGATATTTTCTTTCAGGACATCAACTGATCGCGGAGTTGTGTCGTACACTTTACTCTTGAGGTAGCCCCATAAAAAGAAGTCCATTGGGGTCAAATCTGGACTACGTGGTGGCCAGGAAATGTCTCCTCTTCGAGAAATTACTTTGCTGGGAAAAAGTTGACAGGCGACGGGCATAGAAGTGTTGGAGGTGTGGGCAGTTGCTCCGTCCTGTTGAAACCAGGTCTGCGTATTATAGCCTGGAAAATTCTGCAACGCTGGTGTCAAAAACTCTTCTATCATTGCTACATACCGCTCCGAATTAACAGTTAATGCGCGACCTCTGACGTCCTCAAAAAAATAAGGGCCTACGATGCCATGCGCTGACATAGCAGCCCAAACTGTAACTTTAGGGCTGTGTAAGGGCTTCTGATGCTTACGCCTTGGATTTTCGGGGCTCCAATAACGGCAATTTTGTTTATTTACCTGCCCGTTTAAATGGAAGTGAGCCTCGTCCGAGAACAACACATTATTGAGCGAAGAAAATCGATTCAACATTTCATTCGCAAAGTTTAGTCTCTGAATAGCGTCATTATCTTTTAATTCCTGCACTAACTGAATTTTGTAAGCGTGCAGACGTAAATCTTTCCTTAAAATCCGCTGTAAAGATGTTCTGGGTACGTTTAGTGCACTGGAACGCTTACGAGTAGACTGGGTAGGATTTTGACGAACAGACTGAGCCACAATGTTGATGTTTTCTTCAATACGAGTTGTCCTTGGTCGACCCCACCGCTGTTTATCTAACGTCGAACAAGTCTCTTCGAACTTAGCAACCCAGTTCTTAATCGTTTGAGCTGTTGGACACTTTGTAAAATTGTGTAAATTGTGGTATTCTCGATATTTACGCCGCGCAATGGTTGCCGAATCATCATTTTGATAAAACGCGCGCACACAAAAAGCACGATCCGCTCCAGTGAAACACTCCATGGCGACTGAATTCCCAGACACTGAAGATACTGCCCCCACCTCGCCCGCGCCGCTCACGCTCACCCGTTAAATTTTATTCAAATTTGAAATTTCAAAGGACTTATGGACCACCCTGTACATTATCGAAGATTACGCCTAGATTCTTTGCTTCGTGAACAATGGGGACTATCTCATTGTTTATACGCTTATTCAAACTATGCTCAATATTTCTTCTTAGTGTGAAATTAGATCCTAAAAGTAAAGCATTAAGTTTTAAATTATGGCGTATGGCAAAACTGTTTACCTCTAGCAAGTCTGAATTAATGTGATTTTCGGTTGTGCTCAAATTGTCGTTATTAATAACAATACAAAGTTGTGAGTCATCGGCGTACTGATGAAGCCTTGCAGCTTCAGACATATCAGCCACATACATAAATACTAAACAGCAAGTGCGAAAGGATTGATCCTTGAGGGACACCTTGTTTTACAGGTTTAAATTCAGATTTGAGACAAACGGATCCTTGAGGATCCATAACACAGCTTGATCGAGTACTTAGATAACTATTTAAAAAACTTATTGCATTAGGTGAGAATCCAAAACAGTTTAGCTTTGCCAGCAGCATTCTGTGATTTAGGCCCGTATCGTCAGTCGTCCCTACAATTGTAGGGCGCGTTTATGGCCTCCTTGATTGTCATAGTTTTCTACTTCTCCGTGTCAGCGCTCTATTTTGAGGTTATGTCACAAAATCTATTTGCATCAAATTGTCCTTGCTTTTGAGTTATATCATGTTTTATCAGCCTGAAATTTCCTACAATTTAAAAAGAAAACATATCTTCACAATAGGAGAGCGCTGACGCTGACACGGGACAAGTGTAATCTAAAAATTTTTGAAAGAGAGAAAGGAGTATGACAATCAAGGAGGCCATAAACGCGCCCTACAATTGTAGGGACGACTGACGATACGGACCTTAGAGTATCAAAAGCTTTGCTAAAATCTAACAAAATCATGCAAGTAGCATTTTTTTGGTCCTCATGCATTCGGACATCGTTTAAAATATTTACCAAGCTTGTAGTTGTACTAAAATTTTTCCTGAATCCCTATTGATATTGAGGAATGATATTTTGCGATTCAGAAAATTCCGACATCTGAACAAAACTATGTTTTTCTATAAGTTTTGACACCGAGGACAAAACACTAATTGGTGTGAGATGTTTAAGTTCTTTAGGCTCGCCAACCTTTGATATGGGTTTCTCAATAGCCTTTTACCAAACAGAAGGGTAAGTATTTTCCAAAAGACATGTGTTAATAATGGGGTTATCAGGTTATCAGTCATCTGAAAAAAATCATGTATCTCAGATGGATTTAAGAGATTATCAGAAAGTTCAGAAAAGGCCTCTGGTTGGTCAGATTAAGCCTTTGCGCTGCTTTCCAAAAATCATCTTGTTTTTTTCTTGCTAGATGATTGAAATAGGCAACTTTTTGGCGGATAATAGCGTGCTTAGTGAAATTTCTTAGTTGTCTATAATATCTAAGATGCTGATCTCTTTTAGATTTATTTTATTTCTGATTCCTACACAAATGCAAAAGATCTATTTTATGTTTTTATCTAAATGGGAATATCCAGTAGCCCTGAGACTTCATACATCATATCACAAGTTCTTGACTCAGCCCATTGAAAGTTTCTATTAAGCCTTGCGATTAGCTGAACTAGGCTTACAAGCATAGATAACATTATTGATGCTTTCCGAAACATTGATGGTTCTATCTTTTACAGGTGGTGACATCTACGTATACAAATTCCACGAACTCATCTAGCATTTGGTCACCTGCGTCTATCGACTCCTTTGCTTTAGATCAGCATAGGTGGTGCTCATCTGGCCAAACAACGGTTCTCAGCACCACAAACTCCGCGCCAGGTTACACCAACTATCCATATTACACAAACATGGACTACCTTACCACCACTTCTATGAACCATTCTCAGCTTGGGGTAAGACACATTGTCCTTGATTTCAGACTAATGTTTACATAATTCAAGTTTTCAACATACAGTATGTACTAACATCACATAGTCGCCAAATTAGTGATTCTGGGAGTCTATGGAACCTCGCACATAATTAATGCTGTGCATATGATAGTTATATTTCCACTTTAGAAATAACTTATACTTATTTTTCAGGATAACAGTCTGGAACCCACGTGGTCGAAAACGAGGGATGAGTCGTGGTTATACAATGGTAGCTGGGACAGAAAATGAAACAATATAAAAATTCGGAAGGAGAAACATTTTTCTGAATAGCAATTTCTATGAATACAGTAATGACTTCAAGATCTCAATGAATGTTAATCAATGTAAAAGTGGGCATATGTATGAGCATGTATTATTGCATAGAGACAATTTCCAAAAGTTGTCAATGTACAGGCTGATTCTCTTATTTACCTGTTTCGTTGCTAAATAAGAAAGAAACTTTACAACCAAATACACAAAAAAAAGCGTTCAGTCTAACACACAGTATTTTTGGTACCACTTGAATAACCGAACGTACTTAAGAATCAGAGGATTATTTTCTGTAAAAAATTTACCTGTTGGCCTATGAATCACTAATAAATCGTAAATCAGGTATTTTGATAAGAAACGTTGGGTCCATTAACCTATTACCAGAGACACCTAAACATTCATCTCTCTAGATACATTATCATTATAAAAGTTAAACTTATAGTGAGCTTCCAAAATTGTTGCTGAAGGATGTATTAAGATTAGATAGATGACATTCTTCGAACCATATTTTATTAATGAAATGTTTATTTTTCTCTGGGTGACAATGGTTGCAACTTACTATGGGTAAATGCAGTCAGACAGATAGAATATTGATACTTGAGCTTCATAGTCATACATAATCTCGAATAGAACTTCTTTGACCTATGCCCCTTCAATGTCATTCAAGTAACTTCAACAGATATGAACAACAGGAAAATATGAATGTCATTACAAATATTGGGAAATAGTTTGGCCATGACATCATATTAAGATTCAAAATGTTTCTTTTTGTGTATGTCGTTGTCCAAGTAAGATTACCAAAAATAATTGTCTTTGTATGTGCAATGTCGGGAATTCATATCATATTGGTATACTTTCTTGTAAATATACATCTGTAGGGATAAGTAAATGATTCTAGTTGTTAGTGTAAGAAATACAGACAATGATCAAAATAGAACACAATGTTTTAATTTAAGACAGTCAAGACGATTATTTTTAGTGCAGTATATCATACGTCACAAAAAACATTCCAAAAATTTTGAACTCACAATGAAGTGACCGAATTCATAACTAATTTGAATTTACTACAATATTCGATTTTAATTCATGATAGCAAGGTGTAGTATAACTTTCAGTTTACTTTGTATGTAGATTAATGGGTATACGAAAACCGTATTCGCTACTAAATAGATCTTTAAAAAATATTTGATGTATTTCATATTGTCTTGTTAACGTTTATGTTTTATGCTTATATCTGAAAATTCCGATTCAATATACAAGGTGCGTCATCTATTACTTTTTTTTTCTATTTGAAAAATCAACACGCTTTTTACGAGGTGAAATCAAATATTTTTATTGATAAATGAAGGTTGATTTATGCCATATATGTATGAAAAGTAACATCAGTCATGTGACCACTGCGGCTTCATTTACAGGCCAACATCCGAACATCGAAATGTTCAATGACTTTTCCGTTCAATGGCTTTTCCCAGAATAATCGGGTCTATGGCCGCAATTTTAGTCCGATTATTGCGCTTTAGGTCTTGAATTGTCCAGGGACCATTCACATACACTTTTCCTTTCAAAAATCCCCAAAGAAAACAGTCAAGAGGGGGCCAACTGACATCTGAATTTTGTGAAATTATGCGGTATTGAAATTTCGTGTGCAATAAGGCGATTGTTTGGCGAGATGTGTGAGCCGTTGCTCCGTCTTGATGAAACCAAAGACCGTCTGCACCAATACGATCCAATTGTGGCCACAAAAAGTCTGTTGCATGCCGCGATCACGTTCCCCGTTGACGGTAATGGCCTTTTCTTCGGTATCTTCAAAGAAGAATGGTCCAGCGATGCCACCAGCCCATAATCCGCACCAGTCACTTTTTCAGGATGGAGAGGTTGTTCATGATATTGGTGTGGATTTTCAGCCCCCCAGAATCTGCAATTTTGCTTATTTATGTACCCATTGAGGTGAAAATGAGCCTCATCAGAAAAGAGCACTTTGGCCGAAAATCCGTTTTCTCTTTCCAGCATCCAATTAACAAAAACACGCCGCTGTTGATGGTCTGCCGGCTTCAATTCTTGTGTTAGTTCGATTTTGTATGCATGAAGGTGTAAATCAATGTGTAAAATCCGGCGTAAAGTGGTCTCACTAATTCCCAATTGGTGCCTAGTTGAGGTGGTTGGATCTTCTCGCACACTTTCACTCACTGCGGCTATGTTTTCACGAAGTACGAGCTGGACGAGCATGTTGGTATGGTCTACGACCTTCAACTGAACCAGTAAAAAGTAACAGATGGTGCACCCAGTACAACTAGTCATTTTCTATGTGCCAATCACCTGAAGAATCATCGAAATGTATGCAATAGTTGAAAGAACTGTACATATCCTATTTAACGATAATGTAAAAGTATTGTAAATTGTTAATCACCAAATTGTAGATGAATAAGATTAAGGCCTAAATTTGAACGAGCAACGTTTAAAAAAAGGCAACGATGTGGTATAATCATAGGAAAAAACTTGTATTTTCTTTCAAAAATAATAACAGTAATAAACGACTGTACAGGAAGCTATTGTTAAGGTTTTACATAATATAATAGATATTCGACTAACTCTTTCTTTGTCTTTTTGTCCATATTCCTTATTTTTTCTTTGGCCTCTTCACGTGTATCTCCTTTCCTGATTAGTATCTCCACCAACTTATCAAAGTTCGGTTCGAATTTCTTACAGTTCAAGTCTTTTATAGGTATATCATAAAATATGATAATCTAAAAAAAAATGAAAAAACAATAACTTATTAGTTTGTTAATAGAGGGTCATCGCCAGTCAGTTAACGTTAATCTTATTTGACACAAAACGCTCATGACTTAAATGTCAAACATGAGGCACATTCAGGCTGTCCCATCTGCTGAGTTCCGCGTTGATGCTGCTTTTAGGTAGCGTCTTTGTTTTCTGCTGAATGCATGGCTAACTGGGGTGATATTTGGTTTCACTATAGTGAGACCAAACATTTTCTCTATTTGATTAGTTACAGGAATGTAGACATAGGAATCATCTAAAAGTAATATTCTCAACCGTTGATTGAAAAATTCACTCAATAATGAAAAATAGCCATAATACGTACATGTATCAATCATTCTCATCCTTTATGGTTTGTAATAAAACCCTATTCCTCTATAATAGGGTGTCCTTCAATGGTTACAACCAAAAAGTGGGTCTCAGGGATAATGGTGCTATTATTATCACAACGTCAATCAACTATTAAATGTTAAACGGAAATCTACTGTTTGAAAAGCGATGATTTGCTACTCTGAGTGAAAAAAGCAACCGCTGGTCAAAAAATCTTACATTTAGCAGAACTGCTTACTGAGCACTCTCAGCAGCTTAGACCGCCTGAATATCCCCATTGTTAACATTCACGTTTATGGATGTGGTAAAGTGACTAAAGTATCACAGCACAGTGCAGATTCTCCAATTACTGCACTAGCCTTATTAATTATCCAGCGATGGTCTTACTTTCTGTTAAGATTAAGGACTGTGAGCACAACTACAGAGTTAAAACTAAGTTTTTTCCTGAAATTATACGAGATTCTTGATAAAATTAGTTCCATATATAAATTTAATAGAGCTGTGTAATCTCAGTATTCAAAATATCGTCTCATTATTCGTACACAGATTTCATACATTTTTAGCAACATACCCATTTAGTTTTAAATTCTATTGGTTGGTGCTCGCCGCCATAAGTCTTCAGTTGAGACATGAGATAAACATTTTTTGAGCAGCGCTGCAAAATCTGCTAAACCCTACTTTACGAATATCCATCACGTTTTGGCTTCTACTGAGGTGAACAGCTGATGAGCAAGTGACATCTTTGTATTAGTCCGTAACGTTGACAATCATGAATCGGGTGTAAATATAGGAAAACTTGCTTGTAGTGTTTTTTTTGTATGCAAAGTAGCGTACAAAAAAACAAAACAAAATACGGCTCTGTCTACCTGGCGTTGACGATGCCATTCGTCGATATAAGGAATTTTGAAATATTGCTATGTAGATTACGAGCTATTATTCTACCGTGATGGATACTCGTGCAAAAGACAAAAATATTAATGCCTAATGGGATAACCTACATCGCGTTAGAAATTCACAAATCACATACATACTTTATTTTTGAATGTCACATAAACCAGGCAAGTTTCGTTAGGCTTATCCAGGGATACATTATAATAGCCAGACTCAAATGCTTGAACTGCTTCGTTCAAGTTAAAGCGAACAGAGTTCTTTTCTTGGTCAAGGATGTAAGTTTGACCATCCCAAGAGCAAGCAACTATATCATCAGCTCCGTTGCCCGTTACGTCCAGCTTTGTTAACGCAAATATTTGATGATCGACAGCTATAGCCCTGAAAAACGACATGGGCATAAATATTCTGAACCACCTTTTTATTTACACTCCCGTGATAGTTTCTAATATATCGGATGTTTTAAAGTCAACCCTCACCATTGGGATATCAGAAACGGTAAGACATACGAAATCGCTTGAATGGGGGCAAAGTTGCTTACACAAATAATTAAAAAAAATCCGCTTATAAAGTTTCTTAAAACGTGAAAAATTTTTGGAAATTTGTTAATAGCCGTAAAGATTATCATTACATACCTTCAGAAGTACATTATAATAATGACAGTAGTACTTCCGGTTTACAAATTACCAATTTGTTTGCAGATTACTTCTCTAAAACTTACAGCGTAGAGAATTGTAATATTTCGTATGGGGTCATCAATTTGTTTATCTATGAAATTCCAATCTCAGCCATCTATGAAAAACTGTCCAAATTAGACGCTAATAAAGGACCTGGACCTGATGGTGTACCTCCGTTGTTGTTTAAACATTGTAGCTTTCTGATTTCTCGACCTCTATTTTATATTTTTAATCTTTCGTTGAAAAGTGGAACTTTTCCGAAATGTTGGAAATCTGGAGATCCTTCACAAGTAAAAAATTATCGTCCTATCAGTAAACTGAGTTGCATTGGAATGGTATTTGAGAGCCTAGTGTGTGAATTTTTATCCACAAATTTGCAAAGTAGTTTTATAAGCCAACAGTTTGGATTTCTTTCAAAACACTCCACAGAGTTAAATCTTTCAACATTCACAAACTATGTTTTGTAATCCTTGGGGGAAGGTTATTCTGTTCACGTAGTTTATACAGATTTTTCTAAAGCATTCGATAAGGTCAACCATGAGATCTTGATTAATAAGTTACATTGTCTAGGAATTTGCGGGGATCTTTTATCATGGCTGAAGTCTTACCTCACTGACCGAAAACAAATAGTGCGTATAGAAAGATTTCAATCAAATGAAATTAATGTGCCATCTGGAGTACCTCAAGGTTGCCGTCTGGGTCCTCTTCTTTTCAATATATACGTGAATGATATTATATACTGTTTTAAGTCTGTTAGTTTTCTAATTTTTTATGTGGAAAAATGTTATTTAATGGTCTTCAGCCGAAACAGGGACCCCATTGATCACACTTATACCATGAAAGGTTGTCCTCTAAAGAGTGTATCCCAAGTTAGGGATTTAGGGGTAATTCTTGACCCAAAATTATCTTTTATTACCCATATAAATATGATTTTTTCTAAATCTCTTCAACTGTTGGGATTTATAAAACGATGTGCTAAGGATTTTCATAATATTCAGTCATTTAAAACCTTGTTTTGTTCTTTGGTGATGCCCCATCTGGAGTATTGTTCTTGTGTTTGGTCACCCAACTATAATGTTCATATTCAGGCAATTAAGAGAGTGCAACATAAATTCTTACTATTCATTTCATTCATACAAAACATTATGGTTGAAGATATTATCTATTCCGTCATTGAAAGCTCTCTCAATATCTCAACCCTTCAGGTAAGACGGAATCAGAGGGACCTGTCACTATTTTATATTTTGCACTCTCTTAGTTTTGCTCCAGAACTTTTGAAAAATATTAATCTCTATGTGCCTTCTCATCAAACACGACTGAATCAACCATTCCATGTGAGATCATTTCGTACTAATTATGCTGGTAATTCCTTCCTGTCTAGATCTTCAAGGTTAGCAAATCAGTATTCTAATAAGTTGGATTTCTTCAGAAGTCAGCAGATATTCAAAATTCAGTTATATTCCTGTCTGAATATTTAATATTTGATTTCCCCATATATTTAAATTTTGACTAAATTCATTTCAATTTAGAAATTATCTGGATTGTAAAGTGTTTGTGATTGTTTTAAGTGTTAAATATCTAAGTCAAAGTAGGGTTAGGTTTACATTAGATTTTCTATGTTGTACTTTAATTGGACAGTCGCTCGTTGATAAATAAATAAATAAATACATAAATAAATAAATAAATTCAGGATAGAGACGGAAAAAATCGAATTTTCCTAAAATCGTTAATTCAAAAAGCGGAATTTCCTCGGTAGGCCTGGAAATTATCAGATAGTCATTTTTTGCGTACCAGAAATTTATCCCAAAATCATTTTTATTTTTTCCTGACTTTATTTGAGATGAAATGAAATGAAATGTTTATTATTCTTAGCCCTAACGCTACTTCCTATAGTTTATAATAGTGTCTTACTCAAGTAACAAACAAAATAAACAGTTATCTTAAAACAGAAAGTACATATATTATGCCATTTTATCTAGATAGATGGAATTTCAAAATAGATTGCATGCTGTCATTGTTACTTATTCTCCTCGACAAGATGGCGTAGTAAAATTTTCGAGGTTTCTTTTCCAACTTTTGTTTCATTCATAAATATGGACGTTATATTGGAAGTGTGTACATTTAAATGGAGTTCTAAGCTCAGTGATGTGTGATGTATTTTCTTAGTTGGCCATGAATTTGTTGTTGGATGAGAATTATTTATAAGCAAATTACAAGGTATTATTAAACCTGAACACAAAATGAAAATTTTATTGATGATAATGATAATAAAAATAAATAAAATTTGAGTTCTGGTCTGGTATATATGAACCAAAAGACTAGATAGTCTAAAGGACTTCAGTCGAAATTATGAAAGATGACGGTTACGTCATCATTTTGGTCTGTAGTAGAGACAAACGACAGCGATTTGTGAATATGTTTAATGAAGTTTCCAATATGTTAGACAGAGACAAACAGATTTTTATTGTCTAAACAAACTGTAATGCTAATTTGCATGTATCCGACAAAGATATACGATGTTTTCATGTTGCATGATCGATCATATTTGAAAGATGAATAATTAGGTTATGTTAAACCAGGTTAGGTTGTTTTCGAATAATACTTCGGTCTTTGGTGTTAGTGTCTTAAGGTGTTTTCTACTCATAACTGTTCTTTCAAAATAAAAACTCCCCACTAAAATTATTATTGAAGTATCACTTAAAACCTTGATATAAAATGAAAATAAAAATAATCAGTGAAATAACCTAACTTCGCAAAGTCATAATATAAATTCATGACATCGTAATTTTATCATCGACGTACGTCCATTGATAACTTCAGTACAATTTACGGTATGATGTAATAGTCATCATTCGTGAATTTGACTATAGATAGTCTATCAGATGGTAATTTCAAGGCCTATCTAGGAACTTTTGTTTTTATGGAATAACTAAGGTTTGGCAATTTCACTGAAATCAGAATCGAAAGCTCGATCTGCGCAAAAATCCAATATCTCTTCCATAAGAAAAAAATGAAGTTGGTGCTAGAGGACAACAGACGAAACGTCATATTTAAATTCCAATTATGCCATCTTATAGAGGAGACAAGTGCCAATGTTCATGTGCAATTTATTATAAAATTCCGCTACAAATAAAGTCAAGAAAAAATTGAAACAATTTTGAGAAACTTCGTTTTTTCAATCTCTTTGAAATCCGAAACCTTCTATGCCGCATTTTGTTAGTTACCTAAATATGCAACTTTGCCTCCACTTGAGGAACTTCCTACCTTTTACCGTTTCAGAGATTCCAATGATGAGGGTCGAATTGAAACACCCCTTATATTAAATGTCTGGCTAATGGGACTATAAAATATAGACCCTAGTGCCAAAACAAAAAAGTATCCCATATTCATCAAAACGATTACCTACAGGTATAAATTCATGGAAGGACTGATCCCCTGCTAACTGGAAGGCTGATACTTATTTAAACTTCATTTCATTTGATGACTTCATAATTTCACCTAAGAGTAATAACTCTCCCATCAATTTACAATAATTGGATGTCCTAATCCAGTGATAACTTAAAGGTATAAATTCAACCAAAGGCAGACTGTCACCTCAGTCAGTTGTATGCTTGCGCGTCACCTGTTTAGTGATTCTAGTGATTTTATCCAGTGGTCCATTTTTTTCCAGACCAATACAGATCCATCATAGCTTCAGAAAGCTAGGGTAAGTAAAAGTATATTTTATATTACATATTATGGCGGATATTTATGCCATTAAAATGGATAACGGGTTTAATGGCAGTGACAATTATATATTATTCAATAAGACAAAGAACATGCTCCCGTTCATTATTTACCTAGAGTTTGGTCATTGCCATTATTTAATCATGGGGCAAATATAACTTCTCCTTATAAGAATGTAGTAAGCAATTTCTCAGGTTAGTTAGTAGCAGGGGCGGCTGGCCCTTAAGTTCTGCAGAACTGCCAAAACATTTGTCTTAACAGAAAAAAGCAGTAGTAATTCGATCATTATTTATTTTCCATGTTATCACACAAATAGAAAGAATACCGGCCTGCCCCCGCAAGACACGGCATCGAGTCTGTTTTGTACTAAGAAAGCATTATAACTGACCAATTGTGTACTTGTCATTTTCGTCTCGACCGCAGCGTAACATTATTCATGGGCCACTTGAAAAGGGTCTGTGCACTACTTCGACACAAGCCGCACGCGCTTGCTTTTGTCTCACTCTACAAAATCAAATGCGCGATTTAAGCTTAACCATGTGCTGCAGTTTATACAGATCCGTACAGATGTAATGCGAAGTACGATATCTGATTGGTCGGTCGGTGCTCGGTCCTCGGCATTGTCATATGGGTCTTATCGTGTGGCGTGGCTTAAAATTTGAACGAACAATTTTTTATTTAGGTATTTTGGTTCTTACTTTGAGTGACTAGTTACTCACTGACTGACTGTGGCTGTGTAGAAGGGTAGTGCAAGACAATGGATGTGGTTTACAGACTTATCAGCGTGAAACGATTCTGAAAACACACATTTGAAGAAAAAATTGAGCTGAAGGTGTCCGGTATACCGCTGCCGGACATATTTATAGAAACACAGGGCGTTAGTCGGGGCAAGGGCTATACGCGGCATTTCAGCAGGGAGATTTACACCAGAAATGACTGGATTTGTGGGTGCAACAGGAAGAATGCCCTTTTCTGCTTTGCTTGCATACTTTTCGGCGGTGACAAAGCTTGGACGGAGGTAGGTGTTACAGATTTAGTGCACCTGAGTGAAAAAATTAAGAAGCATGAAAACTCTAAAACACATCTTCATAATTCGATGGAATTGGCTTAATTGGGGACTGTTAACATCAGAGCTCAGTTTGATTCAGCATATTGGAGAAATATACAATAGCATAATGATACCGTTACAAAAAACAGGTACGTTGCGGGGCCACGACGAAACCGAGAGATCCCAAAACTCGGGAATATTTCGTGGACTGATTAATTTTTCTGCTGAGCTTGATACAAGCTAAAAAATGCTTCAATATTTAAAGGAACTTCGAAAGAAATATCTACAAAACGATCTGCTGGATTGTATTCTTCAAGTTTGTCATGAAGAAATAATAAAACAGATTAACAGAGCCTCGTATTTGGCGCTAATAGCAGATGAAACAACGGACATTTCGGGGAAAACCCAACTGGTAACAATTTTCAGATACGTATTTAACGGCGAACCCGAAAAATGTGACGCCGATACTCTCACAAGACATATTTTGAGCGCCGTAGATCCATTAATAGGAAATTTCCCTAACAAACTGATTTCACAAAGCTATGATGGAGCCGCGGTAATGAGCGGACATAATGCTGGAGTACAGGCAAAAATTAAACAAAGATATCCATTTGCTCACTATGTGCATTGCTATGCGCATCAGTTAAACCTGATTATGTCCCAAGCTGCTTCCGCAAATGCTCAAGTGCGGGTGTTCTTTGGGGATTAGAAAGATATTCCGGCATTTTTTAATAATTCTCCTCAACGCGTAGAGGTACTGAACAGAATTGTGGGGAAAAAATTGGCCAAGGAGCAACAACACGTTGGCATTTTAATATTCTAACAATGAATGTAGTGTTTGAGAACAGAGAATCACTCATTGAATGCATGGAAGAAATAGAAGAAAAATTCACTAATGAAACCGTTTGCAAGGCAGCTTGCGGTATTCACCGGATGTTAAACGATTCTGTTTTCGTGTTTTGGTTGACATTTTTTCATCATGTCATGCCTCACGTCGACATCTTGATCAAACAGTTGCAGAAGAGAAAAACCGAGCCAGCGCAAGTTAAAACGGCTATCGATAATTTTTAAAAATGTATTGTCGACGTGAGGAATAAAATTGATGACATAATAAATGAAGCCAAAATATTTGAACTCCAAGGCAACAAAAGGAGACGACGTAATAATAGCAGTTACGATCACCGAGTTGCCGCATTAGAAGTATGCGACAATATAGTGAATTCTACAAATGACAGATTTCAATTCAAAGATAATTTGGTAGCTGCATCCCCTTTTTTCCCCGAACACTTTGGAGAATACTGTGGTAAATTTCCTGATGACAAGTTGGAAACTACCTGCTTGGCTTATCCCGAATTAGAAAAAAGTCATTTAAAGACAGAGTTGTCTGTTATTTATGCACGGAATGATTGTCGAGATTTACATGGAACTATGTCTCTTTTGAAATTTTTGATACAAAATAGTTTGGAGGAAACACTAAAAAAAGGCTATCAGAAATTATTGTTACAACTCCTATGTTAACATCAGAGGCTGAGCGAAATTTCTCAACATTGAAAAGAATCAAGACCTTTCTTCGAAATACTATGACTCAGGATCGCCTTACAGCGTTGTCGATGCTGTCCATTGAAAAGGAATTTATTTCGACCATGGAAAATTTCAACGGGAAGGTGATCGACAAATTTCCTGCCAAGGAGCAAGGAGCGCAGGATCGAACTGACATATAAAAAATAGGTAAGTTCGGATTTGCAGAACACCTGTTTTATTTTGCCACGAGCTGCCACTGGTTAGTAGTAAGATATTTCTGAACCATTTTCTATGCCATAAGATCGTGCATTTGCTGAAGCGCTTTGAACAATTTTCTAAAGTAGAAAAATCCTTTGCTCCAAGTTATAAACGGTAATTGTATAGCTTTTTATATGCAATCTTTATTGGAAAATGTTTACGATAAAAAATATGTTAGCAAAATAAGTAGGTGCATAGGAAACGGCAATGTTATACCAACTCAAATTCAGTGTCAGGTGGACAGCCACATAGTGAAATCTGACATTAATTTGACGCCGCTTCTAAGGTAGCAAAAAATCTAGTAATGGCTTACCATAATATGACCTCGTCCTGTACAAGCATTATTGTTCCGTCTAGCGTTGCTAACGCATATGGCCTTCTTTAATATTCTAACAATGAATGTAGTGTTTGAGAACAGAGAATCACTCATTGAATGCATGGAAGAAATAGAAGAAAAATTCACTAATGAAACCGTTTGCAAGGCAGCTTGCGGTATTCACCGGATGTTAAACGATTCTGTTTTCGTGTTTTGGTTGACATTTTTTCATCATGTCATGCCTCACGTCGACATCTTGATCAAACAGTTGCAGAAGAGAAAAACCGAGCCAGCGCAAGTTAAAACGGCTATCGATAATTTTTAAAAATGTATTGTCGACGTGAGGAATAAAATTGATGACATAATAAATGAAGCCAAAATATTTGAACTCCAAGGCAACAAAAGGAGACGACGTAATAATAGCAGTTACGATCACCGAGTTGCCGCATTAGAAGTATGCGACAATATAGTGAATTCTACAAATGACAGATTTCAATTCAAAGATAATTTGGTAGCTGCATCCCCTTTTTTCCCCGAACACTTTGGAGAATACTGTGGTAAATTTCCTGATGACAAGTTGGAAACTACCTGCTTGGCTTATCCCGAATTAGAAAAAAGTCATTTAAAGACAGAGTTGTCTGTTATTTATGCACGGAATGATTGTCGAGATTTACATGGAACTATGTCTCTTTTGAAATTTTTGATACAAAATAGTTTGGAGGAAACACTAAAAAAAGGCTATCAGAAATTATTGTTACAACTCCTATGTTAACATCAGAGGCTGAGCGAAATTTCTCAACATTGAAAAGAATCAAGACCTTTCTTCGAAATACTATGACTCAGGATCGCCTTACAGCGTTGTCGATGCTGTCCATTGAAAAGGAATTTATTTCGACCATGGAAAATTTCAACGGGAAGGTGATCGACAAATTTCCTGCCAAGGAGCAAGGAGCGCAGGATCGAACTGACATATAAAAAATAGGTAAGTTCGGATTTGCAGAACACCTGTTTTATTTTGCCACGAGCTGCCACTGGTTAGTAGTAAGATATTTCTGAACCATTTTCTATGCCATAAGATCGTGCATTTGCTGAAGCGCTTTGAACAATTTTCTAAAGTAGAAAAATCCTTTGCTCCAAGTTATAAACGGTAATTGTATAGCTTTTTATATGCAATCTTTATTGGAAAATGTTTACGATAAAAAATATGTTAGCAAAATAAGTAGGTGCATAGGAAACGGCAATGTTATACCAACTCAAATTCAGTGTCAGGTGGACAGCCACATAGTGAAATCTGACATTAATTTGACGCCGCTTCTAAGGTAGCAAAAAATCTAGTAATGGCTTACCATAATATGACCTCGTCCTGTACAAGCATTATTGTTCCGTCTAGCGTTGCTAACGCATATGGCCTTCCTGTCATTGCGCCTTGCTGTAAATCTCTCTTTCCATTCTCATCTTTTGGCCCATGTAAACATTTTAAGTCCCCTAGAATTTCCGTTGATATGTTCGGATTTCTCATTCTAGATATGCCCAGACGTTGATAGTCGACATTACCCGATATACTATGTTCTTGTGAACTATAACAATAAAGTCGTAATTATGACAAGGGCAAATATCTATCAAACAATTATGTTTAACAAATCTGTTGTGACCTACTTGGTTGAAGCTGAAGCACTATGTTGAGAATTATTGGCAGTACTGCAATGATCCATATCAGCGCTACAATCGATGCGCATGAAAGTTCCACCAGGCTGAGCAATCAACAAAAGACCCTTTCCATCCAGTGAATGATGCAGTGTTATTGATCCTATTTGGTTGGCGCACTCCCATTTGTTTAAAGCTACAAACTTTCCTGAAAATGTAAAACAAACTCCTGTACGTACAGTAAGTCTTAATGGCACGTCTTACGAACGCAGAAAACGTTGCGCTTTTATCATATCAATCAGCGCGCTGTAATTGGCCGACAATGACTGTCTCTCCAAATAGCTCGAGGTCTTGTCACCTCAAGTGCTCCAAATGAAGATGCGCGGTGGATTTTGGGTTAATATTCAGCCAGAGCGTTTCTGGTATATATATTCAACAAAACCTTTGGTTATGATTACGTCAAATTTGGCACGATTCAACAACAAGTATTGATTTCTTCAAATAGTCGAGTACCGAGTACTCGGTGGAGTGATTTGATTTGCCTTATTTCAGCTACTGTTAGCCATATTAACATTATATTTGCGTTTTTGAGAAGTCCCTTTGTCCTCAAAATTAACGAACCACAAAAAAAGGTTGAGCTTGAACAGTTTTTTGTAAGTGAACCGTCGCAGGTTAGAGTATTTACTTTATTTTCAAAAGTTTCGTATTTTTAAATAAGTAAGAGTCCTGCATCAGCTAATTATATGATTTTACTGCGGAGTTCAGCAGCGACAATGTTGAGTTAAAATTGAAACCATATTTTGAAATACAATTTTGGCACATTACATTTTTGCTCATGTTGCTCAAATTGCGATAAGTATCTATTAGAATCGCCACCATGTCATGGGCGTGATGGACACTGAAATTAAATCCTATTGTTTTCTGAGCTGCTTTTGGGAGGAGGTTCAGAAAATTCAAATTAAAACTGCTGGATGTCGTGGCGAGAATATGTCAGATTTGAGAAGGACTAAATATAAATTATCCTTACATATAAGCACAGGTTTTCTTTGTACGAGCCCCTTCCCACTTCAGTTGGCCCACTTCAAGATTTGTACCAAAATATGCCTTTATAAACTAAACATGACGAAACTTTTTACTTCTAAAACAATTTATTTTCTCAAAAACATTTTAGATACACTCTAGTCGTAAAAAATACATATTTGAAATCACTTAGACCTATAACTAATAGAACATCTGAACAAATAAACAATGTGCGAATAAATGCGCGAAGTCAACAAAGCAACAATTGAAAGATTACCAATGGGTAACATCACCTTTATTTTTTATTACGGCTGAAATTCTTTGGGGCATAGTGTTAACCAAGTTTTGGCAAAAAGTTGGTGTAAAACAATCCCATATTTCTTGAAGCTTTTGTACGTAAGTGATTGTACGAGCAAGATGTTGTCGTAGAACCTTTTTCATCTCGTGCCACAAAGTTTCAATAGGTGACAGATCTGGACTGCTAGAAACCCATTTCAAAAGTGGTACATTATTTTCTTCCATCCATCTTATAGCCTTTTTTGAGGTATGGCACGCTGCACCATATTGCTGAAACACAAAATCTTGGCCAGATGTCAAACATTTGTCCATCACTAGTAAAAGCGATTCTTCTAAAATTGCCAAATATTTGTTTGTATCCACATTTCCATCAATAAAATGAAGTTTTCCTACTCCTTTTGATGACATACTGCCCCAAGTCATAAAGGATGCTGGAAATTTCACTTTTCTCTTCAGACAGTCAACATGGAACGCTTCATTTTTTTTTGCGAACTGCGACTGTCACCAACACAAACTTCGAATCGGGCCTCATCACTCCATTGTCTTGCACACCATTGATGAGGTGTCCATTGTCTATGTTCTTTAGCCCATCTAAGCCGATTTTTCTTTTGCAGTGGAGTTAATAGTGCTTTTCTTTGGCCTATAAACAAGTTGTTCAACTTTAGGGTATTTACTTCACTTTTCTTTATAAAAAAACTTACTTTGCAAGTGCTAAATCCCAGTTTGTGGGCCTCTCTATGAGTTGTGGACCTAGAAATTCTCCTTCCAACAGCGTCACTCCACAGAGCACTTAATTGTAAACAATTGGCACGCCTGTTTTTCCCGATTATTCTTCTTAATGCTCTTTGGTCGCCATTTGTGATATTACTTTTTTTCTCATATCGTGGCTTAATATTAACTGAACCAGTTACGTTATATCTTCTAACAATATTTCTCACACTGTACCGCGATAAGTCTAACAAAGTTGCAATTCCTGAGTTTGATTTCCCAGTATTAAAAAATTTAATTATCAGTAACCGAATTTTCTCACGAAAAACCTTTCCTCTACCGATTTTGAAAACCTTAACTACCCAAAACTATTTTAAACGTATTCTGACAGCTGTGATTAATAAAAACAATTGTCATGGCTTTTATTTTTCACAGCCACGTTATAGACTTATTTTGCATTGAAATGAAAATAAGTTGATATGCTGTAATTGCAACATGTGTTATTTTTATCCTGCAAATTTGATTAGGGAGTGATAAAGTTGGTGTTTTCTACTATTTATTATCAAAATATGCATTGTTAATATTTTAAACCTATAACACCCTGCTACATTTTTATTATTTGTATTTGATAAGAAAAAAACTAAGATTTCAATAGTCGGGCCAACTGAAGTGGGAAGGGGGTAGAAACGCGGGATACTTATCATTCATGTTACTTTTCTACTTTTGTTGCCCTATTTAATTTCAAATTGCGGTTCTTCTTATTTTTTCTCTGCTCATAAGAAATGTATTATTTATAAAAAAACATGTAGTGGTAACAAAAAAATAAGCTATGCAAACACCTTAAATACACTAACTTACTAGAGAAGACGATCGACATTTACAAAAAAAATTATCCAAATCAGGCAACTGATTTCGGAAAAAAAATTTGACGCAATCTGAGCTACTTTTTTTGATGGTGCGTTAATTTCTTGGAGAACACATCAAGAAGGTTTAGGAAAAACTTAGCACACAACCTGCGTAATTCTTTTATTTACACAAGTTGTGTTTCTTCCGTTTAGACAGAGTAATTACCCGGCCGAGTTATTTTAATACTCGGTAAAATGAGTCTATAATACCGGGTTCAAACCAAGTACTTGATGCATGCCTACATGTAATTAACCATTATCTTCAACAAACCTAAAACTTTATCTGACGGCTCATAAGGCACATTAGAGTCTGTTATGTTAAGCGTTGGCTTGTGTGGATTCCCCACCCATTTGTATGATCTGACAACTCTGTCGGTCAGCCCTAGTACCATTTCCAATGTACCATCCCCATCAATATCACCCAAGAGGATACTCTGAAAATGTAATGTAAGTTTTGAATGTTGTCAGCAGTGAGCTATACCCTAAAATGATGGAATAGCATTATAAATTTGAAATGTGTTTACCTTGGAATTGGCTGGTATTCTTTGCATGTGGATGCAAACAAGAGGGACTTTTTCATTCTTTTTATTAGACTTTACACTATTACTGCTACTATCACTAGTAGGGAGATTTTCTAGGCTGCCAGATCCAGAAGTGGACTGAGTTTGTCCATCAATCTGTTGCATAAAAAAATACAGAAAGTACATTTAATTCATAACCAGTGGAGTTTGGACTTTGGAATATTGGGGGATCCCATAATAGGAGACTAACAAAGATTTTCCTTCCAGCAGCTTCCTTTGATAGGAGGAATGCTCTACAGGGAAGCGAAAATTCCACGAGAGTACTTTACATTTCTGAACACTCATAGAATAGTCGCTCCCCGAGGTGTTCTCAAAAAAAAAGTGCGGAAGTCACGACGTCATCCATCCGGCTAATCTCTAATGATTGAGATAACTTTGTAGTTAACGTTTCATGATATGATTAAACTTGTTTGATGCGCAAAGTGCCTGCCAGAGAGATTCGACTAACTTTAGCCTCCCATCCAAACCGTGTCGAAGTTCGTGCATCCACAGCTTGCCGATACGACCGTTCCTTTGTTCCTAGGGTATCGAGATTGTGGAACAATCTACATGAAGAGGCTTTTCCCAGTTCTACCAACCTTAGGGAGATCAAAAAACGTATTAACATAATTTATTTAAGTTCCTTATAGCAGCCGCGGTGTCCTGGCATTTAGGCTTCCACCTGCGAGGCTGATTCGGTGTGAAAAAACAAACGTTCACAGCAATCATAGTATTTTGCTGAGAATGGGTACATTCTCCAACATGTTTGATAATGTCAACAGATTTCAGAATTTGGGATCATTCCCCAGGGAGCATTCTATTCTACTGCGCTCAAAAGTTAACCCTCATAAAGGATTTTTCTTTCTCTTGGCATCGCATGCTTGCCGTTTGCGTCATCTTGGGAAATTTTGGTCATCAATACCCACTGCAGAAGGAAAGTTAGATTTTAGTGTTCTCACTTGTCATCTTTCAGTATGTGATAGGCTTGAGACACACAAAATTTAATATATTCAGAGATGAAACACATGCGTGACTCACTTCATCACTTTGCTTTTCACTCTTCTCACTCTGTTCATCTACTTCTGGAGCTGCATATAAGTGACACCAACCATCAGCTGTTATTATAATAAGAATGTTCTTCTTCTGATTCATAATGTCACCAATAGCCACACAACTCACAAAAGTGAGTTTTGAGATTGTCTGTATTTTTTCTTGGCCCTAGAAAATAGTATAGCTTTATTCAAGTTCTAGAGTATGTGGTATCCTAGAACCGTTCCGATCAATTAATAAGGGATTATATTCGACACAAGCTAGTCCGCCTTAGAGAAACACTGGCTACGAACATGAATAACAATGGAATTATAGTTGAAAACACGCATGATGGCTCAGCCCAGCCCCCTCGACCCCCAACATCGAATTTTTAACTCCTAATTTTTTTTTCTGAAAATGATCAGAAGCCCTTAACGTCAAAAAGGAAGTGTCTGCGATTTTCACAGTCTACAACTTTCCAAGTTATAGTCAGTCCAAAGATTAGCGGACAAACAGACCGATGGAAATGAGTGACGGTTTTTCATGATGTACACGTCATATAACATCCAAAAAACACAATATATCATATTCTAAATTTTTCGCAATTACAATACCTCCTCGCCCTGTAGCGTAAAATATAATTGATTGCATACTGCAAAAAAGAGTAATCATAGAAGCAACAGTTTATGTAGAATAATTACCTTAAAAACTGCCACTTCTCCATTGGAATTTCCTACTATTAATTCATTTAGACCATCATTGTCAAGATCTCCCAGAGCTATAGCATTTCTAACCACATTTCCACTAAACTCAAATTCTAGTTTATTCACTAAGGAAATAGCCCTCATTCTTGGAAGTCTTTCTAAATCTTAGCAATAGTCAAAACAGATTTAGAAATCAAATTTAATGGAGCCCTTGTATCAGGTAAGGAGGGGGTTATTATTTGCCACCTTGAAGGGGGCCAAACTATACAAGAAGCTTTAGCTGTTACTAGACCTAGTGCCACGGGACCAAATTTGTTTGAATCCATAGAATGACCCCGATGGTCACCTTCTATCCAGCAATGGCCTTCAGGTACCCTTACTATGTCGTTCTTATATCCTAATGTTGCAATAATATCACCTGCAAGCAAAAGTCAACAAAAGTCAACAAAGACGACAAAAGTCGATGAATGAACTATCTGGTGAAGAGGATATTAAATTGTCTCAAACCGATAGCTAGAGAGCTAGAAATTGGAATAAGATTGCAATAAATTTTTTTCAGCAGAAATCTTACTTTTTCCTTGTGCAATTATGCTGCTTTCTGTTCTTAACATTTATTACTTAGAATAATATTACTTAATTTAACAAAACAAAGTATCTGCCCTGGCCTGATTTGAATTGAATTGAATTAAAAAAATGTAATTTATTTTTTCAAATTTTCAAAAAAAGACTGGGTATTTGGGTGCAACAAAATAATTCTAATTGTTTATAATGTAAAAATGAGAGCACTTTTGGGACGAGAGCATAAAAGCTTTTTTTTTTTAATGATGATGATCTTTATTTCATAGCAATGTGCTAACGCTAAAGCTTCATAAAACAATGGTTTTATGAAGCTTTATCCAAGGGAACACTGTGGAAAAAATTAATGTCTAGAATAAACAATTGTAATTAGAAAATTGCTGAACTATTATATAGTTCAATCTGAAATTTATAATCTTGCTACCTCCTCAATAAATATTTTTCTTTGATTTTTTGTAGCTTTTATTGCTTACCTAATAAATGAATAAATTTTAACTATCTTTAGTGGGTTTCTCAACACCATGTCAACCTATTTGTTAGTTCTGACTGCCACTTTGAGTATATATATATATATATATATTCATTGTGTATAAGTACTCCATTAAACAGTATTATATTATATCAAAAACTTGTTTAGAAAACCAGGCTGCTATTGATATTCATATCTTGGAAAAAAATAATGATTTAAATTTAAAAATAAATGCCTAGGACTATTTAGTAAAGATAAAACAAATAGCAATTGCCCTAGATAAGATTCAACGAGATGACTGTACAATTAGCGAATGCACAGAAATTTGGATAGACCTATTTGCCTTTTTTAAAGAAAATGAAAATTGCAGTTTATTAGTATTAGTTCCCTAGTTTCATGTTTGATTACTTAATAAAAAATTAAGTATATTTTTTAGTACCTAGGTGAATTAACTTATGGCCCTTTTAGTTTCGTTTTGCAAAATAAAATCAATTTCAATCATACTTAAAAACAAATATGAAAAAAAACTTGAATAATTCACAAAAGACATAAAAACAGTGTTTAAAACATTTTTTCAACTTGGTAACTATAGTCCTGCTGTACTCTTGCAGTGGGTTTGTCTGAACTGTTAGTTTTGTCTCAATGGTGATCTTGTAATGTTTACCTTCAATGCCAACAACTCTCTTGATGATATGTTGTGAAGGATCTTTGGGTGACACCAAAGATATTATATCTCCTCTTTGTATATCATACTGCTTGACTGCCCATTTGTTCAAAAATACATAATCAGTTTGACTATTGTCAGGGTTTAAAGCAGGTTGCATAGATATTCCATCCACTCTGGCAACGTAGCCTATAAAGTCTATTATCGTTATACCGATGGGTACTCCGAAAAACACACTTTTCATAAAACTTGGAATTTTCATTGATAGGTAGGTATCTAAATAAAAGGAAATTTAAAATAGCAATCCGGTCCGAATATTTTGAAATTCTGTCATCTGTGGCTGCCCCTGATCTTTGACCTATCAAGCGTGACAAGCAGCTGTCAAAAAGCGAAGTATCGATGCTCGGTTGGCGCGGTGATGGGCGAACAATAAAAAACCATCGTCCTATGCTGAGATGCATGACCTTGACTCAGGGGGGTAAAACGTCTTATGGGCCAACTGGCAACAAGGTCATCCTCTCCAGGCAAAATCGAGGAAACTGCATTACGTGCATTACCGACATCACGTGACGTGCTGCTTGCCGGGATTCTCTATTTTTATCTAAGTGTAAAATATCGAATATGGCGTTTGTTTTGGTTAAGATTGAGATTATCAACGCTGATGCTTTCGGAGATATTTCGTCAAAAATGAATATAAAATACATAAAGCAACACTATCAGTGGCTGTAATGGTATACGTGAGATGTATTGTGCCTATTGTGGAAGATGCAGAAGTTCAGGAGACTGTTGTAAGTCATAAAGTGTTACAGGCAGGCTGTGAAAACATATCGGCATGATGTAGTCAGTAAAATTGCATGTCTGGGTTCAGCCTCGTTATACTTCTTGCATTTGGCACCGTTATATAAAGTACGAACGTTTTTTTGTAAGAGACATGGTAATATCGGCAGAGTACAGTCATAAAGCCCTAAGTTTTATAAAGCAATTTTCTGCCCATCTTGACCAACAAATCAAAGTCCTGGAACTGAGCAAACTAATTAAAACTTTCTAGGTGATTTACAAAGAATTATGAATTACATTGGTGTTTTTTGTATTCATTCAAGAAGCAATTCAACACAACATGAATGTGGAATACATCTATTTACATTTTCATGTAATAGGTACAATTTGTATACCATTGTCAACATCATGTGATTATTTTGAAAGTAAATATATTTTGTGCTTCATAATTGCTGTCGGATTTTATTATTCTGAACCTTGTTATCAGCAAAACAGCTGAAAGAGATATTCCCTTGGTGGGGATATTTTATGAAGATATGTACATAAAATAATCTTTCAATATCGGTATGATTTTCAGCAGATTTCAAATTAGGAACAAACGAAACTCTCGGCACATTCCTAGCAATTCCGTATTCCAGGCGCATTCTCGGTATTCTTTCGATAGTTCCGCCAGATCTCCAGGCAAGTAGGCAGCGCAACCATTTAACAAACGTCAGCGGTGTTGCCATCGTTTAACGTGCAGCTCCCCCGTCTTAGGTGCTTTGTGGCCTTGAAATTCGTTATCGCCGTTCTTGTTGCTTTGTCAATTCTAACCTCAATTTCTCCCTTTCGATCATCTCTGTTCGTTATTTCTGGTAGCTTTTCCCGGTGAACCACTGATGATACAATCACAAATCTATGTGATACATTTTTAAAATCTAGGATGGTAGGTATATTTTAACAAACCGTCTAACATTATCGTGCTTAGTGGCGTTTATTTAGTTTGAGCAAGTTTTTGCTCATTGTGTAAAATTAGGACCTGGTAGAATATAACTTGAAAGTGGACAACATCACGAAATCCGCTAAAGTCATTATAATTTAAATAGATAAATAGATTTAAATGTCTAATGTGGTTATTCATCAATGGATCTGCCTGTTGCCACACATTAAAAAGATCAGACAACTGGTAGTTTCTCTAGCACCAGTGTCTCATACATATCAGTCAGATTTTTGCCTTTGTTTGTTTTGAAAATCAGTTTAATCATGAGTTTTGGCATGGTGTGTAAATTATTTTGAGAAAATGTAAAAATAACACTTTTCTAAATATGAGAATGAGCAAATCACAGATTATTAGCTACACTCAGTGGCGACGCGTTTTCCTAAACTGTTACCAAAACCAGTTGTGAAAAATCTTATTAAATAAAGTTTATTTTGAACCTCCCAAATATAAGTTTTTGCTTATTTTAGGTATTTTATTTAAACTATTTTTAACTTTAGGTAAACATTCCTGGACTGAGCATCTGGGGCACTTGATATACCTCATTGTCTTATGCTATGACTAATCCAAGCCGTCCGAAAAAACAGTCGACGTTTCTAGATGTTCGGAAAACTTTTGATCTTTTTTGGCGATGAATCTTAACAACTCCCTGTAATTTCCTCTATTGTCAGAATCATCCCCTTCAAAATGAACGGTAATTCCTGTTTTGCCAAAAAACATACGGTGTGCTGCCTAAAAGCGTGGTTAATACAACTTTCGATTCTTGTTTTGCAAAACTGAATTAAATTGGCTACACATCTCATGTGTAACGGAGAAATTTCATGTCTCCTCTTTAGAGCCCTAAAACTAGTTAAATCGTTGAATCCGCTGCATTTTATTCTGTATAAAACAGAACACATCACCAACAATACAATCTGTTTTTTTACAACCACATAAACAAGAGATTCCATATACCAACTTAATTTAAAATATCAAACTATTTTTTTTAATCCTTTTTAAAATTATCTAAAATAGGCGTTGGTCTTCAATTCTCAGTGATCTCCTTTTTTTCTTAAAAATTATACAAGGAGTATGACTTTTCAAGTAGTTGATCAATTATGCAGTGACACTCATCCATGTTTAATTGCACGCATACTACAGCCGGTAACCAAAACGGCTACTAACGAGTGAGAAGTGAGTAACCAAATCAAAAAATGGTAACACGCACTTAGGCGGCCGCGATCAGACACGAGCCGGTACCACCGGTCCCAGACGAACTAAAATGGTAACAACTGACAACCAAGTAGAGGCGTGCCAGCTTCCTTGTGTTCGCAAAACCTAGACAGTATAGGGCGCATTATTTTCGTAGTTCTAGTTTGCTATTTACTGAATTACTATTACATATCGCTGTTGGTAAACAAACAAATGAAATTATTTCACAGTACTTAGTCATAAAATGTTTATTTTTAACTGTTACCAATGGTAACAATGGTTACATTTATGCTTCGCCACTGACTACACTAGAACAAATCTAATAAATTGTTTCTCTTTATTTCCTAGGCTTGCTGAATAATGAATTTTGATAAGTATATTCATAGACATTGGAATACAACATTTGAGAAAATGTCAAAATCAGAAGTACCAACTGGAGCCATGGGGATGTTTGAAATCACCACCTTTGTACACCCACATCTCTTTTGGTTGATTGAGGTTGAAAGTAAAATAAGACAGAAAACTCTACATGAATTAGATACCTCTATGAAGGAATTATGTAAACAGCAATCTAGGGATTCTGCTACCACTTTTGAAGCAGGAGATGTGAGTATACTTTAAATAACTGATTATTTTGAATAAGTTTTTCCAAATTTATATATATATATATATAGAATGAAGTAATGTTGGTACTTGAAAAACGAATGTTGAACAATCTGACTAATATGAGAAAAAAAGTCAGCAATTGTGTCTCACAACTTTCAATTGTTAGGTATTTCAAAAAAGGTTAGGGCCCTTTACACTAATCATATTTATGTGCATTGGTATAAAAGCTGTTACTCCAGTTCTTATAAGGGTTGTTCGTACAGTGGTTGGTGACTATGACTGGGATCAGGTGGCATCAATTCTGTCTTCTGCTGAATGAGCAAAATTTGTGTGGCAAGATCTTTAACATGGTCACTAACAGGTTGGCGACTACTGTATGTATAGGGCTTATGTTATTGATTGATGCCATGCTATAAGGATGGGTGGTCAATGATTAAAAACAAGTTATGGATTAGCCAGATGTATTCACAATTCTACATAATAATATTTGATTTCCCCATATATTTAAATTTTAAATAAATTCGTTTCAATTTAGAAATGATCTGGATTGTAAAGTGTTTGTGATTGTTTTAAGTGTTAAATATCTAAGTCAAAGTAGGGTTAGGTTTACATTAGATTTTCTATCCTGTACTTTAATTGGGCAGTTGCTCGTTGATAAATAAATAATAAATAATTTTAGCACGCATCTGTTAACATGAACAGATTTAACCAGTTATGTGGTTAACAAAAGTTTCCAGGGGGTACATATTCATTGTGATTTTTGTGGATAAAAAAGAAGTAATCTTTGAGCTACTTATTGAACTTTTCTATCCAATAGCTGGTTAACTGTTTATCTTAAAATAACCAGTTAATTAAGTTTAAAAAATCAGGTGTTCAATTAACTGGTTATCTATGCCCGTCCCTACCATGCTGATGTGTTGAGATACTTGAGTCATCAAAGCCACAGATGCAGTGGCGGCTCGTGGCAAAATAAAACAGGTGTTCTGCAAATCTGAACTTACCTATTTTTTATATGTCAGTTCGATCCTGCGCTCCTTCTTGGCAGCAAATTTGTCGATCACCTTCCCGTTGAAATTTTCCATGGTCGAAATAAATTCCTTTTCAATAGACAGCATCGACAACGCTGTAAGGCGATCCTGGGTCATAGTATTTCGAAGAAAGGTCTTGATTCTTTTCAATGTAGAGAAATTTCGCTCAGCCCCTGATGTTGGCATAGGAGTTGTAACAATAATTTCAAAATTATCGATAGCCGTTTTAACTTGCGCTGGCTCGGTTTTTATCTTCTTCAACTTCTTTAACATACGGCGAATACCGCAAGCTGCCTTGCAAACGGTTTCATTAGTGAAATTTTCGTCTATTTCTTCCATGCATTCAATGAGTGATTCTCTGTTCTCAAACAGTACATTTGTTATTTGAATATTAAAATGCCAACGAGTTGTTGCTCCTTGGGGAATTTTTTCCCCACAATTCTGTTCAGTACCTCTATGCGTTGAGGAGAATTATTCAAAAATCCCGGAATATCTTTCAAATCCCCAAAAGAACACCCGAACTTCAGCATTTGGGGAAGCAGCTTGGGACATAATCAGGTTTAACTGATGCGCACAGCAATGCACATAGTGAGCAAATCGATATCTTTGTTTAATTTTTGCCTGTACTCCAGCATTATGCCCGGTCATTACCGCGGCTCCATCATAGCTTTGTGAAATCAGTTTGTTAGGGACATTACCTATTAATGGATCTACGACGCTCAAAATATGTCTTGTGAGAGTATCAGAGTCACATTTTTCGGGATTCATATAATTCCAAAAACATTCTACTGGTTCGCCGTTAAATACGTATCTGAAAATTGTTACCAGCAGGGTTTTCCCCGAAATACGAGGCTCTGTTAATCTGTTTTATTATTTCTTCATTACAAACTTCAAGAATACAATGCAGTAGATCGTTTTGTATTTCTTTCGAAGTTCCTTTAAATATTGAAGCATTTTTTATGTGTTCGCTTAAGGTTGTATCAAGCTCAGCCGAAAAATTAATCAGTCCACGAAATATTCCCGGGTTTTGGGAGCTCTCGGTTTCGTCGTGGCCCCGTAGCGCTAATTCAAATGCTCCGCAAAATTTTATACAATCGATTATTTTTGATAGAACGTACCTGCTTTTGTAACGGTATCATTATGCTGTTGTATATTTCTCCAATATGCTGAATCTAACTGAGCTCTGATGTTAACAGTCCCCAAAAAAGCCAATTCCATCGAATTATGAAGATGTGTTTTAGAGTTTTCATGCTTCTTAATTTTTTCACCCAGGTGCACTAAATCTATAACACCTACCTCCGTCCAAGCTTTGTTACCGCCGAAAAGTATGCAAGGAAAGCAGAAAAGGGCATTCTTCCTGTTGCATCCACAAATCCAGTCCTTTCTGGTGTAAATCTCCCTGCTGAAATGCCGCGTATAGCCCTTGTCCCTACTAACGTTTCTATAAATATGTCCGGCAGCGGTCGACCTAACACCTTCAGCTCAATTTTTTCTTCAAATGTGTATTTCCAGAATCGTTTCACACTGATAAGTCTGTAAACCACATCCATTGTCTTGCACTACCCTTCTACAAAGCCACAGTCAGTCAGTGTGTCACTAGTAACTCAACGTAAGACCCAAAATACCCAAATAAAAAATTTTTCGCATTCAAATTTTAATCCATCATGCGACAAGACCAATATGCCAATACCGCCGAGGACCGAGCACCGACCGACCAGTCGGGTATCGTACTTCGCATTAGATCTGTATGGATCTGTATAACTTGCAGCACATGCTTATGCTTAAATCCCGCATTTGATATTTTAGAGAGAGAGAGAGAGAGACAAAAGCAAGCACGTGCGGCTTGTGTCGAAGTAGTGCACAGACCCTTTTCAAGTGGCCGATGAATAATGTTACGCTGCGGTCGCTACGAAAATGACAAGTACACAATTGGTCGATTATAATGCTTTCTCAGTACAAAACAGACTCGATCCCGTGTCTTGCGGGGGCAACGTTGCCGGTATTGTTTCTATTTGTGTGATAACATGGAAAATAAGTAATGATCAAATTACTACTGCTTTTTTCTGTTAAGACAAAAGTTTTGGCAGTTCTGCAGCTCTGCAGAACTTAAGGGCCAGCCGCCCCTGCACAGATGTATTCTGAGGGCAAAAAAGTGCATGTTGTTTGCATACAGAGACCCTGAAGCCATACATGAATTACACAACTTGTACTCCTGCTGCATATTGGCAAGCCAGGCTTATTTTATATTATCCATAAGGTCAATATAGTCAGTATTGGAGTATTCTTAAAATCTATCTTTTAAGGCATCCAGTTTCATTAGATTAACATGGTCAGGGGTAGGTAGAGTCTAAAGAGTGTTACTGCTAATTTGCCATATTCCTTCCAGAACATGACAGTCTAAACTACAACAAATTCACACTATACAGTCTGCGAAAAGGTTGGGAAATCTCGATGCTGGAGATACTACAGACCAAAATATGTGATTTGACCTAAACATACCTTAGTCCAAAAGTTGATAGTTTGCGAGATACCCTGTATCTTTTGGACTTAGGTATGTTTAGGTCAATGCACATATTTTAGTCTGTAATATCTCCAGTACTGAGATTTCCCAACATTTCCATATGTGAAATATTTTTTGAGAGTATATAATAATGAAATAACAGTTACTCTTAAAAACAGTACAGTTTCTATTTTCAGTTTTCCTTATGTTATGTGTAGCTCAAATAATTGCTAGCCCATATTGTTGGCTTTCCAAAATAAAATTGTATGGGAGTGTTTAAAATTGTCACTTTGTTATTTTGCCAGATTTACGTTGAATTAAGTCTAATAGTAGTAGGAGTAGTGATGGGGAGGTGAAGCCTGGCAACTAGGCCACCTTTGACTCTTTTTGCCAACTGCATAGTACCAACATGATGAGATATACCTGTTCAATGAACTGAATAAATAGCTCAATTTTATCGAATTCTTTGATGCCTGAACAGTTTCTGTGTTATGTGTTCAGATATGTAGCGATGACAAGATTTTGGGCGCGCTGCAACTCTGAAAAACTATAAAAGGCAATGTTGCCAAAATCCAATAATTGATCATAGCCAACTTCTCTGTCTTTGAAGCGTCTGAGGAGCTACATATCAAAATCATATAACATGGGCATTTATAAGGTTTCACAGAATTCAATATATCAAAGCAATTCCTTTAGCTCATAGTAAATGTGGCAAATAACTAAGGGCCAATTTCTCCTCAAACATGACAAAAGCTGGCGCTAAAAACAAAATGCAAACCTCATTTACATTTCAAAGGTTCACATTGAGGAAGATTGAAAAATTAGTTTGTTCATTTGAAATGTGTATTGTCATTTAACTTAGGGATTTTTTTTTGCCATTAGTTTAACTATTTCAGTATTGTTATTTTTTTTCTGCATTCAGATTGTGATAGTCCAGTATGAGGGACACTTGTATCGAGCAATACTTGAATACATTGGAGAACAAAAGTCATGTAGCAATGGGCAGTATTTGTGTTGGCTAATGGATTATGGAACACTGGTAGAATCCAACACAATTTTTAAATCATCGCCAAAAATTAGAAAGATTCTCCCATTGTCTTTCCAAGCCAGCCTGAATAATGTAGTTTACACTATCCAGGTAAGCTGAATTTTTATTTATAGTAATGTTTTCATAAGATATAGAAAATTTGAAGTCATTCTCTTTCAGGCTGTTAGCTAAGCTTAGAGCCAGTGATTATACATATTTTCTTAAATGGGTAGAATTAGCAAGCTGAGATAGATCATTCCAAAGGATGAAGATTGATGACTAGGTATTAAGTTATAAGGGAGTCAATTCACAAAAACGCTGAACGTTAACAGCTCGTAAATCCGTAAATTTTGAAAGAAATAAATGTATGCTGAGTCATAAAGTACTAATAAGGAGCTTCAAAATGAGGTATCACACGATCCCCATTCTCCTTAAAAAGATATCCTAAGATGGCGTCCAGCCGTCATCATGAAATGTTCATTTGTCATTTTTACGTTAAAATATAGTATCCAGGTGTTAATTTCATCATCCTGAATTTCAGTTTGCTAACTTACCCCTTCACACAATCAGTTGGGAAGGGGATCGGTTTCTGTTAAAGTGAACAGTTGGGGAGGGCGGTGTTCTCGAATCTCGCAATCGGTTCATTCAATAAAATCTCACGACAATGACAAGGAATGACGCGTTAGAGATTTTTTCACCTTCCGACAAAATGGCAGATGACAAAGTAGAAGTTTGTTTGAAGATACCTGCTTTTTTCTTCATTATTGACCACTTTTGTCTAACGCCAGTCTTAAAATCCAATAGCTCTAGAAAAGTGACAGCACAGTAACAAAACAAGAATATTTCACATGTTATACTGATGTTGAAATAGACCACCGATTTGCTGAAGCGGTGAAATATACGTCACATAATGCCGTAATAGCAAACAAATGCAAGAAACAAAAATAGTGTCTAAATATTACAATATTACACAATGTTTGTTTCACATTTCTAGATATTCATCGCGCCTATATGGCTCTAGATTCATTAGTAACTGGTGAATATATTTCTTGAACTCTTTTATGTTCGACAACTTTTTAACTTCCTGGGGTAACTTATTGTAAAGCTTTGCACAACTGTAATGTACGTTTTACAGTTAGATGATGAATTGGGTACACAAGAGTTATATCTCTGTTCCTTGTATTGTAATTGCCTGGGATTCTTATAAAGTACCCAATATTTTTAAATGAAAAATCAATATTTCCTGAATATATATTGCCACTATGGTGAGTATTTTATTCCCTTTAAATTTACCTCTACATGTTTCTCTACGCGGAATTTTTAACATGCATCATAATGCTCGTTTCTGTACCCGAAAGTGCCTGTTCTGGCTACTGTATCCGTAAAAAATTAAATGTGCTGTTTAACCGTTTTTCTAGATGTTCTACATGTGTAGCCCAGGAAAGTCCTTGGTCAATATACATTCCTAAGAATCTACCAGGGTCTGTCAGCCTGACTTCTACCCTATCAGCTAAGTGGATCTTCGTAGCTTCGATTTTTCTTTAATTTGAATACTATCGCATTTGTTTTTTGTCAATGTATTTTCAGCTACTTGGTTGAAATCTTGGATAGCTATAATCACACTAGTATCATCTGCATATTGAATAGTACATACATTATTCAGGTTTGCTATACTATCACTCAGATCATTTACAAACATCACAAAGAGGAGAGGACCCAAGACGCTTCCTTGTGGGATACCCGAATGCGAGATTTGAGAATACCACCTTTACTACTATACTAGAACTCAAAGTTGGAACAAAACTATTATGAAAAATGTGTTCAGGAACTTGATACAATGTCATGTTTATGTTGCAGCATTTGGGTTTTGGTGAAACTGGTAATGTTGTCACAAAAACAGAGTACCTCTTGTCTCCAACACCACCCTGCCACCAGGCGTCTATGGACGTTCTGAAAACAGTACGAACAATAGAATTTTGTGTGGAAGAAAAAGATGAAGGAATTCTTTTTGGCGACGTTATATATAAAGATAAAAATGGTAACAAGAAATCATTCAAGCAGTATCTGCTGGACAAAGGAATTGTAGGAATTAGTGAGGAATTGTTCCCAGGTAATTTAGTAGATATAATTGATATTCTAAAATCAAAACTGCTGAGTTCTGAGGTAGTTTCAATCAATAAGTTAATTGCCTATGAAAACATAAGGAATCACTAATATTACCTTTTTTGTTTGCAGATATGAAATCTTTCATAAATGAATACAGAGAGAAAAACATACAATTGATTGAAAAGATATGCAAAACGTCCTCAAACACTATAAGTCGTAGAAAGGCGTGCTGTGACATTAAAAAGAAGTCAATTGAAGAGTTTGAAGAAGTGGAGATTTCAGAAGAGGTAAGCATTGTAGTAGAATTAGTGGTAGAAAGATTTATTTAGCACATTTGACTGCACAGAATAATTGTAAAAAACTTAGAATTAGTAAATTCAAGCCATATGATGTAAATGCTGGGCAAGCTATAATTGTAGATTTAACAAGTGATTCCTCAATTTTACTTTAAATTTTGTCAAAGTTTTCTGGTCTTTTATCTCTGTGTATAATTTATTATATTCACTCAACCCTTGATGGAATTCAGATTTGTAGCATATGTTTTACTTTTTGGTCGTGAACTGAAAGTATTATGTGAATGACGGTCGGCATTTGATGATGTTAAATTAGTTATACTTGATGGAAATATATTATCTTTTACTTTATACGAGGGTGGTCCCAGAAGTACCCGACCGAACGAAGAAAACACAAAACAAACAACATGACCTCCTTTGAGCTCTGTACACTTTTCCCAGCGATGTTCAATACGTTCGACACCCTTTTTATAATAAGAACTGTCTTGCTCCTCAAAATAGCCATTAACTGCCGACAACACTTCTTCATCGTTGGAAAATCTTTGACCACTGAGCCATTGTTTCAAGTTTGGATACAGAAAATATTCCGAGGGGGCTAAATGTGGCGAATAGATTGCATGAGGTAGCAATTTAAACTTTAATTCGTTAATTTTGGCCATTGCAATAACGGATTTGTGAGCTGGTGCATTGTCTTGATGAAACAACCAAATGCGGCCATTTTTGCTTGATTTCATCGCTCAAACGTTGCAATAAGTTCGCATATTGCCTACTATGTCTGCTAGCTCGCGCACTTTCAGTCGACGATCCTTCAGTACCGGTTTGTGAATTTTCTTCACCATTTCTGGAGTCGTCACCTCATTTGGTCGACCACTGCGATGCTCGTCTTGGCAGCTCATACGGCCTCGTTTAAACTCTGTTGCCGTGTTGTAAACGAAAGAGCAGACTCAACCCAGAGTAGAATCCAGTTCAGCTTTTATATTGGTTGAGCTGAGGCCTTTGAAATAAAAGTATTGTACCACATTACGATGATCAATTTTCTCCATTTTCACAAATTCACTGCCAAACAGATACTAAACAACGTGGCGACTTCAAACTTGACACATATGCTTTATAGGTTGCATACTTTCCAATACAATGATATTTTTCAAACAACTATCGCCGTCTCTAAGTCAGGCCGGGTACTTCTGGGACCACCCTCGTAAATGAATATCATTACAAGATATATAGATAGATATTTGATATTCTATACATTGAGCCATTTTAATTTGCTAGGCACTTGTCTAATTGAAGCATATTTATCTTTATTCAGTATTATTCTCATGCACTTGTTTTACTATGAAATAATATCTGCACCATCAATATTATACAGGGTGACTTCGAAGTTGAGTCATTTATTTTAACAGTGAGTAGATCTGATCAAAAGAAATGTTTTTTTCCTTTACCATTTTTCTGGTAAAATTAAAGTAACAAAGTTATAGCCCTTTGGAAGTTTGAGTACCGCCCTGTCTCAATAATGATATTATGTTCTCGTGTTTGGCAACAACAGATATAATCCGCCTTATCCGTTCATCGCATCGGAAACAAAAAAGCGAAAGAATTTGGAACGATCTTTTTACAATTATTTTCTTCAGTTGTATACAGTCAGTATCAGTCGGTAGTCGGTAACGCGTAAGTGAATAATCGTGTCTGTTGCGAGGCTCAAATCAAAAATGGCACATGTTTACGAAAATGCTGAACTTGTGGACATGGTTCTTATTTACAAAATGCTGCCGCGGCATCACGGATCTATGCGGATCGGTTTCCCAATCGAGTGCAACCAACCCCTCGTGCCTTTGTTAATGTAGTGCAAAGAGCTCGTGAATCAGGTGACTTAAGACCTCACAGAGGAGATCATGCCGGTGCTCCAAGACCACACGATCAAATAGAACTAGAAGAACAAATTTTAGAATTAGTAAGTGATGATCCAACAGTAAGCACCCGACAAATTTCAACTCAATTGGCGATTAGTCAGTATAAAACTTGGAAAACTCTACGTGAAAATCAGTTCTATCCGTTTCACATACAAAAAGTGCAGGCCTTACAACCGGAAGATCATGAACAAAGGGTTGACTTTTGCAATTGGCTTTTAAATAAACATCAAAATGATGACAATTTTTTAAATCAAATTTTAGTGAGTGATGAAGCCCTCTTTACTAGAAACGGAATTATTAATTCACGTAATTCTCACGTTTGGGCTATTGAAAATCCCCATGAAATAAGGGAAACCAATTTTCAACAGCGATTTAAACCAATCAACCTGTGGGCGGGAATTGTTAATGGAATTTTAGTGGGGCCTTTTGAATTACCAAATCGCTTAACTGGTGAAAATTATTTTGATTTCTTGCAACACAATTTGCCTGGTTTACTGGAAGATGTGCCTTTAAATATTAGACAAAACATGTGGTTTTTACAAGATGGGGCACCACCCCATTATGCAAGAAATGTGCGTGAATTTTTAAATAGACAATTTAATAATCGTTGGATCGGCCGTGGCGGTTTTGTACCTTGGCCGCCAAGGTCTCCGGACTTAAATCCTTTAGACTTTTGTTTGTGGGGTTGGCTAAAAACTCTAGTGTATAAAACACCGGTTAATACACGCGAAGAATTACGTGCTCGAATTGAGGAAATGAGTACAGTGATCAGAAATCAACCAGTGATTTTATTGCGTGCTTGTAAAGAGACATGGCTAAGACGCGCCCAGCTGTGCGTCGAGCAAAACGGAAATCATTTCGAACAGTTTTTGTGACATGCTTTTGGTCGCACAGGTCCGCACTGAAATACTTGTCGGGAGGATACTTTATAAAACAAGGTAACATTTTTTTTTTAATTTTTTTTTATTTTTACACACATATTTTGGTTTATCTTCCTTCTACAATCATTATCTGAAAATTAATGACTCAACTTCAAAGTCACCCTGTATAGCTTTCGTTTTACTTGTATTTAATTTGAGTCTGTTAGATGCTAACCATTTTGTGAAAAGTTTCAATCAATCCTTCATTTATATAAGAGATACCAGTCTGAATATTTTTAGTACTTGGCGAAAATCTGAATTTTGCATTTTTTTCCTATGGCAGGTAAATCATTTATGTATAAATTAAAATTACCATAACATGAATTTCAGTATATATATATAACAAAAATAAGAAAATAATGGGCAAAATCCGCAAAAAGTGGATTCGAGCAGAAAATAGGATAGGTAACCCGAGCGATACGTATTTCTGCTGGTTGGCTTCATCAGGCCCGAAGTGAATGTACATATGCAACTACAAAAGTAAATACACATGCCCATACATCCGGATACGGGTGTAACCTGAGGAAACGAAGGTGTAGAGGAAAAAAAGACACAAAGTCCACAACCTACACATCGTAGTATAAAATGGCTAGAAGACCTCGAATTTTCAAGGCGACAAATAACCACAACCAAGCGGCTGGTTATAGCCACTTGCTGTGGTACTTCAAGCCCAAAGGATCTACAAAGAGAAAATTATCATGCAGAGAAAGGTATATAACAAAAATAAAAAAACAATGAGCAAAATCCGCAAAAAGTGGATTTGAGCAGAAAATAGGATAGGCAACCCAAGCGATACGTATTTCTGCTGCTTGGCTTCATCAGGCCCGCTCGGGTTACCTATCCTATTTTCTGCTCGAATCCACTTTTTTGCGGATTTTGCTCATCATTTTTCTATTTTTGTTATATACCTTTCTCCGCATGATAATTTTCTCTTTATATATATATATATATAAACGTTCCTTCAATGTTTTTTTGCTGTGCTCAAAAATTTAGTAAAACATTAAAATTCAAACAAGCTCGTCTGTATAGGAATCACCCAAGTTTAGTGTGTTTATTTGGAGATATTTTTATATTTTATCTCATCTCAGGAGATGCGTCGTCCCAGGAGAAGAATAAGGGATGCTAATGAAACTGATTCTTTGAAATCAAAAAGCTTGTCTGAATCTAATAGTTCAGTATCAAAAAGCTCAAGAAGTCATGGGAATGAACAATTGGTATGTTTCATCATCATATTTCAAACATTCCTTTTAAGTGGTTAACTCTTCATGCGTGTTTTTTAATTTACTGAGATAACATTTTCACAGCTTTCATTCTTTTAAGGATTCTTTCAACACATCACCGGGTCAGGAAGACGTTTCCTCTCAACATGAATTGTCATCACAAGCACCGTCTCTGTCAAAATCGAGCAAAATGGCAATACTCAGAAAAAAGATAGAAGAAAAGAAAGCTAATCAGAAGGAAAACACCACACTAGAATCCAGTTCGTCATCAGGCAAAGGGCAGGGGAAATGTAAGATTACTGGTGAGTGAAAACCTTATCATTAGCTACATACTCCATTTTTATTGTATCAAATGAGGTCATCGCAACAGTTATTGTTAAGATTATTCTCATTCTAGACTAAACCCGCCCCGCTCTAGTGGAAGTAGTGTAAAGTATAGGTTGTTGGTTTTGCATTAGTGTCAAGGAGACTGGTTTTGGAGAGAGAAATGCAATAATCAAAGTTATAGTTGCTTTGGCAAAGAGCATTTTTTAATCAAGATTTTAATGCAACAATTAATTAAGTTCAGTGTTTCGCTTTTTTAAATCCTAGAGAAAAAGTAAGGAGCTTACTTGAAAATTTATCTGATCCTAATATGACCTTGCAGATCATGGTAAGAATATTCTTGAATTTAAAATTATCCGCAATTTGCATTTCAGGAATTAAAATAGATTTTTCCCATTAAAAATCCATCTGATCTTCAATTGACCCTAAAGGTCATGGCAGTCAAAGTCATTCACCTTCTTGAACCTACACTTTCTTGCTCTTTAGATCTGTTGTATAAAAATAGGGGTTTCCATTTAAGAAAACTGCCCTGACCTTCAAATGAGCTTGAAGGTCATAGTCAAAAGGTCACATTCACCTTTAGATGAACCTTTTCAAACCTTACAACTCTATTACACAACATTTTTCTTTATTAAACGCATTTTCCGAGATCTTTAACCTTTCTCTATTTTCAGGACAACCTTAAATACCCATGACGATTGCGATCAAAGTCATGGATACAGATATACTTTAAAATTCCATGCTCTTTACATATTCTTTGTCAAAAATAGGAGTTTCACTTAAGAAAACTGTCTTGACCTACAAATGACCTTGAACGTCATAGTCAATGTCACGTGATCACCATTTGATGGATCCTTCCAAACCTCACAACTTTGTTCTACAACGTTTTTCCCTGAGAAACGTACTTTTCGAGAAATTTTGATCTGTCTATACTTTTTGAACCACCTGTATGTTCGACTCGACTTTCAATTAGTAAGGGTACACATTTTTACGTCTCCCCGGTGATATTGATGTACTGGACAAATATTCACATTTTTATATACTCGTAATGGACAAAAGTATATAGATAAATATGAATATTTACCTAAATACCTTTAGAAAACGAACTCATACTGTATTGCTCCATAAACAAATGCGTTATTAGTAGAAAAACTAAATTCCTTGTTTTTACATTATCTGCAATGAACACAATACAAGTCTGAATATAAGCACTTTTTTATGAGGGACAAAAATATATAGACAAATTATTTTCAACATTAGCTTAGTGACAGTTTCTTGTCAGAATATTATTAGTTTGTGTTCATCAAGTATTGTGGAATTAGTTGAGTGATTTTAAGATCATTGAGTTATACAAAGATGGTCAACGTCAAGTCGACATTGCCAAAAATTTGAAGCTGAAGCATAAAGCAGTTTGGGCAATATTGAACAAATATAAACAAAAAGGTATCTTGGAAGCCTCTAAGGGAAGTGGTCGGCCTAGAAAACTAAATGCTAGATCGGTTAGATTAGTAAAAGTAATTTCGTCCAAAGATCCGTTTAAAACCCCAAGACAAATAAAAGCCGAAATCGAGACAAAAAGAATTGTCAGTATTTCTACGAAAACTATAAGTAGAAGATTAAATGATTTGAAGTTATTTGCACGTCGCCCGAGTAAGAATCCGCTAATTTCGAGGATAAACCGTAAGCACCGATTACAATTTGCACGGTTGCATCTTGATTGGAGCATCTGTGACTGGAAGAGGGTATGTTTCAGTGACGAATCCAAGTTCAATATGTTTGGATCAGATGATGTTCATTACGTTAGACGTCCTAGTGGACAAAGATTGAACCCCAAGTACACTTTGCCCACTGTCAAACATGGAGGCGGGTCTGTTATGGTTTGGTGGTGCTTTTCGAGGTTCGGGATGGGACCTTTACATAGAATAGATGGCATTATAGATAAGTCTGTATACACAGACATACTAAATCATGTCATGTTACCCTATATGGAAGACGATATGCCCTTAAGATCAATCTTCCAACAAGATAATGACCTGAAGCACACTTCAAATCTCGCAAAGAAATTCTTTCTGGATGAAAAAATACCAGTTCTCAAATGGCCTTCACAGTCTCCCGATATAAACCCCATTGAAAATCTATGGGAATACTTAGATAAGCAAATACGAGATAAAGATTATTCAAACAAGGATGCACTTTTTGCCGCTTTAGAGCAAAAGTGGGGACAGATTGATGAATATTATATCAAGAAACTTCTACAATCTATGCCGAGGCGATGCCAGGCGGTGATTGATAATAATGGTTATGTTACAAAATATCAACACAAACATGGTTGGTTTTCTATAATTCAATGAACTTTTCTTTTTTCTATAATTGTTTTGCTTTGTCTATATATTTTTGTCCTTCATAGTTCCAGTTTTATTCAATTAATTTTTTATTGAAGGAAGTCTAATGAATTTATGTATGTATAAGTGAGTATTATGCTATAACGAATTATGTATACAGGTTGATGTATTAATAATACAAGTTAAAAAAGAAATACAGCACAATATTAATTTGTCTATATACTTTTGTCCATTTTTGTGCCGTTCAGTTTTAAACTGAGCGCACTGTTGTCGCGTCTTGCGTATTTATTGAGTTCAAAGTAATCGAGATCGTTCTCGAACAGATCGCTCACCGCCGTGTTGCTGCTTGTGTTTATTATGAGAGTTTACAAAAATTACGGATTTTTACACCTTTTTAAAATATGTTGTGAGCCACCAGAATTGCCTTTACGAGCTAACGGTAGCTCGCGATCGACGGGTTGGCGACCACTGATATAGATTAACATATTTCTGTTATTCCAGATGTGAACAAGGAGTCCGGAGGTAAAATAGAATTGTGCCCAGCTGGAGCAGAACGTACATTCTTTGGCGCTCAAGGGGTTGAAAAGCCAAAGCCAAGTAAGTATTTTTCAATCCATTTTTATCACTACTACTATTTGTGATGCTAGGGCTTCAATAGGCAAAACTTAATTTATTTTTCAAATATAATATATTATCTAAGAACCCTCTATTGTTCTGTTCTCTATACTTTTTGCATCAGTATCCGGAAAACGTTAAAGGGACATATTATACGAACGTTGAGTCATATGCTATGGTGGCAAGTTTGCTCGGTGTCTCGGTGTTAAGCAGACCCCCACTCCCTCCCGATCAACATCTTCCTGAAGATGAATCCTGTGACCACCACCGCCCCTCATCAGAGTCAGACTACAAACTTCGCCCTCATGGTAAGACGATGAATGCACCACCAAAATCGAACAAAGGAGAAAAGCCATACTCAACTTTAAACTGAAGCCCAACTTAAACAATTATAGACAGACAGACAGATTTAAAATAAAAAGAAAAAACTCAATTAAAAAAAATTGCTCCAACATATAAAGAGAAATACGAATCTCTTACACATGGAAAACGTTTAAAAAATCTAGTAAAAACAAAAAATCATTCAATAAAGACTTATCCCCTTATCCACAGATGGCCGAAAATATCACATTAAACTTGACTGTGTGTAACATTCCCGCTGAGTTCTCATTTTATCGTCCAGAAAATGAAACCCAACAATTCTGTTTCAGAGATTTATGTATCGCTTTGGAATACCATAAAAATAACGCTCCAGGAATGGACAACATCTCATATTTAATGCTTAAGAACCTACCAGTCTCGCCACTACAATCACTATTAAACATATACAACAATTGCTATTCGGGTATGCAAATTGTAAACCTATGGTTGCAGCGTCACAATTTTGAAATCTCCGTGGAAAAAAGTTCACTCCCATACTTAAAATTAACAATTTAAACACAGAGCTCAAAAGTCATACTAAATATTTAGAGGCTGTACTTCATAAAAATTTAAAATGGAGCTCACAGATAAACAATATGATAACTAAAGCTAATAGGGGAATAAAACTTTTGAAAATATTTTTGCAAAGGTTTCCTGGGGGCCGACCCTATAACCCTACTCATGGCATTTAAGGGGCTAGTGAAATCACATATGGATCATGGCAGCTTTCTATTACATCCCTGTAATCAAAAAGACCTTAATAATCTCCAGAAGACGTCATATCAAGGGCTTAGGACCATAACGGGTACCATGAAGTCAACACCAACACTTTGCTAGCAGAAAGCGCGGAAATGGACTTACACCACAGGCGGGTCTGGTTATGCACCAAATTTCTAGCGAAAAAAAACATAATTCAGTTCCACCCCTTAACCACAACGATAAAAAACGAAAAAGACACTTTGTGCCAGGTCAAGGCTATTGGAGGGTCGGGTAGCAACAGCGTAGCCCGAAGCTGCCCTCAGGGCGGAGTTCTGTTACCTCTACTGTGGTGCATCGTGGTGGACGAACTCCTCGTTAGGCTCAGCAGTGTGGGTGTCTACGTGCAAGTCTATGTTGATGACTTAAGCATAGTAGTTAGGGGACGTTTTTGTAGAACAGTCTCTGAAATTATGCAGGGCGCTCTCCGCTCTGTGGAATCGTGGTGCAGGGAAGTCGATCTTTCTGTTAATGCTGGAAAGACCGAGCTGATAATATTCACTAGGAGAAGAAGGCTTGACGGGCTGGTCATGCCGACCTTTGGGACTAGATCAGTTCTATCCCAATCAGTGAAATATTTGGGAATTATCCTGGATTGCAAACTGAACTGGAGAGAGCATGTTGAATACAAGGTTAGCAAGGCTCGCAATTCAATGTGGGCCTGTAGGCGTGTTGTCGGTGTAAGGTGGGGGCTTAAACCCACAGTGGTATACTGGCTATACACGACGATAGTACGTCTCTCTTGTATGGCTCCCTGGTCTGGTAGCCTTGCATCAAAACTGAGACAACTAAGGCCAAACTCAATAAAATTCAGGTCTTTGGATCTGGTGATCCGCGATGAAGCGAGAGTAGTTGCTCATCGACTGTAGAGTCAGGGCAGCTGGGCTTTATTGAATTCTGTCAAGGGGCATACTGCCATCTTAGTTGAATTGCAAAGGGAGGACCCCGTCCTTCTATGCAGGAGTGATCGTATTACCCCTAAATATCGCTTCAACCGCAAGTTTATTGTGCAGTATCCAACGAGGGAGGAGTGGGACGCGGGTAGCCGGAGACTCTCGGGAGTGAGTGGGCAGGTCTGGTACACGGACGGCTCGGTCACCGAAGAAGGCTCAGGTGCTGGGGTCTCTGGGCTATCTCTGCCTCTCGGTGGATACACCACTATTTTCCAGACGGAAATCTTCGCGATTCTGGCTTGTGTATCTCACATTCTGGAGGAGGGTGGACCTATGAGAACAATAACAATCTTATCCGACAGCCAGGCTGCAATGAAGGCACTAAGTGCCTGTAAGATTACTTCTAGTCTTGTATTGCATTGCAGGGAGGCTCTGGATTGCCTCGCAGCGAGGCATCCGGTATCGTTAATGTTACTTTGGACCCTCAGGTCGTCAAGGAGCTTGGACTCATGGCGATTCTCAACTTCGCTAAAAGGGCGAGGCTTGTGATCTAAGGAATGTAGAGGTGCATAAGAGCCCGCTTAAGCAGCCTATGCACTGGCTCCTTATGGTGGCTGGTATGCATCTAATTTCAAGATTCATTCATTCATTCATTGGAGGAATAGAGCGCCCACTATCACCATAGAAGCCCTTAACATTTTGGAGGAATGCATTCCACAAATCCACTCCTCCCGTGCTTCGAGTTCGACTACAATACCCAAACTCGGGCAGTGAAAGTCGCCCCCGGAAGATAATAATAATAATAATAAAAAATGGCCTTTATTCGTCACATGATTACAAAATAATTGGCTTAAAAGGAATAGTGACGAAAAGGTGGAGTGTCAGCCTATAATGTTTTTCAACCCGACCTAATAAACATTGACACAACTATAAAGAGAAAAAAAGTACCTACATTTTAATAGCACAGTTCACAACATTGACCGCCAACAATAGAAAAGCTTAAAATATTTCACTTCTCAGAAAAATGAAACGAACAATTACCTGTGGATATGCGTAAAGTTAAATTCTAGCCTCCGATTGCTTTGAACTCATCTTTAACCTTTTTTTAAAATTGCTTAGGCTATATTCTTTATACTCACTTGACAAGCAGTTATATAGTTTGGGTGAACAGTACGAGAAACTACGTGTGAGCAATGCTGTCGAATGCCGCGGGATAAGTAAGATGCGTTTATTCCTAGGGATCTTTGATCATACTGACAGAGGAGGTTTAGCTTTAAATGAAGATTTTCAGTGTCTGTATGACATGTCCCTAAACGCCACGTGAATTTTACCTCTCATGCCATTTCTTAGTAGTACCCTATAGCTTTTAAACTATAAGAGTATGATGTGTTTTTCCAGCCAGCGAAACCAAACCGCAATCATTAAATAATCGAAGATCAAAACCTCAGGCCACAGTACCGGTTTCCATGGAGACTCACCAGAGACGATGTGCTGCTCAAAATGGAAGTCCCGATAGCTCCACTGACTCTTCTTCAGAATGCAAGAATAACATTGCGAATACATTTGGAGACCAGAGTCGAAAAGGTTTGAATTATGATGGTGAATCATTATCTTTAGAAAGCAAGACCTCTACCTCTGTGTCTATTAGAAGTGCCAGTAATATGGAAATCAAACCACACTGTAGATGCAAGGTCTGCGATCGATGGACTAAAGATCAGGGGTGGGGGGAAGGTGGCGAATTTGAAAAATACAAACCAAAGGTAATTATTTTAATATAAAACTATATTACATTAAAGTCTGTCAAACTGACGTCAAAGTGGATGGATGTCATTTAGTAACTTTTAAGGCTGGAATATTTTTTCTGATCACTGCTGATACAAAACCCACCCTCCCAGTAGTAAATCCTGTACAACCTCGACAGACAGACGTCTACTATAAGGTTCAGTATTTATTTTTCATAATCTCAGATTTCAGTTGAAAATCTGTAATATGAAAGTAGAAATAGAGTTGATTACGCCTATTTTTTTTTATTTTGTTAGGTTAAATTAATTGGAGAGTCAAAACACGAATTTCTGAAAGAAGGAACGGATGACGCGCCTTCAGAAATACTGTCAGTGGATTACAACTCATTGACAAGACTGGAAAAGAAAGCCATGCCAAAGCTGTTAGTGCATAGGTGAGATTATAAGGATTAATTTCCTTTTTATTATTTTGTGGTTAAATGGAAACTAGTTTTAATTTTTAGTGTTCAGTACAGAGAGTATTGACATGAATTTACCTCAAAGGTTTTTAGTTATTCGAGAATGTTTATGTTACGTACTTTTTACAATAAAATGTTTGAAGTGATTTTACTTTGTATTTCTGCTAATACTCCTTTGCCAGACTCTCATACTTTCAAAGAGTAGGAAAATCTTCATTATGTATGTAGGAGTAAAATGGTAACTAACGTAATATAAATATATATAAATAAATTATGAAAAGTAGTAGAAGTCGTTCAAGATGGTGCTTGTGCACGCTGGCATTACAATTGGGGCAGATCAGTGCAATTGGCTTTGGTGGCATGGTGCAATCCATCTGAAGATATGTGCTTTGCTAAAGTTGGGACAGGGATGGAATCACCATTGGATGAGGAACATCTAGCCAGTGTTGCCATTTAAATGTTATGTCATTCCTGTGTTATGTAATATATTAGTTATTCAAGACATTTTTGAGATTTTACTGATTATGAAACACAGTTACACTTATTTAGTATTTTTATTAAAGTTGTCACGAACTTTGAGTTACCAGAAATTCGCTACCTTTTTGTGATCATTACTAGTTACTTCAAGATATCATTGTATTCGTAGGTATTTCAGGATGTCAACTAATTAATTTCTTCGAAAGTTTTATTGTGGACTTCGATTCTCTATATACTCTAATTATAATAGACGAAAATACACCTGGTTTACGAAATAATTGTAAAATCTGGTTGTTCAAGGGGGTATTTAAATCATGGACGCATAAAATGGGTACACCAAATTTTGTGGAAAAACTTTTAATTCGACAAGAAAGAATGAGAAAACGTGTTTTCGAAAGTGTTGGCAGGAACGAAAAAACTTTTCAAATAAGATTTTTAGGTATTTATGACAGTCACAGAATGAGACCACACGTAAAAAGATCCGACTAATAGTAAAAAAGTTATCTCCGAAAACCGAGGCAAGATGCAGGTTTTCGCACTTGTCGGTAACGCAACGATAGTTTCACGCAGAAACTCTTTGTAGGCTTCATACTTATAAATAACGACAACAACATTGGAGTCGATTGGTCTAATAGTTTTTGAGAATTTCTAATTCTTTATCCCCTTCGTTTTTCGCATAAAAATAATTATCTTTCGGAATGGTTTGTGATTCATGTCGGCAAGGTAAATTCGTGTATTTCGCTATAAAATGCCCTTTGAACGAACCCTGTATATCACTAAGTGAACTAGTAGTGATGGCCGGAAGACAGATGTTTTGGGATAAACAATTAGAAATTCTCAAAAACTACTTGACCAATCGACTCCAATTTTGTTGTGGTTATTTATAAGTATGGAGCCTACGGATTTGGAGAACCTCAAGTAGCTGCTTGAAATTATCGTCGCATTAGCAACAAGAGCCATAATCTGCATTTTCACTCGGTTTGCAGCCATAACTGTTTTACTATTAGTCGGATTTTCTTACGTGTGGTCTCATTCTGTAGGTCTCATAAATACCTAAAAATCTTATTTGAAGGTTTTTGTTGGTTCCTGACAACACCTTCGACTGAATCCCAAAAAAACACTTTTTCTCATTCTTTGCTGTCGAATAAAAAGTGTGTACCCATTTTATGGGACCATATTTTATACGTAGTCGTGCCATAAGTTCTGTCCCATGATAATCTCATGATAAAAATGAAACAAGATAAGATATATTTATATGAAAGATATTATTTATTCGACAACATTTTTAGAATTCATAATCAAACAGTTTTATTCAAAATGTCCCCCCTTGGCCTTCACACACTGCTTCAATCTCGCGGGCCACTCATCTATCACTGCACGCACAGCTTCCAAAGGAATAGCTGCCGCTGATCGGATCAAATCCGCTTTCAGGGACTCGATATTACGGTGGGCTTTGGAGCAGGCCAACTGCTCTAGCAGGTCCCACAACTTGTAGTCTAAAGGATTGAGGTCCGGACTCCCTGAGGGCCAATCTTCCGCAGCAATGAACTCTGGCACATTGCTTTCCAGCCAGCGCTGCGTACTCTTAGCCTTGTGAGCGGGGGCGGAATCCTGCTGGTAGACCCAGTGTTGGTTGGCAAACAATGTACCACTTAAAGGCTTGACGATAGGATCCAGTATGTCGCTCTGATAGTTTGCCGCTTTTGTTTTCACGCCCTGTTTACAGAAATGGAGCTGAGTGACCCCTTCGTAGGACACCCCCCACCAAACCATGACTGACGCAGGGTGATGGCCTCTCTCAACTCTCGGAATGATCTCCGAAGCTTCCTGTGAACTCCTTGCATACACTTTGTCATTTTGTCGGTTGAATTTTTCTTCTATGGTGAAGATTTTCTCATCCGTGAACAAAATCTTTCGGAATCCCCCAGCTGCGTACCTCTCCAAGAGCTTCTTGGATCTTGTCGCCCTGATGTGTCGCAAGGTGGCCGTAAGTCGCTGGCCCGTACGTCTCCGGTAAGCCCCTAGCCCTAGGTCTTGTTTAATGATGCGCGACATCGTCCGGACAGGAATCTTCATTTCCCTGGATAGGATCTTCTGCTTCCGGAGTGGATTCCTTTGAATCCTGGCTTTTACGGCTTTGATGGCTGCTGGAGTCCTTACTTGACGAGGTCTTCCGCTTCTTGGCCTGTCATCAACAGAGGACGTCTCATTGTACCGCTGAATGGTCCTAGACACAAATTTACGCGATATTTGAAGGCCGCGTAAGAGTTCAAAAATCTGACTAGCACTGTGATTACACTTATGTAAAGCTATCACTGCAATACGGTTCTCTGCCTTGCCCCACTCCATCGTTATGCTTCGAGAGATCAATACAAACTGAGGTATATGTAATTACCCGAAAAGCGCTTAATCAACTGACACCACAATGTAAACAATCGGACAAGTATTAACAGGTCTACATTTGTTTGAAAACGAGGGACAGAACTTATGGCATGACTACGTATACCCCTTGAACAACTTGCATCAATAAAACCAGACTTTAAAATTATTCCGGGGAAATTTGCTAATATTATTAGACTAATACAATTTTTTGAAATTACTACGTTTCGATTGATGTGGTATCTTCAATCGCCTTCAGGTCACTTCAATCGAAACGTCGTGATGTCAAAAAATTGTATAGACAATGGAAGTCCGATGTAAAACTTGACCACCAGATTGTCTACAAATTTGAAACAACTGTTGATTTCCCCGTTATCGTAAGCTCATTTTTTACTAACGTTTCGATCAACTGTACAGATGTACCTCATGCGCTTGTCACTTTTGAGGGCTGACGTTTTCCTAGACGGTTTTGAACTTGACTGGGTTTGCGCGGTGTCTTTTTAAAAGTGTAATCACAAAACAATTGGAAGGATGGCTTTGCTTGTGTTGGGACTGTTCAACCTGTATGGTAGCTGCAATGCAAATGAAGATTCATCTGGAAGTAGATAAATATAAAATATACTGTCAATGTTAGTTACAATTTGTACTATGAAAAAGGCCACCGAGGTGCCGAAACGAAAATAAAGAGTAATTCATACATATGTGGTTTCATTTAGCGGACAGAACATGGAGTTTTAGCAGAAACTTTCTCGTGCATGCTTGTAATCTTGCCGAAAATCTCTTTTTACAGCGAATGTCTGCCGTCACCAGTCAAAGAGTTGGCCAATGTCTACCTACACCCTGATATCTACCAAACCCTCGTCCAGGAAGAATGCAAAGTAACCAGACTAGTTCAGACCTACGCTTGGCCTGCTTTGCTTCGTAACCAACACGTATTCATGGTAAATGGACCTCACACCGGCAAGACGACGGCCTATTTAACGACCATGTGCTCATTTCTGGTAGAAAAAGATGAGCGGTACAGTTTCACCAAGAAATTGAGTGGGGCGCCAATTATAGTGATATTGTGTTCGAATACTGAGCGCTGTCGAGATGTCAACGATAGAGCGCGGCTCATAATGGGCAGAAATAAGGCTAGGATTGAACTTGTAGAGTATCCCATCTCTCATGTTAACACTGTAAGTATCATATGTATTGTAGTAGTCATTAGAGCAAACAATGAAAATTCGCAGCATTTTTATAGAATTTGAATATACGATAATATATAATAATTATGTACTGTTGTAGCTCAAACTTCCTGTTTTTTAATTTCAGACACACATTGACATGCTGATAACAACACCTACAATATTTGTGGACCTCCTCAAAAGAAGGTCGGTCATTCTGAATGGGCTGTGCCATCTAGTGTTTGAAGATGGTGATAACATTTTAAATCACTACTATCCTCTAATTGATATTATTCTAGAACAGACACATAAAATGCTGAAGAACAGACACCACTCCAAGTTAGTACATACAAGCAAATGATTAAAATGCAATTAAAAAATTACGTTAATTAATCTCTATAAGGCCCATGTTGGGATAACACTTATTTTTTTAGCAACAAAATTATGTGTAAAGTAGAACTAAGATGCCTCAGACATGAAGAATTCTTAAAATAAAACGTTTCAGGTCACTACAACTAATTATGTGTGCCGAACATTGGACCAAAAAGATAACTTGTGTTTTACAAAAGTTAGCTGCTATTCCAGTGGTGTGCATTGCCAACTACCTTGAAGCTGCTATGTATGGGAAAATACAATTCTCTATGAGGTTTATGAGATCTTCAGCTAAACCGGAAATGATGAAACGTAAGTTATTAGTTCTTGATACTGTTATTATTTATTTGGATGAATCATTTGCACTATAGGTAATGACTGGTTCAATGATCCGTATTATTTTTAGGCTTATTAAAAGATACTTACAAATTCACAAAATCGGTGATAATATGTAACATAGCCGAAGTAGACGAACTTGAGACAACGTTGATTATGAGTGGCATAGAAGCTGCCGTTATATCCGAAAAACTAACCGTTGACGAAACGCATCTTATAGAAGAAAACTGGACAAAAGCGCCAGGAGGGAATTATACTGGTAGGTCGATTCAGCTAACTTTTATTATTATATTTGTGACCTAAAGACATCAGTTGTAGTGATTACGATTGTATACTTTATATGTACAGTAATGAGCAGAAGTATATTGACAAATTAATATTGTGCTGTATTTCTTTTTTAACTTGTTTTATTAATACACCAACCTGTATACATAATTCGTTATAGCATAATATACTTATACAATAAATAAATGTATTAGACCCCCTTCAATAAAAAATTAATTGAAAAACTGGAACTATGAAGGACAAAAATATATAGACAAAGCAAAACTATTATAGAAAAAAGAAGCAAAGTTCATTGAATTATAGAAAACCAACCCTGTTTGTGTTAATATTTTGTAGCATAACCATTATTATCTATCCTAAAGCAGCAAAAAGTTCATCCATGTTTGAATAATTTTTATCTCGTATTTGCTTATCTAAGTATTCCCATAGATTTTCAATGGGGTTTATATCGGGAGACTGTGAAAGCCGTTTGAGAACTGGTATTGTTTCATCCAGAAATAATTTCTTTGCGAGATTTGAAGCGTGCTTCGGGTCATTATCTTGCTGGAAGATTGATCTTAAGGGCATATTGTCTTCCGTATAGTTTACTAGAAAAAGTAGCATACAAATTTTTCGTACAAAATAATAAGAAAAAAATCTACGTTTCAGTACCTTTCAAATGAGGTATAAAAATCTCAAATCGATTAAGAATTGGCAAAAATATGACTATTATAAGAGGAGGAAGGAAAAAGCAATAAAAATACTACTCTTGATGTCTTTATTTAAAACCAGCCGTAGCGCAGTTGGTGGTATGCTAATGCAATGCTAGCGATATATACTTTATCCCTATCTCTAATGATTTTCTATCCTTTAGCATCTTTGATCTGTTATCTGGTATCTGGTATCTGGTATCTAGTATCTGGTATCTGCTATCTGGTATCTGGGATCTGGTTTCAGATATCTGGTATCTAGTATCTGGTATATGCTATCTGGAATCTGGGATCTGGTATCTGGTTTCTGGTATCTGTTATCTTTTATAAGTTATCAGTTTTCATTTTTCATTTTACATTTTTCATTTTTCATAATACGATCATACCTACAATACCCCGCCTAACAGGAATCGCTAATCTCGAGCTAAAATTCAAAATTGAAACTTCAAACTAAAAATATCTGCATATCTTAGAATTTTCTAATCTGCCGAGTTTAAAACATGCGCCTGGGTAACGTGTAGTATATCGGTTTAATCAGGAGACTTTGGCCTGTCGTTTTGCGAAAAAAAATCGTAGCTATATCGCCCCGTAACGCAGGTCCGTATCGACGAAGACAAAGTACGCCGAAAAACGACCTGCCGTTTTCGATCCGATTCGTTCCTCTCACCGCGACGGCTCTCGCCCGCCCGTAAAGCGCCGACCGTCTAGTTTCCGAAACGGTACCGCTTTCCTTCCGGACGTTTCGCGAACCGGGAAAAACCGCGTCGACGTCATACGACAATTTCTGAACGCCTACCAATTATACCAAATCGAACAATCGATCACCGCTTAATATCGTCGATAATTTGATTGCAACTACATTTTTTTATTTTTATAGTACATTTTCAATATGGCGCCCTCTATTTATAATGTACACACGTGCTCTTCTTATGACAGCTGATCTTACTACCGCCGAATTCCTAAGAGAGGCTTGAATTTCTTGTGCTGCATGTATTATCCTGTTTCTGAGGGCTTCTATTGTGGGTACAGGATTTTGATCAGAGTATACTAAAGTTTTCATGCGACCCCACACAAAAAACTCCATAGGTGTGAGATCGGGGCTGCGTATTGGCCATGGGATTGGTCCATCTCTTAACTAATTTCTGACACTTAGTCTGAAATGTGCAGGGCACCCGTCATGCTGAAAAATCATTCTGTGTCTTGTTTGTAGCGGCACGTCTTCAAGTAATTCAAATAGAACGTTTCTTAAGAAATTTTCGTAGGCTTCTCCATTTAAGTTGTCATGTAGGAAATGTGGTACTACCAAACAGTTATTTATAATGCCCATCCAGACATTCAGACAAAATCGCATTTGAGATCCTTTTGGTCTCTTCATATGAGGGCTTCCCATTGCTCGTTCACACCAATAGTGAGCGTTATGGTGGTCTTTATCAAATTTTGATTCTACGGTCCATAGAATTTTTCTTAAATAATTACTATCTTCAACATCAGCGTTTAAAATAAACCGACAAAATTGCATGCGCCCCATGGGATCTCCTTCCTCTATGACGTGCACAGGTGTGTAGTGGTAAGGCTGGAATATGTTTTCATGCAAAACATACCACACTTGCCATTGGGATAATCCAAGCCGTCGAGCCATAGCGCGAGTAGAGAGAGTAGGGTCTCTTTGAAAAATATTTAATATTTCTTCTTCTTCTTCCACATCATGTCGAGGTCTACCTCCATCACCTGAAATAAAATGAAAAAACAAATCACAGTTTTTTGGAGGAAATTGTTACCTAATTAACATAGCGGTAAGACTATGAGCTAGAGTTGACAAAATATGATTTAGAAAAAAACGATACACAACGTGTGGATGTTTTCATCTTCAGAGCCATGGAGATGCTCGTGTTAAAATTAAATGGATAAACTCTTAATTAAGAAGTTCAATCAACTGTATCAAAACAGCTATGTTACAGTATCATCAGTTCAGCTCACAGACCTCCAAGGCTCTACATAGGCCTTACTGAATGACTGATTATGATAAGTTAATAATTATCAATGATGCAAACTTACCTTGATATCTTACGACGGTACCGCGCTCTCGAACCCGAGGACCGTTTGCCAAAATACGCGGGCGTCAGGTAAGCGACGATTAGGAAACATTTCCCCATACTCACGACGAGCTTCTTCAGCATTGCCTCTGGCATCTCCATAATAGAAAAGGATATCGGCATATTCTTCGAAACTGAACGGCCGCCTCCTTCGTTCATCAGCCATTATTCATCAATAGGAATGAACAATCAAGTCACACAGCAGCAAAGTCGTAAGGAATCACATAAAACAGGGTACAGTCTACGTCGTCAGGAAAAGAATCACACACGGAAGCCAACAAGAGTCAAGTCGTTAGAAATATCAAAACAGCGAGCAAACAAACACATCCGAACGCAACAAATCGCAAGGGCAGATTGAAGCGAGGGAGGGAGGGGGGTGTCTAGTCTTACTTATCACACTATTCCGGTGGCAAAGTCCGATGTTCGCGGCTCTACCTGCTTCTTTCACTCATATCTCTGTCATTTCTAAACCGGTTTGTGACTTTGATACCTCATTTAAAAGGTAATGAAACGTATATATTTTAAAATTGTTTTGCACGAAAAATTTGTAGGTGATTGTTTCTAGTAAATTGAGTTTTTGAGATGAACGAAGATTTTTTTTTTAACAAAAATTGAACTATTTTGAAGCTTACTGCATGAGATAACGTCAATAATGTACATTTGAGTATAAATTTTCGTATTTTAGAATATTTCTATTGTAAAATCAAAGAAAATCAAATGGAACACCCAATTTTCAAGTTCTATGACTTGGTTAACGTATAAAGGACGTTAATTTTATAAAATCTTAAAAATTAGTAAAATTCGAAAATGGCTAATTTTCCGACAGTAGTTCCTATAGTGAAATCGACTCAGATTGGCTTGTACTATCTCCCCCCACCGGTTCCGCATCTATTTTCCCGTCACCCTGTATATGAGCCGTACTGGTTCGCCAGGCGGTGCGCTTAAATAGGCAGGAGTACTAGGATGCTAAGTTCTAAGGCAAATATATGGGTGAATCTATGATATGTGAAATATATCTAACAGGTATAAAGCCTCCCCACCCCCTAACCCCAAAATTCTAACCCCTTCAAAAAATTTTCTGAGAATGATCAGGACCCTCTAAAAAAACAAAAAAAAACGAGGCTTAAGCGATTTTTTTCCAAGATTAGCAGACAGACGGAAATGAGTGACATGGTTTTTCGTGATGTACATGTCATATAAAATCCAAAAAACATATCTCATTTTACTTCCTCGCCCAGTGGCGTTGTTTCAAGACCACTTCCCAGTCTATCTTTTTATCGTCTTCGAATGGTATAATCACAATTCAAATAAACAATAACCGCCACAGGTGCCTGTTTTCACGTCGCGGACAAAACGCCTGCTACAGAAGTTAGGTCATTCCGTGACATACAGGTTTTTTGCCGATAACTTGCTTTTAATCGAATATAGAAAGTTCCTGTTTGTGTATCATTTTGAAGAATGAGCTGCCGCTTATACAAGATATTCCACAGAACTTCAGTTTTATCCTTTTATTATGTGAATGATTATAACACTAAAATTTTCGAGTTTCCATTTTTGTCAGTCCGGGACATCTACTTCACACTAAGAAATCAAATTAAAGCCTGATTCCTCAAAGCTCGGCCAGACAAATGTGCTAAATTCATCGCAGATAAAGTTGTTTCTGTATCACTTGAAATTTTTAGCCAGTATGACAGAAAATGTCGGAAAATATCTGGTTGTCAATTCGCAACGCGTGGAATTGCTCATATGACTATATTTTTATTGTTTACAGTTCTGGTTACGACCGATCATCTGCTAAACACAGAGCTAAACGTGACGTCTGCCACAATGTTGATTCACTATTCACTGCCCTATTCTTGGACGAAATTCACAAAACGTTTCGCCTGCTTACTGGAAAGCTACAGGAGTCCTTTGGATCAGAGAGAGGTATAAGCTGTGAATTATTTGATAAATGACAATCATCAACATTTTTTTCCCTTTTCAGTCAAAGATCACAACTCAAAGCATAGTCTTATTGGATGAGAATTGTCAGGAAGAGTTACCGAAGTTCTTCAAGTATATAAAGACCACCGATTTGAAACATTATTTATGTGATGAACTTAAGCAATATTCAGAGGTATGTGTGTTATTTCTTGATACTGTTCAGTTCAACGTGGTTTTGAATGTTCAAGGCTTCGTTTCCAACGAACTTACTGAGACACGTAGTGGTTGCAGTATGATGAAATTGGACAAGTATTCCAGTATGATTGCTTATGTTTTCGCATTGCAAGTTGATATTATTTATTCGCTAAAATAGCAATGCAACAGGGCTAAATAAATAAAACATTTACACTAGGCGTTCTCTGTGTAATAATGTAAATTAAATTAATAATAGAAACTTGTATATACACAAGATAAAAGTAAAAACGTTTTTTAAGTCAACATCTTATAGCTAAAAATGACTGACATTCGAGTAAGCTCATATAAACTTTTCTTACGTGATGAATCATATTCCGGAGTATTAAAACATAATCCACACCCGATAGTCTAATCATATTAGCAAATTTCCCCGAAATAATTGTAAAGTGTGGTTTTATTAATGCAAGTATTTAAAAAATGGATGCATAAAATGGGTACACCGATTTTTGTGGAAACACTTTTTATTCGACAATAAATAATGAGAAACGTGTTTTTTTAGGATTCAATCGAAGTACAATTGGCAGGAACCAAAAAACTCTTTAAATAAGATTCTTAGGTATTTATGAGTCCTCCAGAATGAGATCACACGTAAAAAGATCCGACTAACAGTAACAAAGTTATGGCCGAAAATCGAGGGAAAATGCAGGTCTTGGCACTTGCTGCTAATGCGACGATAATTTCACACAGCTACTTGAAATTCTTCAAATCCGTAGGCTTCCTACTTCTAAGTAACCACAACAAAATTGGAGTCGAATGGTCAGTAGTCTTTGAGAATTTCTAATTGTTTATCCCAAAACACCTGTCTTCCGGCCATCCCTACTAGTTTGCTAAGCAACATACAGGGTCCGTTCAACGGGCATTTTATACCAAAATACACGAGTTTACCTTGCCGACATAAATCACAAACCATTCCCAAAGATAATTGTTATTTAATGCAAAAAACGAAGGGCTGCGTTTTTTTTTTTCCTCTAAACAAATTCAAACATTTCGTATTTGCTTGTAATTGAACAGATTTGCTACGATATTCGAAAAACATACGTTATTATACATATTTTAAAACAAAGCAAAACAAAAACTACTTGATCAATCTACTCCAATTTTGATGTGGTACGAATCCTACGAATTTGAGGAATTTCAAATATCTACGTGAAATCATCGTTGCATTACCAGCAAGTGCCAGAACCTGCAGTTTGCCTCGGTTTTCGGCCATGACTCTGTTGCTATTAGTCGAATCTTTTTACGTGTAATCTCATTCTATAGGTCTCATAAATACCTAAGAATCTTATTTGAAGAGTTTTTTGGTTCCTGTCAACACTTTCCATTGAATCCCAAAAAGAACGTTTTCTCATTCTTTGTTGTCGAATAAAAAGATTTCCTACAAAAATTGGTGAACCCATTTCATGCGACCATGTTTAAAATACCCCCTTGAACAACTTGCATCAATAAAACCAGACTTAACAATTATATCTCAGACAAGGGGTATTTTCGTCTAATATGATTAGACTACGATCTATACAAACTACTAAGTTTAGAAGTTAAATTTGAACTTGTTTGTTCGACTTCTTTGTTTCCGAAAAATTCGTAAGGAATCATTTTTCGATGCGGTATTCTCTACCCATAAAAAAAAGCATGTTTGATAGCTGAAACAGATTTTGACATCTACTTTTATGGGATGATGCACGTTATTGTCGTCTTTCTCGCTATTTAAAAAAAAACTTGAAGATTGAAAAAATAATGTAAAGCTTGTGTATTTACCTCCGAACGAATGTGCCAATAGGATTATATTCTCATCCAGGATACTGTTAGGATGTGGAAAAACGATACATTTTATATGAAACTGTCGGCGTCAATCTATTGTTACTTTTCTCACATCTGATGAAAGTATACTCTATATCGCGATACTTCATTATGTTTTAACGTTTATCGAGGTGAACAGCTGATCAGCAAGTATTAAAGCATTTACATGTATTAAGTTCAATAATAAAAATTCTGAAGCTCACGTATTCAGAAAGTAGAGGCGGTTAACATAGTCAAAAACTATGTACACGATTGAATTCTTCATACCAACGGAAAATTGTCGACTGATGTGGCGCTTCGTTGCCGAAAACAGACAGTAACTCAGCAAGGCATTCTTGTTGCGATAATTGTCTCTGAAGGTTGTAATAAATTATGGCGCAAAAATGTTCTCGGTTGAGTTCCATTTTTCTAATGACTTGGTGACACTTAAAAATTCACTGTAGTGAGAACAGTGCACATATTGTTGTGAAAATTTGAATTTAGGTTTACTAAAGAGTGAGGTTAAGATTCAGTACTGACGTTCGATCCGCGCGGCCTACTATGTTTCTATATGCAAAACTTAAAAGACATCCCTCGTAGTAGTACCTAAAACAGCACTTGTGAAAGACTCAATAATAAATATTGTTGTGTAAATTTACATGATGCTATCAAAGGAGTTAACAATTTAAACATATTCCGCCGTAAACTTTTTAATGTTCTAAATCATAGTATCCCTTGTGTGAGTTTTATAATTCACCTACTTAAGATCCACTTATATATTTTTTTGGTGTTAGCTTTGCCATTAAGAATGATTGTATTCTTCAGGCAGTAAAGCATATTTGGCTATCTATCTATTATAGGTTTTCTTTTGTTCATAGGAATTTTTCTAAATAAAAACATTGTTAGAAAGTATTTATCCGTAAGGTACCAGAAACCACAACAAAATCACTCTATCTACAGATCTGACATCGCCAGATCCGTCAGAATTGTGTCACTCGCCAATATGGAGTATTTGGAATGTTACTAGATAATCAGCTGTTATTTGCTGTCACATTAGACGTAATGAAGTACCGTGATATAGACCATAGGGCCATATTCTAAAGGTAGAGTTTAGTAATCCTTTTTTGTGACAATCTAGTTAAGATATTGAGGATATTTTATGTGTGGACTTTGTCGGGTCAATTTAGATAGTTCTGGTTCAAGAAAAAGCGGAAACATTTAGTACGCACTGAAAATAATAAAAATTGAGAAATACAAGTTATCATTTAGCAAATATTCGGACAAGATATGTAAAGTAACAATCTTGGTCATTTTAATTGCAGGAATTGAGCGACGAAAGTGAATTGAACAAGGTACTAAAAGGAATAGAGCTATGTGAAACGCTTAAGGTATTCGGCAAATGCCCGAACATGCACAACTGTCCAATGAGACACAAAATTGACAAAACCGTAGAAGACAACCCATCACTGCCCACCCACGGGAAAATAAAATTCAAAATCAAAAACGTATACGACGTAACGAATTACTCGATCGAAATTTTGGAATCGATCGTTGAGAATAGTTGCAACGGAATCTCGGATGTGACTGAGAGATTGGCAGATAGGATGTCTGAAAGCAGGAAAAAGCCAAAAGTCCTTGTTTTGGGCCACTTGTATGTATACTATGGAGCTGATGATTCATCGGAAACGTACCATAGATGCGTATTAATGGCCAAGGAGAATGAAACTGTGCGGGTTAAGTTGATTGACGAGGGTAAAATGTTGAGCACCCTGAAGAACCGGCTGTACAAGTTGCCTAATGACCTCGGAGAAGATAAATTCCCCAGAAAGTGTAAGTATTTCTAATCCATTCTCTAAGTATCAGTAGTTTGTCAACATTGTGAAATGCATTACAGATTAGACACAACTTTTATTCAACATTTTTTTCATTTTGCGGTTCAAAAATAAACGTCAGATTAGCCCAGTTTTAAATAGGTACTGTAGTATTAACCCTTGGAACGGGTTATAAAAAACGCATGCTTCAGAACACACATTTTTGGAAAGGGAATTTTAAAAAGAAGTGATCAGGGAAATATCACAGAATTTTTTTCAACATTTATTATATCACTAGCTGTTACCCGCGGCTTCATACGCTTAAATTTGTTAAAATGAGAAACATTTTCAAATCAACATGTTAGATTACCAAACTTTAGATTGTAAAAATTCCTCTCTGCCTAGTCTCTAGTTAGAAAAAATAATGGGCGAAATCCGCAAAAAGAAGGAAAGCAGATTCGAGCAGGAAATAGGATAGGTAATCCGAGCAATAAGTATTTCTGCTTGTTGGCTTCATCAGGCCCGAAATGAATGCACATATGAATGTACCTCGGCAAGTGGCTATAAGCGGCCACGTGGTTGTGGTTAGATGTCGAATCGAAAATTCAAGTTATTCTGGCCATTATACTACAATGTGTAGGTTGGCTCTTGTTGATGAGTTAGTGTGTTGTTTTGTTCTCTCTCCATCTTCGTTTGCTCAGGTTACACCCGTTTCCGGATGTATGGGCATGTGTATCTACTTTGGTAGTTAAATATGTGCATTCAATTCGAGCATGATGAAGCCCACAAGCAGAGATACGTATTGCTCGGGTTACCTATCCTGTTTTGTGCTCGAATCCACTTTCCTTCTTTTTTCGGATTTTGCCCATTATTTTTTCTATTTGTTATATACCTTTCTCCGCATGATCCATTTCTATATATACAGGGTGGCTAATATATAACTGACTGATTTAAATTGCGCGCCATTTTTGATACACGCATTTCAGTAGGTGGCGCCATAGTCGTTGTTAAAAGCACATGCGTGCAATTCATCACGAAGCATTACACGATCCCACAACGCGTCCGTCTTGTTAAAACGTTTTACTTAAATAATGAGTCTATTGTTGCAACGATTCGGAAGCTACGACAAGATTTCGGTCGAAATAATGTGCCCAGCGTCAACACCATTCGTCAGTTGGTGCGGAAATTTGAACAAACAGGTGAATTTAAAGACTTGCCGAGGTCGGGCCGTGTTTGAACTGTTCGAACTCCGGGGAAAATATCGAGAGAGTTCGTGAAAGTGTAGTGGAGCGCCCTGAGACGTCTAACAAACATCGTTCTCAAGAATTGGGTATTCTTCGCACGTCATTATGCGCTATTTTAAAAAAAGACTTGCATTTGCGACCATACAAAATTCAGTTAACCCAAAAACTACAGCGTAGTGACCATGAAAGTCGCCGACAATACAGACATGCAATATTGCAGCTTAATACACAAAATAACGATTTTTACCGACAGCTGATAATGAGCGATGAAGCCCACTTCGATATGAACGGATTTGTTAATAAGCAGAAATGTTGTATCTGGGCATTAGAGAACCCTCGTGTCATCTATCAACGACCACTACATCCTCGTCGAGTCACAGTTTGGTCGGGTGTTTGGCATGGAGATTTAATTGGACCTTACTTCTTTGAAGACGCTGCAGGTACTTCTCTTACTACAGAAATAAGGTGCAAAACTTCCTGGCTCCTCAAATCCAACAATTTAACCTGCAAAACATGGGGAAACACTGCTAGGAAAACAATGAATCTTTTGCGAACAATATTTCCGGGACGTTTAATTTCTCGATTTGGTGATGTCAACTGACCACCAAGGTCACCAGATTTAACGACTCCTGATTTTTTTCGTGGGGATCTTTGAAAAATAGGGCTTATGCCAACAAACCAAATACTGTAGAGCAGCTGAAGAACAATATTACGGAAGCGATTGAAATATTTCTCCCGAAACCTACCAAAAAGTGATGGAAAATGTAATCAAGAGGGCTCAGATGCGCACATTTGTCTGATATTATTTTTCATACATTATTTCTAAGTTTCAATAAAATATTAAGATGAAAAAAATGGACATATGTTATTTCATTTCACAACTATTCAAGATACAAACGAGTCAGTTACATATCGGCCACCCTGTATAACATCGTAACAAAGCATAAGCCCCTTTTCGCCCAAAACCCGTTCTAAATGTAAGTATGTCTTTAAAGTAATGACAATTTTAGGTATCTTCCAAGATTTTTAAACGAAACTCGCGATTACACTTTAGCCCTCAATACGCCCTTGTTGCAAAATCCCGTTTTAGCTGACATGTCCTGCCCATAAGTTACGTCAATGTTAAATTTCATATTCAAATAGTTTTCGATAATTCGTGATTGACACTTGTGTATATACTACCCCTAATCATAGCCGCTCCTCTTGACCCAGCCTTTCCGCAAATTCCGTTATCAGCTGACATTTCCTGTCCATGGAGTTGAAGTTTTCGAGATAAATTTCTATAAACTTAACTTGAAAAGTGTTAAGGTTTCCCATAGAAATATTCAACCTTCTCTTATCCCATCTTAAGGATATAATTTCTGGAATTCTTTATAATTATTTTTTTTGTTTTAGACAAAACATACTCCTACTTGTAGGCTGGCCTAATTTGAAATATTCTAGGCTCCTCAGTCTCAAGAGTATTAACCCCAACTTCACCCCTTACAGGTGGAATTACCAAAATTTCTTTATTCCAATTTACATTATATCAAAAAAGCAGATATACAAAACCCATATTTGCAACTCTAACTTGAAGTTCTATTTTAGCAACAAAAAGTAGCCTGTGTCCGTATCCAAGGTCTATCTACAGGGTGTAAACGTTATGATAGTCATTATTTAAATGGGTGATAGAGGGGGTTAAAAGAAGCAAAAAGTTTCATATAACATAGGGGTCAAAACGGCATTTTTTAGAGAAAATCGACTTTAAAGTAAAATAAAATCTGACAACCCCGCAATGCCAGACGCGAATTACGACGGAACGCAGTGTAAATAAAGATGGAGTTTGTTATTTTTGGCTCTTAGGTATTATTTTATTAATTTGATAATGTACTCGTAAAATGCAAACAATTAAAAAAAAAACGGACTTACCATTAACTGTCGCAGTGCTTCACCTGGTGTGTGAAAGTTTATTGAAGGTATGAAAAAAATCAACTTATAAATAGGGAACACAATATTGATACATACATTGTTTTTTTTTTTAACCCACACTGCACTTTTTTTGTATTTAAAGAAGGTGTCCAAAATGTCGTGCTCCACTTTCCACACAAGCTTCATTACGACGGACCCAGTTTCTTCTTACTCTAGGTGTTCGAAGTTGTCCATTTATTATTTCAGCCGCATTAAAATTTGTTTCGCGAAGTTGTGCTTCAGTTGTTATTGGACCAGCCCCATAAACCATCCCTTTAAGTTCTCCCCAATACCAGAAATCCATCGGATTGAGGTCAGGAGATCTTGCTGGACATTTTCGAGGATCAGGAGCATTTCGACCGATCCAGCGATTTGGATAATGTTCATTCAAATACTGAATGACGCCTCTAAAAATGTGTGGTGGTGCCCCGTCATGAAAAAACCACAAATTCTATCTCCGTTGTAATGGCATGTTGTCTAAGGTCTGTCCCAAAAGTTCTGGTAGGTTATTGGCTAGAAAGCTAAAGTATCCTTCTCCTGACAACTTTGCGGGTAACTCGAAAGGGCCAATTACCTGATCATCAAGAATACCCGCCCAAATATTTATTTTAAAACGTTGTTGGAAATGATCTTCACGAATGGTATGAGGATTTTCATGGGCCTACTATACGTGTGAGTATTATGGAAATTTAATATCCCGTCTCGCGTAAAAGTACATTCGTCGGTCGCTAGAATGTTTTTAAAAAAAACCGGATTTTCGATGTTTTTTGCAAAAACCACTGACAGAATGTTGTCTGCGAGGATAGTCTTCTGGTAACAAGGCCTTCACTCGTTGTACATGGTAGGGATAAAGAAAATTTTCCCGTAGGATTCTATGGACTATGGTATGCGATAGTCCTACGCGACGGCCTAATTCCCGAGTGCTGATATCTGCATTGATTTCCACGATATTTAAAATTTGTTCCTCCTGCTCTACAGTAACTTGTCTTCCACGAGTGCGAATATTAGTGGGCTGAACCCTTCCTGTATCTCGAAGTCTTTGGTACACTTGCACAAATGTCCTTCTGTCTGGGGGTACCCGTTGGCGAAATCTGTCGCAATAAATTTGAGCTGCAAGATTTGAATTCTGACGAGCTTCATCGTAAACTAACAACATGTCGGCGAACTCTTGATTCGAGAACATTTTAAAGAAACAAGACGACGTACGCGAACAAAAACAAAACAACAGGCCCGATGCCCGATAACTAACCACTGTTACCGTTTGCAATCGATTGCCGGTTCGATAAGAGTGATGAAATGCCGACGCGCTGTTGTCATGTGTGTTTTAAATATTTAATTTAATGAAACTTACTACTGACTACAAATTTTGGCTTAACTTAGAAAAACTGAATGCCATTTATTTGTTAATTACTCAATTTAAAAACGTTTTAGAAGATATTATAAAAATTAGTATGGTTGTGGTGATTGTGGTCGATATAAAGCACTTAAAGTTGTAAACTATAAAGCCGTTTAGACAAAAATCTATTGACTTTTACATCATGGGTCTTATGAACTTTTTGACTTGTTTTCACCGCCCCTATTACCCATTTCACTAATAACGGACCAGCGACTGACGGCTTTCGCGTCAGACACCTATCAAATTCCATTAAGCCGTTCGGGCCGTATCCCGTGAAATAGATATTTCAACGTTATTTCCCGGGATACAAAGTAGCCTTGTGCTATTTCAGACTATAGTATATCTCACTACCAAATTTCATTCAAACCCGTTCAGCCATTTTGGCATAATTAACAAACATCCACACTATCATTTATAATATTTCTAGCGATTTATTATGTAAAAAGTTGTAAACATTAATTATCGAAAATTCATTTCCAGATGCTGATATTTATTTAGCAAATTTGATTCCTCCATACGGCGATAAAGGTTTCTCTAACAAAGCTCTGTATATCCTAAACAACACCCTGGAAAAGCATGACTACAAGAATATTGTACTGACTGGCTATATTCACCTTCAACTTTCAAATACGCTATGGTTAACAAATGTAGAAGAGGAAGTAGTGCTGTCGGATAAAGTCTTGACAGGTTTCCAGTTGACCAGGGAGATATTGCAGAAGCAATTGGCCGTTACAGATTTGAACCAGCTTGATCGTTTGTATAAGTTGTGTGCCGAAGCGGGTTTTGCCTTGCCAAAATACGAAGTAGAATCTGTTAGAGAGACGAAGGAGGAAAAAATTATACCACATTGGGCCCATTTGGAGATAGAGACCGTTCAGGAGGTCATTTTTTCGTCAGCTATTTCTCCGGACGAGATGTATGTCCGATTGTACAAATACAGTGATTTGTAAGTATGATTCGCAAAAGTATGAACCGAACTGTTTCTTAATAAGTATCCACTATGTCACATGATGATTCCTTAGGTATTTTTAAGATAGAAAGATTCTGTAAACATATGATCCATTAGGATTAGAATGTCAGTCGGCCGGCACGTGTTGGATAATGTGGAGGTTATCAGTGGAAAAAAGATGAAATCTAGACGGAATTTTTGATAGTTGATAGTTTTAAAATTTCCTACTTTATTCCAAAATCAACGTTTAATTAAAAAAAAATTCAAAATGATTTGCCATTTAATAATTCCGTCCTAATCGAACCTCATTAGTCCAGTTTTTTATACGTCGACTATGTGTTCCCTTCACTGTTGTTTAAAAACAATTTCAGCAACAATCTCGCCGACGTCGTAAGTAACTATTTTTCTCCTAATTGTTATTTGTTGCTATTGTCAATAATTGTTTCCAGCTCGAGACGATGACGACATAGATCTTCGAAAGCTTGGGTTTAAGTTAGAAGAGTGTACTTTTACAATACTTTGCCTTCTACCCAAAGAAATTCAAGGATATATACACGTATCTATATATATTATAACAACTAATAACCAAATCCCCATGAGTATGTTATATCAATCTTGTCCTTTTAAAACAGCTTATCCGAATGTGTAATGAAAAGTAGATCATTCCATTTAAGAAAAATCAACTTTGACATGTGGGTCAAAATTCGGACACCCTATATAATTGTGAATATTTTAGAAATATGCCTCCAGATACCATATAATGATAAATAAATAGTATTCTTTGAAAACCTTTTTTTATGAACAATACTCCTGGCACGGTTGATGGTACATCCTGTATCCAGGCTGATTCAGAAAAATGTAACAATATTTCTATAGAAAGTAGATCCAAAAATAAAAAATTCCTATAGCCATAGGTCCCAAAATGTCCCATTACCAATATACAGGCTATTGCAAATTTCTACCCCACTGATCACAAAGACACAAAGCACAAATACTGTACAAATAACGCTATGAGATACGATTACTTTCCTGGTACATTGCATACAATTTTGAATGTAAAACTTTATTAACGTCAGCCTTTTATACCCTAAACTCAAACTTTGTTGAGACGATAATCATATGAATATATGAAGTTAGAAATAACAAATGTAATTCTCTATTCCAGATTATATACCTTGCAAAAGGATATCCTACAAGCTATAAAGAAACCCCATTATCACAGGCTGTCCAAAATTAAACCAGGCACTATCTGTTTAGCAAAAGATCCAGAAAGTGAAGATTATTCCAGATGCATTATTCTAAAGAATGATGAAGAAAAGGCCTTGTGCTTCTTTGTAGACTTCGGTGATGAAGCTGTTGTCCCCACTACCGACCTGAAATACCTCAGTAACGAATTTATAACAAAATTGCCATTCCAAAGCATCTCGTGCAAACTGTTTGGTATCAAACCTGTCTTGGAAGAATGGTCTAGTGAGCCGACAGAATTATTGTATGAATACGCTACCGAACCTCAAACTGATATATTCAGATCACTTTACGTCAAGGTTTGCGGCAAAGAAAGAATAGCAATATCAGACTACTGTCAAAACAGGTATACTGTTTTATTGAAAGATGGTTTTGGAAATAAGAAGCCTTTGATAAACGAACTATTTGTCGATTGTGGTTTGGCTTTGCCGACTGAAGATAAGCTCGAAGACTTTGAGATACCCGAGAGTTACGAACAGACTGAGGAAAGTGACGATGATGTTGAAATGGCATTGGATATATTGAAGAAGACAGACGAGGCGCGAGAAAACTTCCATCCAAATAAAGGTGAGAATCACATGGATTCTTACTTTATTAATTATCCAGTAGTTAGAGACTATGAGAGTAATAAAGATCGGTGGGTAATTTTGACACGTTTCCATTGTTTGGTTTGTAGAAAGCATAAAATGTTTGATATAAAATCGAGCTAAGTCATAACGTTTCCGAGATATTAAACATAAACATAGAAGTTAAACTTAAAATGAAGTTGATTCCATTGGCTTGAATGTGATTTTGCATATACAGTAATGTCCGCTTTTAACGAACCTCAAGAGACCGGCGAAACTGGTTCGCTATAAGTTCGTAATAAACGATAAATAATGCTAATGCCAGAAAGTATTTTTCATTACTTTATTATTCAACCAGGGGTATATGAAATGTTTGTAATAGTATATAATAATATCTATAATCCACATTTATAAAATTTTTTGATAATCTTTCTTAAAAAAATCATTTATTTTCGTTTGGTTTATTTTTGTGAAATGAATATCATTAATATGTAATTCCGCTTCAGCTAGTCGATCTAGCACACGCTGCGGAGTATTTCGTGACTGAAGGAAATGATGAACGCTTTCAATATGTCGAAGTGCTTGTGATGTGGTTGGAGTTGGTATCAGTTCCATACCGACAGATTCTTCATCTTTATTTTCCTTTTCTTCGTCATGAGTATCAACTGCCGAAGATATAGCAGCTACAATGGCATCATCATCATCCAGGTATTCGACAGTCGCACCTTGTCATCAATATGAACAAACTAATTGAAATCATTTTCACTATAAGGAAGATTAGCTGTAATATTGTCTCAAAGATCGTCTTCCTGTTGAATTTTCTTTATCCACTCAACTAATGGCAGGTCATCGTCGGGATCAAAATGATCCTCCAAGAAACCCCCATGCGTAACAATTTAAAATTGTTTCTTTTGATACATTCTGCCATGCCATATGAATGATGTTTATTTCATCCAAAAGATTGATTGTAAAATTTTCCCCGCCACTATCAATAAAATCTACCATTCTCGAGAGAAGAACTGGACGATAATGGCTTTTTAAACTGTGGATTATACCCTTACCCATAGGCTGTAGTTTAGAACTCGTGTTTGGGGGTATGAACACTAGATTAGCTAGCGTAACTCAACATCCCAATTACGCAGTTCAGCATCAAAAATCTCTGAGGTCATCCATGCTCTTTTATTGGATTTGTAATTAACTGGCAACTGTGAAACGTTTTTAAAACATCGAGGGTTTGTCAATCTTCCAATTACCAATAGCTTTCTTTTTTCTGTCCCTGTTAGATTTGCCACTGCAAGCACAGTGATTCTTTCTTTAGATAGCTTCCCACCCTCACACTTCTCGCCTTTGAATCTTAAGGTCAGATGTAAGCTTATAGAATAACCCAGTTTCATCTGCATTAAATATGTCCTCGTCTTTGAAGTTTCTTCTAATGATTTTTCCACCGGTAATGTTATGTGGTCTTTTTAGTCTTTCCATCCAGCTTCTACTAAATTTAGGTTCTTCACTCAGTTCTTCATATTTCAATAATTTCTTCCCAAGGTCTTCAGCCTTCGATTGCAGTATAGCGCCACTTATGGTTACTTTTTTATTTCTCTGTTGAGAAAACCATTTCAGAAGTACCTGATAAACTTTATAATTCGTGGGCTTTTTAATTTTCTTCACATTTATGTTTTGGCCTTTCTCAAACATTTCCAGTATTGGGTCTTTATTTTTCCAAATTGTACCAATCTGTAATTCAAATGAAAAAATTGTAAATCAAATTCATATCTCATAGTGCTTATTTATGTATGTTTAGAACATTGTATGTTGCAATCTTTTGACGATATCGTATTTACTATTTAAAGTAAGAGCTTTACGTGTTTTCATAGAAATTGCGTCACCCATGATTTCAAGAGTGCAGGACACTGAATACAACGAAAGAAGGTATCAGACTAAATGGCGGTGGCGGAGGGGCGGCAGACGATGATGATTGCTCATACCCCACCAGGCGGTCGGAAGATTTCGGTTACCTGATTCTGGTAAAATCCAGTTTTACGCTCGTTATAACCGAAAATGCTTACGAATATATCAAACATTTAGGTTCGTTTTATAAGGAGGTTCGTTATAAACGGGTTCGTTATATGAGAGAAAAATAGCACACATTTAATATCATTTCAGTCGGTACCTTATAAATTAGTTCGTTATAAACGGAAGTTCGCAATAAACGGGTTTGTTATAAGCGGACATTACTGTAACTTACATGTTATTGATCTATTATGCATGCTTAGTCCGAAGTCTTCTACATAATCCTGATTGCACGCAACATTAAAACTGCAGTGTTTAAACCAATTAGTGTACTTGACTGATTGTAAAGAATTCGATCTCTCTAACAGAAGGATATATGTAAGTAATATTGGCAAAAGATCTAGTTCCTTGTCTTAACGTTCCGATTGTTTTGCTTTTATTTTCTTCGCTTCCTTCCCCAGTGGGAGAAGGGAAATTTTACTGCTTTAAGGGCTGTTTCACTTAATTAAATGACAGCCCGACCACACGAGTGCAAATGACAAATGTTGTCCCGGTTCCCTTCTCGTCGCTTCTCCTCAGTGAGCGTGCATTTTTCAAGACGCGTCTTGCTAAAAAAGCTGCCGTTTCGACGTTTATTTGACTTCTTCAGGGTTTCAAAATGTGAACAATGGGTTTTGACATGATACAAAAGAGTACTCAGAAATTTGAAAAGATTTAAAAACAAAAAACGACAATGGATATGTATATATTAAAAAATAATAATTACATATTAACACTTTTTAAAAATATGATCAAGTATAACCTAGATAAAACAATAAATCTATAAAAAGCCACATATATAAGTTGAAGAAAACAAAATGTATATAAATGAGAAAATGTAAAAACAGATGCCGGCATCTCCTGAATTCGACCAACTAAACTCAACATAAGGACTCCACAGTTTATTTATTGGAAGATTATATATATATATATAATCTCTATATATATATATATATATAGAGAATATGATCATGCGGAGAAAGGTATATAAAAACAAGTAGGAAAATAATGAGCAAAATCCGCAAAAAGGAGGAAAGTGGATTCGAGCAGAAAATAGAATAGGTAACCCGAGCGATACATATTTATGCTGGTTGGCTTCATCAGGCGCGAAATGAATGCACATATGAAACTACAAAAGTAGATACACATGCCCACACATCCGGATACGGGTGTAACCTGAGGAAACGAAGTTGGAGGGGGGAAAACGACACACGAGGTCCACAAGAGCCAACCTACACGTTGTAGTATAAAATGGCTATACGACCTCGAATTTTCAAGGAGACGTCTAACCACAACCATATATATACAGGGTGACTTTGAAGTTGAGTCATTAATTTTCAGATAATGATTGTAGAAGGAAGATAAATCAAAATATGTGTGTAAAAATAAAAAAAAAGTGACCTTGTTTTATAAAGTATCCTCCCGACAAGTATTTCAGTGCGGACCTGTATTTGATCGTGCAGTCCTGGAGCACCGGCATGCCCTCCGCTGTGATGTCTTAAGTCACCTCGATTCACGAGCCCTTTGTACTACATTAACAAAGGCACGAGGGGTTGGTTGCACTCGATTGGGAAACCGATCCGCATAAATCCGTGATGCCGCGGCAGCATTTTGTAAAGACTCCCCCCCGTAAATAAGAATCAAGTTCAGCAATTTCGTAAACATGTGCCAGTTTTTATTTCGTTTGAGCCACGCAACAAACACCACTATTCACTTACGCGTTACCGACTGACACATTGACTGAATACAACTGAATAAAACATCGTGAGAAGCGTTTCAAATTCTTTCGCTTTTTTGTTTCCGATGCGATGAACCGATAAGGCGGATTATATCCGTTGTCGCCAAACACGAGCACATAATATTATTATTGAGACAGGGCGGTACTCAAACTTCTAAAGGACTATAACTTTGTTACTTTAATTTTACCAGAAAAATGTTAAAGGAAAAAAACATTTCTTTTGATCAGATCTACTCACTGTTAAAATAAATGACTCAACTTCGAAGTCACCCTGTATACAGGGTTATCCAAATTAAGTGTCCACCATTAGTAACTTTGTTATTAGTGAAAATACAAAGTTGTTTGAATCAGCAAACTAGTAGCATTTTTAACGCTGGTAAAAATGAGAAATAAAAAAAAACAATTGAGAGTCGTTATTTTGATTTTTTTCAGTAAAATAAAATTTTTTTAAATGAAAACCCCTGTATATTATATTTTTTTCTGTTAAAGCATCAAATTTTAAACAAAAAAGTTCATAATGACTTTTCCGCTAAAGTCAAAAATAAAGTCAAAATAACGATAAATATTTTTAATTATTTGCAGTATTATAATATTAAGACGGCTATGAAAACAACATGGCGTTCGCGATTTGACAGCATTAAGATAAGCGACAAATTGTTAAACTGGACATACTCGCAACTAGAAGGCTTTGGAAAACAATGATAAAATCAAATAATGTCAAACATTAGTGTAAATACTTGTTTATAAGCTTTATTGTGTCATTAATTTAAAGAAAAATGTTCTCCCATGAAGAAAAGTGTGATATGTTAGAATGCTATTTAGTGTGCAGAAAATCCTCCTTGAGAGCAAGAGAATACTACAGTGAATTATATCCCGCTCGCATTCAACCGTATGAACGATATTTTCTGAGACTTTATCGAAAATTTAGGGGCAACGAAAATATTTTTGCTAAAACAAGGGCAAAAAAAGAATTCATAATAAGCGAGGCCACGGAAATTGCAGTTATTGGGTATTTTGAAGCTTATCGTGAGAATTCAATAGCAGATATTCTCAAGGACTCTAATTTCAGTTATGGTACTGTTCAAAGGATTTTAAAAAAATACAAATTTATTCCGTATAAGTACCGACCAGTTCAAACGCTTTTGGCAGGGGATCCAGAGAGAAGACTTGTTTTTTGCCATTGGTATCTTAGCTTCTGTCGCCAAAATGTAAATAACTTTCGTTACCTTTTATGGACAGATGAATCAAATTTTTCAAATTCTGGAATGTTTAATAGAAAAAACCACCATTATTGGTCAAGAGAAAATCTTTTGTTAGTACATCCAAGAGGCCCACAAGTCCGTTTCAGTTTCAACGTTTGGTGCGGTATAATTGGTTCAAAAATTGTTGGCCCGTTCTTTTATGAGGGAACCCTAACTGGTGAAAGATATGTGGAATTTATGTCAGAAATTCTGACTAATTTCTTAGACGAATTGGATCTTATAAGTAGACATCATCTGCATTTTCAGCAAGATGGCGCACCTGTCCACAACTCCAGAGGTACTTATCATTTTCTAAGTACTACTTTTAATGATCAGTGGATAGGAACAAATGGCCCAATACAGTGGCCTCCCAGATCACCAGATCTAAACCCACTTGATTACTTCTTGTGGGGTTACTTAAAGAACCAAATTTACAAGCGAAGGTACGATAACCTTGACGCGTTAAAGACTGCAGTTAGGGAAAAGATAACCCAGATAGATGGTAGGACCATACTTAAGACAGTTCGAGCAGTTGAAAAACGTTCCCAAAAATGTATTGAAGAACAAGGTGGTGTTTTCGAGCACCTTCTTTAAAAAAAATTGTTATTGTATTTTGTAAGATTATAAGTTGATGTTGAAAATAAAGTTTGTCGATACAATTTAATTGTTTCAGATTGGAGGCCATAACTTCAACAATTTGTAACCTAGGAGAAAAGTTGTTGTAAGCTTTTTTGTTTAAAATTTGATGCTTTAACAGAAAAAAATATAATATACAGGGGTTTTCATTTAAAAAAATGTTATTTTACTGAAAAAAATCAAAATAACGACTCTCAATTGTTTTTTTTTATTTCTCATTTTTACCAGCGTTAAAAATGCTACTAGTTTGCTAATTCAAACAACTTTGTATTTTCACTAATAACAAAGTTACTAATGGTGGACACTTAATTTGGATAACCCTGTATATATATATATATACAGGGTGGCCAAACATGTGACGTCATAAAAAAAAATTAGATTCTCCACATCGAGATGAACCCAAATCACCCCCATATATATGGTCCGATTTTGTTTAGTTTAGGAGTTATGATTTTTTTTCGGATTTTTCGAGAATTTTTGAGTTCTGTGTTTATTTTTACCATAACTTCGTTAATAATTGTGATAAATGCCTGCTTTTTTCACGATTATGTAGCTAAGACCTAAGGCTTAACTATCATATAATCATTCAAGTCATGTAACTAATACTACTTTTTAATTTTTTTCAAAATCTTCGAACATAACAAAAAAGTAAAAAAGTGCAACAACTTTGAACGTTTATAAAAAATTGAAAAAACATGTTCTTACTATTCGTAAGTATCTTAAAAACTTCCTTACGGTATCAGCTATTTACCGTAAAAATTTCATCAACCTAGCTTTACTACATGCTACCGTAATTGTGGCTCAAATAGAACCGAACCCAAAATTGGATAACCCTCTGCTCAATAGAAATTGTTAGTTTCGGAAAAAAAATTTGCAAAAACCACAAAAACACGTTTGATTTTTACTGAACAGCAGATTATTATTCATTTATGTTATTTACAAGAGGTTTTCAAAATGTCTGCCTCTAACAGAAATGCACAGTGTACACCTACGTATGAAATTTTGTTTTAAATCTCTAAATGCTTGTGTGTTGTTTTTCAACACATGTGTCGCTTCTTGAATTTTGTTCCTCAATGAATTTTCATTTGCACATTCTTGGGCGAATGTTATGTCTTTAAAATATCCCCAAACAAAAAAATCAATGGGGTTGAGGTCAGGGGATCGTGGAGGCTATCGTATCGGTCCGTTTCGTCCGATCCATCTGTCTGGGAACCTTTCGTTTAAGTAGTTTCGCACGATCGTTGCGTTGTGGCATGGTGCACCATCATTCTGGAACACCATGTTCCGTCTGGCTTCCAGGCTTGAATCTTCCAGCAATAATGGTAGGCTATTTTCAAGGAAGCTTTTGTGGGCTACCGAATCCAACCTTGACGGCAGTTCAAATGGACCGATAAATTCCATATTAAATATTCCTGACCACATGTTCACACTAAAACGGTGTTGAAATGTCGACGGCCTTGACTGGTGGGGGTTTTCAACAGCCCAAGTATGTAAATTATGGATATTGAATATCCCTGTTCTTTCAAAACGTGACTCGTCAGTCCATAAAATTTTATCAAAAAAATCGGGATCCTCTCGTTGTCTTCGCAGCATTGTCTCGCAGAAATCCACTCTTAACTGGTAATCTGAAGGCATCAACGCTTGAACTCTTTGAACATGATAGGCATGATAACCTTCTTCATGAAGAATATTTTGTATCGATGTTCGTGGTATTCTAAGGTTTTGTGCCATAGATCTTGTACTCGTTGAGGGATTCCGGCTAATTTCTTCAAGTACTACTTCTCTGCGATCCGGATCAGCTGTAGGATATCCTTCATTGCTTCCTCGTCCTGGAATGCGGCCTGCCATGAAAGTGTTATGTGTGTTAATAAAAACACGGTGGTCTGGGTAATGCTCAGGTTGTGGTCCGCCTCAACCCCATTGATTTTTTTGTTTGGGGATATTTTAAAGACATAACATTCGCCCAAGAATGTGCAAATGAAAATTCATTGAGGAACAAAATTCAAGAAGCGACACATGTGTTGAAAAACAACACACAAGCATTTAGAGATTTAAAACAAAATTTCATACGTAGGTGTACACTGTGCATTTCTGTTAGAGGCAGACATTTTGAAAACCTCTTGTAAATAACATAAATGAATAATAATCTGCTGTTCAGTAAAAATCAAACGTGTTTTTGTGGTTTTTGCATTTTTTTTTTCCGAAACTAACAATTTCTATTGAGCAGAGGGTTATCCAATTTTGGGTTCGGTTCTATTTGAGCCACAATTACGGTAGCATGTAGTAAAGCTAGGTTGATGAAATTTTTACGGTAAATAGCTGATACCGTAAGGAAGTTTTTAAGATACTTACGAATAGTAAGAACATGTTTTTTCAATTTTTTATAAACGTTCAAAGTTGTTGCACTTTTTTACTTTTTTGTTATGTTCGAAGATTTTGAAAAAAATTAAAAAGTAGTATTAGTTACATGACTTGAATGATTATATGATAGTTAAGCCTTAGGTCTTAGCTACATAATCGTGAAAAAAGCAGGCATTTATCACAATTATTAACGAAGTTATGGTAAAAATAAACACAGAACTCAAAAATTCTCGAAAAATCCGAAAAAAAATCATAACTCCTAAACTAAACAAAATCGGACCATATATATGGGGGTGATTTGGGTTCCTCTCGATGTGGGGAATCTAATTTTTTTTTATGACGTCACGTGTTTGGCCACCCTGTATAAAGAGCAGTTACAGATATTGTAAAAACCAGACATATTGCTACTTTTTCGTTGTCCATCTTCAGAGTTCGCAATCTCGAAAAGCTTGATAGTTTTTGCATATTATGGTTTTCAGTACTTTTATAAGGGAACTACAAACGATGTTTGGCAGTCAGTGAATAAAAAAAATACAACAGCCCCAAAATTGCTTTAAAATGACTCATTTCCCGTTCGGTGAAGGATGACATATCACACGAAAATAGTAAAAATGGTGTAGTCTCGCCCTAGTGTTTCATATTTCACCCGAAAGTAATAATTTATAGTCAGCTTTGATCATTACAAATCGTTAGATGAAGGTTTAATGCATGAGTAGATATGTTCAAATTACGCTTTTAAACTAATTAAATAATATGTATACCTTTTCCATTAGAATTCCAACAAGAAGAAATTAATGAAGACATGGAACTATTCCTGGAAGACGATGACTTGATTGACTTCGTAGATCAGGTGGTGAACTTTTATCGAAAAGAAGACAAGTCAGTATTTAAGCAAGAACTACCCCGGATGCAGGCAGCCCCCAGTGTTGGCTACCTCACCCCGGAAGTATTTTGGTACCAGACGGACACAGCTGTCAAACTCAGCGTCAAAGTGACAGACGTCAAAGATTACAAAGTCACGCTGACAAAAGGCAGGATACTTTTGTTCAAAACTCAGAAAGGCAAGGACGAGTATTGTTTGAAGTTGATGTTGTATCATCATATAGGATCGTTGCACCATACTTCAGCTGGGCTAGATGTCCGGATAACATTGATCAAGAAGAATCTCATTGAATGGCCTAGGTTGATCCTGCCAAAACAGAAGGCTAGGAATATACATTATGACGTGTCTATGTTGCAAGTGAAGGTAAGTTATTTATACGTAAAGCAAATCTAAATTTTAATTAAGGATTCGGAGTCTCGTATAATTTGTAAATATTTATTCAAAGCGAATCAACAATGGATTATTCTCTACCTAAAGAAAATTGCATTTGTTATAGTTAAAGCAGATTGTTTACATCATTTTTCAACAAGGGTATACTTTGTTGTCTTTTTTTGGTTATGTGTTGGCAAAACGTTTAGTGTATTTCCAAAATGTTTCAAAGATAACTTATTTGAATTCTCTGTATTGTTCACCACATGAATCATCCAAGCTGATATAATTTTTACTCTTTCATGTCAAACTAACAACGTCACAGAATAAAAGTTATTTTGTTCACATTAATAGTCACATCTTTGCCGCCAAATTTTATGATTGAACTTTCGAGGGCAAGTTTTGCCACTTTTTGGAGGCAAAATGTTCCGAATGAACTAAGAGCAGTATCTTGTGTTGATACGAATTCTCTTGATAATTTTAAAAATTATTTCTATAACGTCCCCACGACACTTTAAAAGAGCCGAATGCAGGAACATCAGGAAGTGGAAACATTGACTTCACATGACACATGATATCATAAGTTTGATCGCCATCTTGGCTTCTGTTTCGTTTCTGTGGTATTATTTTTATCAATCACAAAATATTTGATATATCATTAAACATGTATATATATATATATATATACGAGCCGCTTCCCACTTCAGTTGGCCCACTTCAAAATTTGTACCAAAATATACCTTTATAAACTAAACATGACGAAACTATTTACTTCTAAAACAATTTATTTTCTGAAAAACATTTTAGATACACTCTAGTCGTAAAAATACATATTGGATTTGACTTAGACCTAAAACTAATCTGAACAAATAAACAATGTGCGAATAAATGCGCGAAGTTAACAAAGCAACAATTGAAAGATTACCATTGGGTAACATCACCTTTATTTTTTATTACGGCTGAAATTCATTGGGGCATAGTATTAACCACGTTTTGGCAAAAAAATTGTGTAAAACAATCCCATATTTCTTGAAGCTTCTGTCTCAGTTCGGTGATTGTACGAGCAGGATGTTGTCGTAGAACCTTTTTCATCTCGTGCTACAAAGTTTCAATAGGTGACAGATCTGGACTGCTAGAAACCCATTTCAAAAGTGGTACATTATTTTCTTCCATCCATTTTATAGCCTTTTTTGAGGTATGGCACGATGTACCATCTTGCTGAAACACAAAATCTTGGCCGGATGTCAAACATTCTTCCATCACTAGTAAAAGCGATTCTTCTAAAATTGCCAATTATTTGTTTGTATCCACATTTCCATCAATAAAATGAAGTTTTCATACTCCTTTTGATGACATACTGCCCCAGGCCATAAAGGATGCTGGAAATTTCACTTTTCTCTTCAGACAGTCAACATGGAACGCTTCATTTTTTTGCGAACTGCGACTGTCAACAACACAAACTTCGAATCGGGCCTCATCACTCCATTGTCTTGCACACCATTGATGAGGTGTCCATTGTCTATGTTCTAAGCCGATTTTTCTTTTGCAGTGGAGTTAATAGTGGCTTTTCTTTGGCCTATAAACAAGTTGTGCAACTTTAGGGTATTTACTTCAATTTTTTTATAAAAAAACTTACTTTGCAAGTGCTAAATCCCAGTTTGTGGGCCTCTCTATGAGTTGTGGACCTAGAAATTCTCCTTCCAACAGCGTCACTCCACAGAGCACTTAATTGTAAATAATTGGCACGCCTGTTTTTCACAATTATTCTTCTTAATGCTCTTCGGTCGGCATTTGTGATATTACTTTTTTTCTCATATCGTGGCTTAATATTAACTGAGCCAGTTACGTTATATCTTCTAACAATATTTCTCACACTGTACCGCGATAAGTCTAACAAAGTTGCAATTTCTGAGTTTGATTTCCCAGAATTAAAAAATTTAATTATCGGTAACCGAATTTTCTCACTAATAACCTTTCCTCTACCCATTTTGAAAAACCTTAACTACCCAAAACTACTTCAAACGTATTCTGACAGCTGTGATTAATAAAAACAATTGTCATGGCTTTTATTTTTCACAGCCACGTTATAGACTTATTTTGCATTGAAATGAAAATAGGTTGAAATGCTGTCATTGCAACTAGTGTTATTTTTATGCTGCAAATTTGATTAGGTAGTGATAAAGTTGGTGTTTTCTACTATGAAGTTGAGTCATTAATTTTCAGATAATGATTGTAGAAGGAAGATAAACCAAAATATGTGTGTAAAAATAAAAAAAAAATGTACCTTGTTTTATAAAGTATCCTCTCGACAAGTATTTCAGTGCGGACCTGTATTTGATCGTGAGGTCTTGGAGCACCGGCATGTCGTCGCCTGTGAGGTCTTAAGTCACCTGATTCACGAGCCCGTTGTACTACATTAACAAAGGCACGAGGGGTTGGTTGCACTCGATTGGGAAACCGATCCGCATAAACATGTGCCATTTTTGATTTCGTTTGAGCCACGCAACAGACACCACTATTCACTCACGCGTTACCGACTGACACTGACTGTATACAACGGAATAAAATAATTGTAAAAACATCGTTCCAAATTCTTTCGCTTTTTTGTTTCCGATGCGATGAACCGATAAGGCGGATTATATCCGTTGTTGCTAAACACGAGCACATAATATTATGATTGAGACAGGGCGGTACTCAAACTTCCAAAGGGCTATAACTTTGTTACTTTAATTTTACCAGAAAAATGGTAAAGGAAAAAACATTTCTTTTGATCAGATCTACTCACTGTTAAATTAAATGACTCAACTTCGAAGTCACCCTGTATATTATCAAAATATTAATTGTTAATATTTTAAGCCTATAACACCCTGCTACATTTTTATTATTCTGGAACTTCCCTCTTTCCTTCTGAAATATAACTTTGGCCGCTATTAACTTTCTTTTTCTTTATATTTCTTTTCCATGTTTCAGGTCGTCTTATCCGTTTTCGGCTATTAGTTTCAAGCTACGCCAATACATTTCCTTCTTCTCTTTGATGTTCCACTTCATTTGGTTGCGATATGTTGTTCGGCATTTGTTGCTCGTCACCTTGATCTTCATGAACTCGCTCTCAGAACTATAATATTCTTCAGAACTGCTTTGAAACCTGTTTGTCGGGATGAATTCTTTATCTCGTACTGAATCGTCATTATGAGCCGAATCATTGAATTCAGAGGTGCGAATAATTTCAAAATTCTCAGTACGTCAGTTAAAATTTCATTCTCGGAACTACTGGATGCTTGAGTCACAACATTTTCTAATTTCTGCAACAAATAGACAAAAAAAAGTCACGGATATGTCCAATTTTTGAAAGTAAAATTATTAAGCATAATATTCAAAGAGAGTCTGGGATTGTGAATCTATCCACAGTTGCACATTCCTATTTGCATTAGAAACACAGGCATTACTTATTTCCGACTCCGCGGTGATATAAGATGATTTTGCATGCACTGGTACTGTTGATATTTCTGGCGAATGCTAATAAAGAGAAAAGATAAGCGTAAAAAGAAGAGGAGAGTGAAGAAACAAACATGGACTACTTCTGCGTTTATAAAGATTATTGTTTAGAGTGACTTTATAAAATAACAAATTAAGTAGACCATTTGCTTTTTTTTTATTCAAAGGCTCGCTGAACGATTAGTTTTGATCTAGCACTCATTTTTAAAACACTAATTATATTAGAAAAATAAATTATTCTTACATGAACTAACTTAACCGCCAAAACACAACTGCCTTCTACCGGTATTTGAGGTTACGTTTGTGTTTACTTTATAATAAATTCGGTGCGCCACATATATGATCAATACGGTGGTGATGAAAATCAAAGTTCAGTGCAATACCGCCATATGTAAGGTTGTGTGGCAGTATTGCAATAAATGGTGAGCCTTTGAATTTTAGCACTTGTGGCCATATTCATTCTGAAGTACAATATATTAGCAATCGAATGCAGCCATAGTATTGAACTGGAAGTACGAAATAATAAAGCTAGTCATACGAGGTCTGTAAATTAAGTGATGAGACTGGTAACGTTGTTTTCGATCTGGCAACACTGGAGGCGCCAGGTTTTTAAGGGAGACAGGGGAACATGCGATCGGCCTTCAGTACCAAAATGAATTATCAATTTCGAGTAACGATTTTACTTCAGCCTTGATCATAGTGCAATGGAAACTCTTGCTAAACTTGAGCAGGCCTACGGAGATACTGTTTTGTCAAGAGCCCAGGTTTTTCGGTCGAAGGCACTCTGAGAAGGAAGAGAGTCGATTGAAGATGAAGGCTTTCGTCTTCAAGAACCGATGAAAATATCGACAGAATCCGAGATCTTGTGCGTCCAGATCGTCGGTTGATAGTCGGAAAGATCGGGGAAGAGTTAAGCTTGACAGACACCACCGTTAACACCAACGATAATGCTCCTCACACAACAATGTCAGTAAACGAGTTTTTGGCCAGTAAAAGTATTCATGTGGCTCCTGAACTTCATTCGCCTGACTAGAGTCCTTGTAACTTTTTAATCTTCCCAAAGTTGAAAAATCATATCAAGCGAATCCATTTTGGGACCGTCTAAAACAGTCAAACGACTGTAACCGACCAGCTGAAGGCTATTTCAGTATCGGAGTTCCAGCACTGATATGAGGAGTGGAAGAACCAACTCAAGAACTGTGTGGCTTCAAAAGGAAGTTTTTTTGAGGGTGACGATATAAAATTGTAATTACATTTCAATATAATCAGTCTCATCGCTTAATTTACCAACCTCTTCTCCTGCTGTTAGTAACGTGTTCCAAAATAGATATCTGTATGATATTAGAGAAGCAGCTTATCGGTTGATCTGTTTTCTTATGCTGTTCCCTTCCATCTTTTGTAGGAGGAGAAAAAAAGAATTCTAGAGCTACCAAAGGAACTGGACGAAGCCGACGCCGATTCTGATGATGAACTTGACATGTGCTATGAGGTGTATTCTGACATGGACAGTGATTTCGACCAAGAAGTTGCTCAAGATTCAGATTAAGTATAAGCAAGTGTACTTAGATGTGTCTTTCAAAATGCCGTTTTTTTTTATTTGTAAGGTATGCATGTGAGACTTTATTATAAACATTTGACTATTTTTTTAAGTATACAGGGTTATCCAAATTAAGTGTCCACCATTAGTAACTTTGTTATTAGTGAAAATACAAAGTTGTTTGAATTAGCAAACTAGTAGCATTTTTAACGCTGGTAAAAATGAGAAATAAAAAAAAACAATTGAGAGTCGTTATTTTGATTTTTTTCAGTAAAATAACATTTTTTTAAATGGAAACCCCTGTATATTATATTTTTTTCTGTTAAAGCATCAAATTTTAAACAAAAAAGCTTACAATAACTTTTCTCCTAGGTTACAAATTGTTGAAGTTATGGCCTCCAATCTGAAACAATTAAATTGTATCGACAAACTTTATTTTCAACATCAACTTATAATCTTACAAAATACAATAACAATTTTTTTTAAAGAAGATGCTCGAAAACACCACCTTGTTCTTCAATACATTTTTGGGCACGTTTTTCAACTGCTCGAACTGTCTTAAGTATGGTCCTACCATCTATCTGGGTTATCTTTTCCCTAACTGCAGTCTTTAACGCGTCAAGGTTATCGTACCTTCGCTTGTAAATTTGGTTCTTTAAGTAACCCCACAAGAAGTAATCAAGTGGGTTTAGATCTGGTGATCTGGGAGGCCACTGTATTGGGCCATTTGTTCCTATCCACTGATCATTAAAAGTAGTACTTAGAAAATGATAAGTACCTCTGGAGTTGTGGGCAGGTGCGCCATCTTGCTGAAAATGCAGATGATGTCTACTTATAAGATCCAATTCGTCTAAGAAATTAGTCAGAATTTCTGACATAAATTCCACATATCTTTCACCAGTTAGGGTTCCCTCATAAAAGAACGGGCCAACAATTTTTGAACCAATTATACCGCACCAAACGTTGAAACTGAAACGGACTTGTGGGCCTCTTGGATGTACTAACAAAAGATTTTCTCTTGACCAATAATGGTGTTTTTTTCTATTAAACATTCCAGAATTTGAAAAATTTGATTCATCTGTCCATAAAAGGTAACGAAAGTTATTTACATTTTGGCGACAGAAGCTAAGATACCAATGGCAAAAAACAAGTCTTCTCTCTGGATCCCCTGCCAAAAGCGTTTGAACTGGTCGGTACTTATACGGAATAAATTTGTATTTTTTTAAAATCCTTTGAACAGTACCATAACTGAAATTAGAGTCCTTGAGAATATCTGCTATTGAATTCTCACGATAAGCTTCAAAATATCCAATAACTGCAATTTCCGTGGCCTCGCTTATTATAAATTCTTTTTTTGCCCTTGTTTTAGCAAAAACATTTTCGTTGCCCCTAAATTTTCGATAAAGACTCAGAAAATATCGTTCATACGGTTGAATGCGAGCGGGATATAATTTATTTATTTACACTAATGTTTGACATTATTTGATTTTATCATTGTTTTCCAAAGGCTTCTAGTTGCGAGTATGTCCAGTTTAACAATTTGTCGCTTATCTTAATGCTGTCAAATCGCGAACGCCATGTTGTTTTCATAGCCGTCTTAATATTATAATACTGCAAATAATTAAAAATATTTATCGTTATTTTGACTTTAGCGGAAAAGTCATTATGAACTTTTTTGTTTAAAATTTGATGCTTTAACAGAAAAAAATATAATATACAGGGGTTTCCATTTAAAAAAATGTTATTTTACTGAAAAATAACGACTCTCAATTGTTTTTTTTTTATTTCTCATTTTTACCAGCGTTAAAAATGCTACTAGTTTGCTAATTCAAACAACTTTGTATTTTCACTAATAACAAAGTTACTAATGGTGGACACTTAATTTGGATAACCCTGTATAGGTGCATACAGTGAATATGAAGTTTTTGATGAATCAAGAATCCGCATCTGTTCTGTCTATATATTTTTACTAGCAAAACAGTGCTAGTTAGTAGCTTTACTGCTATTACAACTATGTTTAAATAATGAAAGTGTATAGTGGTTATGTTTTAATGACTTCAAATATATTTATAATTTTATACTAACAATAGAGTTTCTTTCAAAGATATCATGGTCCCATCACATCGAACGTAACCACTCTATACCCACTTCCCGCCTCGTTCACACCATGCTCCCCCATTTGCTAAAAACTTAGTTAAGTTAATTTTATATCTGAAAACTTTTTAAATGAATTGGAATTACGTTAACTGCAAATTTGTTAGTTGATTGTATGTATATGAAAATCTGTCACAGTTTTCTCTTTCTACTTCAAAAAGCAGTCCTGATGGTAGTTGACGAACTCGATGTCATGAAACAATGTTATACGTATAGATACACGATATGATATACTTATAATTATAGAGGAATTACAGCCTGTTATCATGTAGCCCCAATATGAACAGGGATGTTTCAAGGATGATGCGAAATTTTTGGAAAATGCCGTATTATCAGAACTTTTGAAATTGGTGATAAAAGTCGTATACGAAAAGATATCGAATGGCAGATTATCACCTGTCACACGTTGTTACAGTGAGCTGAGAACTCGAAGACCATTTTGAGACTTCGGGCGTATGCCTTTATTTGAATTTTTTATACTTGAACCACCACGAAGGCCTAAGGCCTAAACAGCGATGAGTATCGTGGGGCTGTAGAGGGTTGCAGGGGAAAGGGGGTACACCACACGGACTCTAGCAAGGAAACACGTGCGCGTACAAGATGCACACATTCTGGTCCGCCTTAGAGATCCACCAGGTGGTACCTCCACGTTCGCCAGTCAGAGACCGTCTTCCACCTAATCTAGTGGAATTTTATATTAGTACGGGAGACCGGTTCTAGTTGTCACAATTTTCAGTAATTCTTTTTTTTATTCGATCTGAAGCGTTATATGCACATATTTGGTGCATAACTAATATGGTTTATCCTTTGGGAACACTATGTAAAATCGATAAGGCTGTAAAATAGTTCACAATATTAAGTTATTAATGTTTCAAAATACAGATACAAATGTGACAACTTGCCCCTTGCTGGGGCTGGATGTCACATTGCTTGGAGTTGGTTGTCTCGTGTATTTTAGATCATTAATAAATTATGATATCGTACTTTTAAACATACCGTAAACTTGGGTTACTTTGGTCCCCTTTTGAACTTTACACTATGATAAGTTTTACACCAAATGATATTAATTTTTGTTTCCAGTCGCGTTTTATTGGTTTGTATTAGTACTTTGAACTTTGAAATGGAGGAGCTAAACACATTCTAAATATATTTTTTTTAGAAAAACCTGGGTGGCCAAAGTCAGATGACGAAGTTGGGTTACTTTGGCCACATGTTGTTTTATTTAGAAAACGCAAATACACGCCATAGCATGGGTTAGTTTGGCCATGAAAAAAATAGCCAAGTATGTTTGAAGTATTTTTCGAGCGTTTCGAAATAAAAAATACTTTGACATATTTTTTTGTTTTATTTATAAAATTTATAAACAGATGTAAAAAGGTGTTTTAAACTTAATTTAAACGCAAATACGGTAGGTAACAAATCCTTTGTCAAAATTTAAAAAAACAAATTCTTTGGTAAAATTGAAAATAAACGCACAAATTCTTTGGTAAAATGAAAAAAAACAAATTCTTTTGAAAATAAAAAATAACACGGTTAACCTAAATTATAATTTTCTACTTCTGGAATTTTAAAGAAACCTCTTTTGGTCTCTAAGACCTGTAAAATGTCTTCCTCCTCGTACCAGATGATTTCATCTTTACTCGGCCACTTCCACTGCAACAATCCACTAGGTGTTAAGGATTTTATTTTGTATTGCCCAGGATAAATATGTTTTTCATATAAAAATAGGACAAACTGCCCATTTTTTATTTCATTCCTTCCTTTGCATGTGTTGCTTTCGCTTGTATTTTCTTGTGTGAATTTAGTCTCACTTTCAATGTCATCGTCAGACTCTCCCTCCGATTGAAGTGACATAGCAACAGAGCTTTCGGAATCACTAGAAATGGTTCTAGTTTTTTTCTTGCGGTTTAAAATGTTTTGTTTAACACTACTAGGTCCTGCAACTGGTTCGTTTTGCAAATCTAGGATTGCAATGCTCTTTCCTGCTGTAACGTTGAGCTTTTTTCCTTGTAGTTTGTTCTGCTAGACCGGAAAATCTTTTCTTCAAGTTTTTTTTTATACTCTAACTACCACGAAGGCCTAAGGCCTAAACACCCATTGGGTACCGTGGGGCTATAGGGGGATACAGGGGAAAGGGGTAACGCCACACGGACTCTGGCGAGGGAACACGTGTGCATGCAACATGCACACATTCTGGCTCCGCCTACGAGATCCGCCGGGTGGTACCTCCACGTTCGACAGTCAGAGACCGTCTACCTCCTACGGACAATCACAACATCCATAGCCAAGAGAAAAATTTCTCCAGGGACGGGACTCGAACCCGCACAGCGCACGGCGACTGATCAGGAGACCGAAGAGTCTACTACTGCGGCCACCGCTGCTGCCTATGTAGAGTCGATGACAGCGGCACTAACATTTGTCTGGACATCGGGATCGATATTATCAGTTGATGGTATTCGCTCCAGTAGTTTCATTCGGTTTAGAGAGTAAATTCCTGCATTTTCGAAACCGCTTATTAAATTATCTTTTCCTGATTCTAATAATAAGTCTGTCACTAATTTAAGCAAATGCGGAAAATCTGATTTAGGAATTGTTTTATTTGCTCCACTAAGTTTGTAATCCGTTATGATTTGCCTCCAGTTCATTTCAAGCGGCCGAAAATATGCGATGTCAAGTGGCTGACTGAGATATGTGGTGTTAGGTGGTAAACAAATGAATTTTATGTCATATTGGGAACATAGGTTTACATGCACACTTAGATGCGAAGAGAGGTTATCGCCAATCAGTACTTTGGGTCCCTCTAAACGCTTTAAAGCAGGAAGAACTAAATGTTCAAACCAGTCTTCGAATATATGGCCCTCAAATCACCCGCTTTTTGAGCGTTTATAACGTTCCATCTGGTCCTCCCTCCATCCAGGTATCATACATATTTTTAGCCTTATAAACAACATAAGGTGGCAAAACTGTGCCTACAGCATTTCCAGAAAACATTACACTTGTAGATTGTTTGGACGAGTTCAGGATGCGCTCAGGAAATTTGCAGTCCCGTTTTGTTAAAACATT